ATAAAACGTTTGTATGGGAAATAGAAAAGGGCTATTTTTATGGTTTTCCCAGTAATGAATCAATTTTTTTCAGCTTTTATACCTTCCCTGAACCTCCACGACCATTTCAAGACTAAGATAAGATAAATCCGTTCAGCCGTTCTCGAGTTTTAGCGAGACTAAGGAACAGCAATCCATTTTTATATATATAGAAGATAGAAGATAGAAGATTAAATGGCCCTTGTGACATAAAATACTTTAAAAATAATTAATATATAAAAATTTTATAGTTTTTCTAACATACATTTTGTCAAGTACTTCTGTTCTTTACTATTTCTTACAAATTTCAATTAATTTGTCTATTACCTTTTCCGAAGTTCAAGTGTATGAGTAGCTCGTAGAAAGTTTCACAAATGTGAAATTAGTTATCTATCTATAGTAATAATTTTAAATACGTATAAATTTTCGTGACATGTATAGTGTATACTGCTATAGTATTTTCGTTATTTTAATAACTGGTTCGGTTAAAACAAAAACAACTGCAAAGTTAGTTGATTATTTGTGGAAATTAATATATTTTTATTATAGTGTCGTTGATATTAAAATATCTTACATTTATTTTCAAGGGTATTCAAATTTCAAACCATCCATACTTCCCAGAAGTGCTGGCTAAAAAAATAGATGTACCTAACAGCTAAAGTCACGCATCCAAAAAATCCACATTATATATAGAAGTTATAGTTAAGAGAGAGGTTATAGAGAATTCAATGAACCTTGGTCTTAAAGATATAAACCTAGAACATACACATTTTTATAATTTCGAAATTATTCTACTATGAAGCAAATATTTAAACAGTTACCTATAAGGCTACAACGGAGATTTGTTATATTTAAAACGAAACGACTTGAGCAACATTATTTAAATTCATTACGAAACAAGCGTTTCAGTTTACTTAAAAAAATATATTGTAACAAAATGAAATAATTAATGAAAGTTTCACGTGAAAATTTCTTCTTCAATTCTAAGTTATAAATATCTTTGGAGTCATCTAAAGATACCAGTGAATCTGTTTTAAGCTATTTATATTTAAAATTAATAAATTAGACAGACTAATTAACAATTTATATTAACAGATTAATGACCGATATAAGTTGCAATAACATATCACTGATAAAATTTATTAAAACATTTGATACAGCACCGATTTCAAAGATTTATTATTTCAGTTCAATGTTAAAATAAATGCATTAATTGAAGACCTTGAGTTACATTTAATATGTTTACGAAATTAGGGTTAAATTGTAACCGTTTATAAACATACTGAATCCTAGTAGTTTGATTTATATTCGGTTGAATTTGTAAATGCTATGGAAAGGTCCTGTGGAAATGTGTCAATTTAAATTTAATTGTCATAATATTGTTTTAGCCAACGATTACGTCCTTGTGAATGCCAGAGTTGGGGACAGAGAGGAATGGTTAAAGTGTGACAAAACATACATACATATAGTAACTTTCGTTGCAGCCTTTTCTTTTTAAAATACCTAAATTCTGAATGCAGCGCCATCTACCGTGCTGATATGTCAATCTAAACCATCATACAAAAAAAAATCATTCAAATCGGTCGGTTTTCTCGGAGTTCATTAACATTCACATGTAGGTACAGTAAAATTATAAAAATAAAAATTATTACAATTTTGCTTTCTTTGCTCTGTTTATATAAATCTACTGGACTCGTTGAATAGAAGGAGGGATGGAATTGATATTAAAAGATATGGATACCAAGATGTGATCCAAAATTTTTCCCTCATTATTAGATTCCCTTACCTAAATACATAAATTTCACCTACCCATTATACGCCTATATATAATCTAAATAACACTGTTTACGTACACATGTGTGTATAATACCCAAACATGTATTAACTATTACCTAACGTATGAATGGTCTAATGAATACACTTAAAAAACATCTAGAAATGTTTATTCCGAATTATAGAAAGTATTCGATTCTGAAATATTCTATAACGCTAAAGTGCGTGTCACTAGGCTCATTAAATGAATAGGCAAAATCGCAACTTCCGGGCGCTGTCGTTTAACAAATTCTCAATTCAATTCTGAATCAAAATAAAGAGTTGCAACAATATATCAATGACAATTTTGTTTAAATAGATAGTTAGAGACAATAATGGATATTTAAAATGAAGGAACAAAAATATTAAACCTCCTATAAGTTTTATTTAATCTATATCATTCGTTTATTCTGATTAGAAAATGTTTTACAAAACGGGTTTTATAATTCGCCTGCTTTTTAAACCCTATAGCTACGGATTAAAAATAATAGTATTCAGTAAATTTTGGTGTTAAACATTAATTTATTTGTGTTTTAGACTGGAGGCTTTACTATTTGAAAGGCTCCTTAGACCTTGATAACCTGTTTTATTAGGTTCACTACCTAATTTCCTAGTAGATGCGTTTTCAAAAATTTCTTCCAAAAGTAACTCAATCAATGTTTGGTACGTTTATAAGCTTTATACATCTACACACTGTAACCGTATGGTGATATTAAAAGATTAAAAAAAGGTATGGTATAAGCACGATGATAAGTTATAAAATCACACCAAAGCTGGTAGAACTTCACAGTTACACTCAACAGTATGCTTGATAAAAGTTTGTATCATCACACTACATAGGTACGAATTACAAAATTTTATATTTATCAATAAATTAAATCCACATTAATACAATATGCGAAGATATATGAATGAAAAACTATTAAATCTCTATACAAATTGGGGGAAACATACAATTCAAAGAAAAAATGGAACAGTTCTGAGAAAAATTAACACGTAAATATTATCGTGTTCTCGTAAAAACACTTTAAAAACTGATCTACATAACTACATTCTAATCGGGATCAATGACCTTTTCATTTATAATTCATGATTTTAGTTATGATATCACTTTTATATATGTAGATAACAAACAATTCTGAGACTTTTTTATCTCCATTTTATAGTAGAAACACAAATAACACAAAGGGTTGTACACTTAAGGTACTCTAGCTGCAATAATATAAATAGAACATATCATTAGAAGTGGATGATGTTCAAAATAGTCCCCACAAGCTATATATTCGCGGTTTAGCAAAACGTCATAAGACGTTCAAAATCAAACATCCAAAGAAACATAATATTTAAAAAACATACTTTTACGAGGAAAGGATTCTAAATGCACTAACCTTGTTTAAGAAGTTAGACTCGATATATCTGTCCCCTTACCACTCGTTTGCATTGTCAGCTAAATACAGACGTAGCCAGTGTTACATTCATTGATCTGCGTTAAAATGACGTGTGCGAAGATTTGTGTATCATAAACTGGAAACTGTGAGTATTTAGTTTGAGGAGGGTAACCCGTAGTTATGTAGTGACAACATAAGTTTACAACTTCGTAAAAAGTGTCACGAAGATTAGACGCGAAATAAATTTCCTTGAACCTTAGGCACAAAGTAATTAAATAAATTTTAATAAGCCAATTATTATAGCTAAAAACGAAATATATTAAAATCAATTTCTTCTTAATTATATTTATAAGTACTTCTACTAACCTTGATGACTTTAAATGTCATGTCATATTCTGTATTTTTTTTTAATCTAGTACAATTTAATAATTGACAGTGAAAAATCAAAGCACATGGAAATTTTATTGTTAAGAGTTCATCAAATAAAACATAAGGATCGGGTGCATAACACTTATATTTCAACATAACGTGGTTTAATTAATAAAATAAACATTTTTAAAATGAAAACAACATAATTAATACAATAAAAAAAAATTGAGAACAAACGACCGCTTAACACCATGTAAATATAAATCAATTTTACTATGATTATTAATAAATAATAGGTCGTTTATTTCACTAACAAAGAAATGAGAGCAAATTATTTATACACAGGTATTGACTTCAAATGAACAATATATAGCATTAGGCCAACATTACACTTTTTAATTAAATGTATTTAATTTCTTTACAGGCCATTTTCTTTATAAATAATTTGTAATTAAGTATATATTTCTTCATCAATCATAGAATCCTATCTCGATGGTAACAGATATTGTTGATTCACTTGGTAACATTCTAAGTAACTGCAACATAAGTTTACAAACATTAAGATTCTTCTGCAGAACAAGTATAATAATTAATTAATGTAATTAGTCTTTATTCATCGGTGTGTAATTTATATTAATACAACACTGTTTATATAATTGTCATTTATAAAAATTAATTTTAATAGAATTTATCAATATGATCACATGAACATTTATCAATATTTACAAAGCTGTCATATCGAGCGGGAATATCTTATGGTACAAAAAGTATACCCATAAATCACATTTATAAAAAGAATACAAAGCCAAATTCATATATATATATATATATATATATGTGTGTGTATGTATATACAATGATTCACAAATTATGCTTAAATAATATTATACTTTGCGAAATTATTCCATACATTACATAATGTACTGACAATCCTTATTTAATGCACCAACTGTAATCACCTAACTCAATACGCAAGTTTATCCTGAAAAGTTAATACAAAACTACCGAATCAAGTACAAGATTATATGAAACGAAACATAACATCTATACATTATACAATTGCATTTAATACAAATATATCATAATCAAATTCCTAGCGGAAAATCGTATCGTATAATTTATCAATCACAAATTAACACCCTATAGCCAAGGCACAAGTGTGGTATTACAATGACAAATCCTTTATTCCGTAACTAAGTCACTAACACGCTACATACACTTGCACTACACTAGCTTCAAGTTAAACAAATTCGATAAATACAGAGCTATCCTTAAAACACAAACTAGCACACAACTGAAACTAAACATTTTTAAAATTGACATATTGTCATACGTCAAATGAAATATAATTCGTTTAGGAAGCTCATGTCATTCTGATACACAAACGTTCAGAAACCGTTAGTTAAAAATGTTCTAATCGGCATCATCAGATCTAAAGGTACAAGTAAAATAAATATAGGATAAAGAGTATATGAACTTCAATAGCTGCTCTCACGTGGATATTCGAGTTTTCCAAACAGGTTTCTCGCCTGAAAACATTTAAATATTTAAAATATACTGACAACAAATGTTCTTACATTTTTGTTAGTTAGATTAAAAATAATTACAACACATCCCTATCAAATTTCATGTAAATTAAATTATTTGCTTATTATGAAAAAAGCTGTTGACCAATTTGCAAGAACAGCTACATCAAAAGTAGTTTAGCCACATACCTGTTCTATGTGATTCCCCAGTCATATGTCTCGGCACTATGTATTTCGACTCTTGGAACATTGACAGCATCAGATCCTCTGTAGTGGGATGATATTCGACTCCATTGATGCTAGCAACTAGTGGAGAACTTTCATAGTTCCTATTGGAATCCTTGGATGATGGCGAAGTACTTGACCGAGCGGGGTAATCTACCGATCTAGGCCGCCTTGTATCCACTGGGGTCATCTTAGGATTTACATGTACATCTTTATGTATGTACGGCTCAATTGGCATACTCGTTTCGTTTTCATAGTCGCTTAGTTCGTCGTTCGCAACACCGTTAACTTCTACTATTAACGGTCGCTGTAATGTTGGAGATTGCATTGTAGTGTGTATGACTATTGGTTGCTTGGTGGGACTCTCCGTCTTATCTGATAGACTAGATATACTTCTTGATGGTGTTATGTTCGGTGATTCGAGTTGTAAGGTTTCTTTGGAAGCTGATTTTGTATCATCGACGTTTTCTTCCTTGATCTCAGCTATTTCATTGAGAGGTTCTCCGACAGGCTTCACGTATTTCGGCATACGTAAGGCCCAATGTTCATTTTCTTCTGTCGAACAAGAATGGACGACATTCGGTTTCTTTCGTCTGTAGAACAGCATGTAGGCAGAGTTATTCACAAGTTCGGAGTACTTGTTTTCGTCATCTACTTGTGTGACCTTGGAATCGTCAAATTTGTACCAGTGCCTATCGTATGGGTTTCTACAGGCGGCTGTATAATGACCAGTTTCCAAATCATCTCCATGGTGATAGCAGATAGCGTATAAATCATATATATTTTCTTGTGTAGACGGCGTTTTAGAATGTCTCCGTCGTGGTGATCGGGAATGTCCGGGTGACTCCACATTAGATTGGTTCCGACGTACGAGGTGGGGTGTCATATCAAAGTCGTTGATAGGAAACTCTACCATTGTGGTCAGTTTCGTACTGGTGCGGCATTTGGCTTGTCTGGAAAGTAATAATAATAGTAAAGTATAAATACATAGCATTCAAGGCGATAAAATTTTGCCACATAAATAACACTTACTGTCTAAATCTCTTGAGATGAATGACTAAAACATCAGGCAGTGACCATAGGCCAAGAGTTTTTACGACCGGCATATATCTCTGGCACTGTGGACATCTGTGGAATATAAAGAGAAGAATTATTATAAATAAGGGAAAAAAAATTACCTACACTAATAACTCGAAACTAGTGAAGGATGTATAGTCTTCTGTCTATTGTCTACTATACACTCATAATGGCTTTGTCTATTATCTGCTGTGTACTCATAATTATTTTGTCTGTTGTCTGCTGTGTACTCATAATTATTTTGTCTCTAGTCTGCTGTGTACTCATAGTTGTTTTGTCTATTGTCTGCCGTGTACCTACCTCCAGGCGTCCTCCTGCGCCAGTTGCTCCGCCCTCGTATAGTGTTGTAGACACGCGTGTAGTGTTAGCGGTCCGGGCTGTACCGCGGACACGTGAACCTCACACGACTCGCTCGACTCACGGATTATACTGAAATTATTATTATTATATGCAGTATACATGAGTGTACAGGTGTATACACATATATGTGGTCTCAATCCTACTAATATTATAATTGCGAAAGTTTGTGAGTGTGTGTATGTTTGTTACTTCTTCACGCTCAAACGACTGAACCGATTTTGATAAAAAAATTTATACAGGAAGCTGACGTCCAGGAATAACATATAAGCTACTTTACATCCCGGAAACCTCGGAAATTCGCGGGTAACACCGCGGGGTGCAGCTAGTTGTAATATATAATAAAGTTATTTTTTTGAAGTATTATTAAAAGAATATAAAATATTGTTGAAAAAAAAAACACTGAAACAATGAATTAATTAGGAATAAATAGAACATCATTTTATAAAGTTTACACACATTCTAGTATTTTTATGTAGAAATAAAGGTATACAAAAAACTGTCTAATAGATATTAAGTAATGATTTGTAACCTGTCCCTATGAGCAGGGTCCCATAATAGTTCGAGTCTTAGATGAGGATATTTGTCGTGTGCACACAGTGCTTGTTCAACATCTAGAGCAAACAAGGGATGAGGTAGCTGGAACAGAAAAATATTGATGATAATATTACAAATAATGAACTATAGCGAAGATGATCATGAAAATTGCAGTTGTTACCATTGCGAATGGGTGCTTACGTTCTACAATATTAGAGTTTTGAGAATTGTAACAATAAAATGAAGCTAACGTCATTTTATAATAAAATATGGTTATTATTCAATTTATTAAATAAAGTTAAATAAAATTTAATCAACTTTTAATTTAACTACGGCAAAAAAAATCGACAAAAACAGTTTAAAAATGACAAATGAAAAGACAAATTGTTCCTTAAGTATATATAATTTTTAAAACAACTTTTATTGGTGCTTACTTCAGGCTGTAGATATGCTGGGTCACGTGGTCTATGAGCCTCAGCGATCCTAGCTTTGAATATATCAGCCCCTTGTGCATTTTCAAGCACATTCTCAGCAATCACTTGACACATCTCCTTCAACATGAGCTTCTGGAGATCTTCGTATGATATCTCTCTTGGGACTTGCATAGCATATGGTGAACCTGATGAAACATTTAAATTTATATTATTTACATTGATTTCATTGATCTGATTTTATTTCATAACAATATATATTTAATATACTATACTATATTATTGAAAACCAACGGTCATTTTGACGAAGCCTTAAGCCATCAGAAACAATTTGCAACTTTAAAATCTGTCACTACAATTAATATAGCAGCTGACAGGAGATCGTAGGAATTTAAAACTATAGCATTGACCAGTAACGTTTTACAGTCCAACCACATAGTATATTCGCAAAAAAAACATACTTTTATAATAAATATACTCGCAAAAACCTTAGAGAGTAATATATCCACTAATAGCTTACCGAAACGCTCTCCTTCAAGTAGATTGACCCATAGTAGCAATAAATATGGTGCAGTTGGTGTTTGTAGGAGAGGAGGCGCCTCCAGACAATAGAGGGCGCCTGCGTCTATACCAGCCGGCTCCCAACTAGCGCGAGCGGTGCTCCAACCTAGGACATACATACATTATTAATACTGTCAAACAAATCATCTTTTGCGTAAAACAATTAAAATTGCCCTATACATAAATGTTGCAAACAAATTTTGTTTTTTTTAACGTGATTTTGTACTAGTTATAAGAATTTTAGATATTTGCCAATGGACACAAAAAATGGAAGACGTCTATTTTTGGTCGAAATGATAAATTTCAAATATTTGTGCACTTGATTTTCTTTAAGGGGAAGACTCTTTGCATGGATCGGATATGACGTTCTCTCGTACTTAAGCTTAGAAAATTAGTTTCACCAACACATTCAATCCCAATAACGAAAGAATAATCAAACCACAAACATATTCGCGAACTGATCTATTAACTGCGGGAAAAACTCATCCAAAGAGTCACCAACCAGTTAGCAGACAGATTTACAAACCCATAACACTGTAAATCATTCTCACAATCAACTCACACGTCACACTCCGAGCATAACATATAAACATACGTGATACTATATCCAAAGTCAAAACAAGTTCTCTAGATACTAATATGACAAATTTTCTTTTTCTCATCTCAGAACTATCCGAAAGTCTTATGAAAGAGGTTCTTAAATAAAGGTCCTTAGAATTCTGACGTTCGACCAATGAAAAAAACAAGAATATCAGAGGTAACTAAAATTTTTCCCAATATATTGGGACAGTCGTAATTCCATGGCTAATTTAAAGTTGTAAAACAATAGAATTACACTTAGAGTCTATACATTACAAAAAAAAACTATAATTAATTGTTGTACTGACATCAAGGTACATGTTCATTTAGAACAACATTACTGACAACTCAAATTACACACTTCAAACATTATAATTACTGGCTAACTTGTCAAATACATAATAAATCATTGCCAAATTCATGTCAAATTAACACACAATATACTAACCGGTCTCATTTATCTCAGCCAGTATGATATTATCTCTGTCAATGCCAGTGTCCGAGTTCAGAGTTGTTCGAAGGTCATCCATTGTTGAGTTCGGAGGAAGCTCCACACCGATACGCACTTGTCGAGGTTGTTGATTAACATACACGACCTGTTAAACATTAAGTTTACCTTAAGGAATATCCTTTAGACTTGTTATGTAAGGGACAAAAAACAATTCTAAGAAAATCATTTTGATTTGAATGAGGACAAAGTAAGGTACTGTTACTGTTACTGTAATTTAAAGTACGATTGGCGAAAACTATAATTTTTTTATTCAATATACCTAATATGAAATCCTAATATAAATTTATTATAAAATTCTTAAAGACATCTTTTTTTGGGGAAAAAATTATAAATGCTTATGTAATACAAATACATAATAAGTCAAAACATATGCACTTAATTTATAAATAAATATGTTGATAAATGTTAATAATTTCAAACCATTTTTTTAGGTGTAATATTTTACATATTAAGTTCAACTCATAATCTTATGAGAAAATTATTTGAATAAAATAAAATTATTTGATTAAAGGTTTCCTTTAAATAAAATTATTTTATTTTGCAAGTCGTAATTTTAGAGTCGTGAATTCGTTCGTATCTTTAAAGTAAATTGATATTTAACTAAAAAATTATAGTGCTCTAAAAAACATAGACTTATAAACATTTGGCATCCTTAAAGGAAATTATGATATTTTTCTTTTAAAAAAACAAAATAATTAGAAAAATTTTATCCCACAACAAAAATATTCTATTTCGAAATAAATCACAAGTATTAAAAGTAATTACTTAATTATACGTAATTAGGAATATTAAAATTCTTTTACATATTCCATTGAATCAAATTTACAATAAACTAATCGTTTTAATTTCACACAATTATTTCGCCACTACAAAAAAAAAATGTAAAATATTTATAAAAAAAATAATAAAAATAATTCAAAATACAGTGTAAACTCTATATAACGACACTCGATATAACGACAAACTCTCTAAAGCGTCGAAATCATTTGACTTTGGTTGGTTTAGCTGGTCTACCATACAATCATACACTCTACATAGCGGCACATCCACTCTCAATAACGACAACAATTAAGTAATAAAAAGTACCTTTTAAGTTGTTAAAATTAGTAAAAACTGTGCAGCTGTGTACGTTCCTTTGTCGCTTTGTTATCCTAGCCCGCAATAAACTCGACTGTCACTATCTACCGAACTTTCTAAGAAATTCGTTCTTTTGTTTACAATTACAAATTGCTTACACGTGTTGACGGTTTTGGAAACCTACATGGAAGTAGATGACTACCTCCTTACAACGGCTTCACTCACAGACAAAGAAATTTTAGATTCAGTGAGAAAAACTGAGGATCAACAGCAAGGAGATAAAGAAGATGAGACAGATGAGCCTGAGCCTCCGCCGAGCATTAAAGAAACTTTTGAAGCAGCTAAACTACTGGAAATTTTTTTCTTTTATCACCAAGATGCCTCAATATCGCAAGATATGAATAAAATAACTAAAAAAATACAACAACAGTACTGGTGCAGCAAAAGACGTCAAACAAAAATAACTGACTATACGCAATAGCGTTCGAATAACATTCTTTTTTATGTACTTAAGTACTAATACTAGTCTGAAATAAACTTTGTCTTTTTCTAATTCTGATTTTTCTTCTTTCTATTTAACGGCAACTCTTTATAACGCACTAAAATGCACGGTCCCTTCAGTGTCGTTATATAGAGTTTACACTGTATTAACAATCAAAAATTTGCAGTTAGTATATTTTATTATGATATATTATTGGGCTGTTTTGTTACTTAATTCACATGCCATATACATTTAGAAAAGTTCTCATAGAGATAATATGAATAATATTATGGTTACCACACATAAAAAGTTACACAACTACTTAAGATATTATTGGCAGTTCTCATTAGATATGAATAAAAGTTTTCATATATTCAATAACTTGACTTAATAGTACTGAGTTTATTCAAAATTTATTTCTTCTTATTAACTTACATTAACAGGTAATGGTGAGGGTTGCGCTGTGGCTGGTCGTGTTGGAAGTTGAACACTCACACAGTGAAACGGATCAAATGTACAAGATGTACGCTCACATTTTGCACATGTAAGGGCTGATCTACAAAAAAATTATAATTATTATTATTAATATTCATACTCACAATATTATGAGAAGTCCAAAAAAAAACAGCTAAATTAGTATTGAAATAATTCTATGAATAGAATTATGACCTTGTATGTAGATTATTTTATCACTCCAATAATAAACTGAAGGATGAATAAATTAGTATGAACAGTGATTTGATATTAACTTATATATAAGTACTGTAAATAAATACTATAGAAGCCTATACTCTTATCATGAAGACATAAAAATTTGTTATGTATTAGTTATACTTGCTTGGTATTGTTACAATAATATGATGACTATTACTTGATTATATTAGTTGCTGTCATTCAGTTTGCTACTTAATACAATACATACATGACAAAGTTAATGTATTTTTATTGAATAATACAAAATTATATGTGTATTACCTGTACTGTGCTTGAAACACAGCCTGCACAAAGGAACTGTTCCTACGAGCATGGTTCGCCAATGTCTCCGCTGCAACCACCTCATCAGATTTACCAACTGTATTCTAAAATAAAACATGTAAATCAATATCTATGTAATAATTACATGCAATGAGGAAATAATGATTACGGAAAGAAAAAGTGAACAATGCATGCTAATTATCTATGAGAGTTATGAGGTCGTTGAACCTTACTTTGATTGTTTTATATTTCTTCTTAGTAGCTGTATTCAAATCCTCGTGAACTTTATCTAATAGCCAAAATAGGAATTCCTGTGCATCATGCTGACTGTGTCCTCTGTATTGTGTTCCATGCCGTTCTACCGCTGCCTGTAATTTTAAGTAATCTAATATAAGTATTATTGCAGCAATTTCATGAACTAATGAGAAGTTTGTCAGTAACTATTATACATTTTGGATATTTTGGAAAGTTTAACTTTTGCAAGCAAGATTTGCTATCTGTTATACAATGAGAACACCTTGTATTATATTAATACTGTTTTATTACTTATATCTGTACTGCGCTGAACTTAATATAATAAAGCGACCTGTCTACTTTATATTTAACATATTATTATTCAAAGATACCTAACATATACAAGTAATATATAAGACCCTATATATAAGCATTAATTTTGATTTGAATATAATATTACCTTAAAAGATACACTCATATCTGAAGTGTATCGACACGACCATAACGCCTTTAATAAAGCTGCCAATTGCTCGGTAACTTCACCCCGTGTACCATATTTTTTCGAATTAATCTTATTCCTCTTTTGCAAATCAATCTAGAAATAACCAAATTACTTGAAACAAACTTCAATCATTATATAAACAAAATAATTTTATTTCACAAACATTTCAAACTATTACATAATGGCTATGACAGTAAGGAAGTATGAATGCTAATGATATTAGAAATTGGGATTGATATAAATAAACTTATAGCCTAAATAGTGATTTTTTTTATCTTGACAAAGTATTTGTAACAAACCTTATAATGTTCTAGAACAAAATACTCAGCAATAACATCTGTGTGAGAGAGACATTGCAATACAGCATTCATGTAGCAAGTATTGCCGTGATTCTTGATGCCAGTGGCTGCTGGAACGGCTCCAGGCGGCCACGGCGGCTCTCCACTGCAAGGTACTCTTTCAGTATGTGTTATAACTGGTTGAGATTTCACCTGAAACATCATTTATATTCTCTAAACCTTATTATGACATACAAGTTAAATGTTAGAAATAACACTCACGCCTGAAATGTTCACTGTAGTCATATGCTGAGCGATTTTGTTCAAAAATATCTTCCATGAAGGCCTTCTAAATAACTTCCTTTCCATACCTCCCTCATCTTTTTGATTAACACTCATCGTGGTCTTTGCACTAGTAGGCTTACTTTCATTCTCATTGGCCTTATTTTTACTTGAAGTGGCCTTCGATGTCCCAAAGGGATTACGAGGTAATGTAAAGGTACGTTTTAATCGGGATCCTTCTACCTGTTTTGATGTCATATTTGCTTCCGCAACTTCGTTTATGAGTTCACTCTCCGAACATGATTTTAAAACTGTTGATAAATTATTAGCAGACATAATATAATACAAATTAAACTATCTTACGACTAAAAAATTCTGAAATCTAAGGAAAACCAATTGGAAAACATTGATATGCTACTGACATATACGCCATCGGCCATATTGTTGTCTATGGCTAAAGAACCTTTTACATTTATTTTAGATAACTTCATGTTTTTTGCCTGATAAAAATTATGCAATATAGTAATACATAACAATATAATGTGATAAAATACGAATTACCATAATTTTAATAACTATGTTCAGGAAAATTTAATAATATAAAATTGAACATTAAGTTTATGGTAACAGCTACTATCTCTACCAAACCGTAATCCAAATAAGACGTATCGTGATCCGTACGAAATTGTCAAAAGTGTAGATATACCCTTTTTTCAGTCACCTCTGTGACTTTATTGGACTGTGGGCAATTTGAATGACAGTATATGTCTTGACATTGACAAATAATCATTTAGATAATTAAACGCTGACTATTGGCCCGCTACTTAGTATATTATAATTTATGATAAATAATTTATTTTGAATTGATTGTGGCTTGTGATTTTCGCTGAAATTTCAAAAGCTTGTGAATGTGTAGTGAAATTGTGCAATGTTTAGGTAAAGTGTTTCTACTCTACCAAATTATAGTAATTTATTATTTAAGAATAAACTGCTACGGAATTAATTGTGAGATATTTATGTAACTTACCGCCTAAATATAAGATGCGCCGTAGTACATCCAAATTAATACTATCGTAGTTACAGTAAACATGTATGTGAAGAAATAAAGATTTTTATGTTTATTTATTTTAATCAATACTGAAATGTTTATTAAGCGCTCACGTATAAATTATTTTGGCAGTTAACGAAAATGTCTGCGTTTGAGAAACTGAAACTTCTGATTTGGAAAAATTTTCTTTTACAAAAGAGACACAAATACCAAACTCTGTTTGAGATAGCATCACCTGTGATATTTTCACTATTTTTAATATTAATACGATGTCTCGTCGATCCACAATCAAAACCCGACACATCGTACCAGCCTTTTCTTCCGACCTATTTCAATATGAGTGGAAGACAATTGTAAGTATTTTATTATATTTTTAATATAAATAAATAAAAGTAAAATAGTCAATGATGTTTACGTTCTCTTTACTTAGAGGAAATCTCACGACAGCAAAGAGTGATGGCACGTTAGCTTTCTCTCCTGAAAATCCTTTAACCAGGAAAGTTACCAAAGATGCCATGGCAAAGGTGGCCTTGGACAATCTCAATGGGTTCATAGCTCTTCTATTTGATCCTAGAGTATTACCTGAACCAAAAGGATTCAATGATTCATCTCAACTAGAGGCAGCCCTCTCTAAGCCGAATGTCATGAATCACATCCTTGTTGGCATACAGTTTGATGATAGTATGGCCAGTGAGTATAACTGCTCTCGTTTTATCTGATATGTTGCGTGATAATATAGATATAAATGTTGACGTATATTAATCTAGTTTATCTGTACAGATGCTACTGAATGGCCAGAGGATATTAATGTGACCTTGAGATTCCCAGCCGTTATGAGGACTCCTATGCTAGAACATCCTTTAAGGATCAGCTGGAGAACGAATCTCTTATTCCCGTTATTCCCGCAGCCTGGGCCTAGAGTTCCCAAGGACATGTATGGTGGTAAAACGCCAGGTAAGACATATAGAATAAATTCCACTTCAGATTTCGTAACTTTAATATACTACGATCTCTTTTTACGATCATGTAAGTTTTCCATTCCTGGAATACTAATTAATTCACGAAAGAGATCGTAATACAAAAAAAAAAAGTCAAAAGTCTATAAAATAACTGGCTAATAAGTAATAAGTTAAAAAATAAATAAATCCTAGGGTATTCCCCGGAGATGTTCCTAGCGGTTCAGCACGCTGTGTCGCAGGAGATAATAAAACAGAAGACTGGGAAATCCATCAACACTAAAGTGTACTTACAACGTCTACCTCAACTGTCTTATAGACAGGACGACTTATTAGTTGCTATGGAAAGATTTATATCTATGATCATTATGATGTGCTTCGCTTACACGTTCGTGAACACAGTCAGGGTTGTCACCGCTGAGAAAGAAATGCAGTTGAAGGTAAGGATGTCCAAAATTATAATAAGCTTTGCGCAGATAATAAATAGCAAAAAATATTTAGACTGGTCATGCAATTAAAATGATCGTTAGGTCTCGGTATTTCTTGGATATGTCAGGCCGAGATTATCATAAAAAATTACGATTCATTAACAAATATCAAAAACCATAAGAAGGTATTAGCGAATTACATAAAAACAAGGCGGTAATCGTTTCGTAGAAGCTTAGGTAGGCTGTGTTAATAAGGTTTTATAATGAAACTAGCTTTTCCGAAGCAAGTCTTTAATTTTATTCTTTGTTTCGAAATAAATTCTTTGTTTCTAAAATGAAATTAATAAAAAAAAAAACGGTTACATATATAAAATCATATTTTTTATTATATCTTTTTTTATTATATATGTCAAATGTATTTGACAATTTCCTTGATATAAAAAATAATAATAAACAAGGTTTAACAGTTGACGACCTCAAATGTAAAAAAAAATAAAAAATATATTGTTTTTTTTGAAAGTCAAAACCTTTCATTATTTTTAAAATATATTGTTTCCTTTTTGTATTTTATTATTTTTTGAAAACAATAAATAATTTAGCTACCTATAATATTGAATGCGTCATTCACAGAAAGGGGACAGAATAAAAATATTTTGTATATTACTAATATGTAATTACTTGCAATTCTATATATGAAGCTTCGCGAATATTTTTCTAACGGTATTCTTCGACCTCTCACACGACATTTAATGACAATAAAATGCTAAAATATTGTAATTTTATTAATCATAAAGAATCGGCCTAATGTCATTTTTGGTTGTTTAAAATGCGCCCAAGTGTTTTTATGCATAAAAAATGAAAATATTTTAACCAATGGAAATGTCCAGTCGACGCATAATCAGTATGAAATTATTCGCTAGAATAGATTAATAAACATCACAGAAAATGACCGTTAATTTTTAAAATTCGAATAACAGTTCAAATTATTTTTTTTAATAACAGTTGTATATTTAACTGACATGCCAATGTTATTCTGTCAAGGAAACTACTATAAACTTACATCACACCATTAAAAACTTGTTCTTTTTGACAGTATTTGGTTATTATTTATGTATATTTTATGACATATTGCTTAATTATAAAATACATAGAATTCACTATACGGTTTTTTTTGTATCAAAATGGCGTCCACGTTCTTAAAGACAGGAAAGATCTATAATATTTTATGAAAATGAAGGTTTTTATTCTATATATTCATATATATGCTCATATCTACACACTATTATACCTATCCTACTTTAAAGAAACATAGCATGTTATTAAACATAACCATCGTATCAAAAAAATATTATTTACGTAATTTTATTTATATAGATAACATATGCCTTAAAACCTCCTTTGAATAACAGATAATAAATCTGATGTAACCGAGGAATTCCAAACTTAAATTGAATATTCAGTGAAAGTTTTTAAAAGACAAATAATGTTTTTCTGATTCATCCTTGCCTTATATGAGGTAAGTAGGTTTATGGATGGCATACAGGTTCTTAAAAAATAAGAGATGTTTCAATAATACTCGTTGCCAAATTTTCGATTAGTACTGTATAATATTATAATTAAATAACGAAAGAATATAATTTGTTATAACAGATTATAAATTTTAAGAATTCAAACAGATTATTTAATGCTGGCTGGTCATAAGTGATATGAAATTCTTAAATAAATTTAAATTCATTAAAAATAAAAAAATATATCGGATTATGTATAATATAATATTTTTAGTGACGTCATAATATTAATGAATGTACTTCATTATTCATGTTCTGCATACAGTAATTATATGTGGATGTTGGTTTATCACTCGATAAAATTTGTGACGGAGTATTTTTTAATATTATAATTATTTTATTACTACACTATCAGTAACATTATCACACGTTTTAAATAGTAATTAATACAGATAGTTTTGAATTTTTCATTCATAAGTTTTTAAACGTAAATATATGATTGGTAATATGGGAAATATTGATTAGGGTACTGTGTTAATCTGCATCATTAAACCGAATATGGGTAGTGTAGCTCATTCATTCATAAATCATTAGAGACAATCCGTATTTTCCTACACACGATGCAATAATAGTTATTCATTCATAAACTTTCGCGTACTTATACGTAATTGTTTATATGCGAAGAAGGTTTCGAATATGACGATGACAATTTGTGCTAAGCATAAAGAAATATTATTAGTACTTTTTTTAATACAATTATTTTATTTTATCTTGTAATCTTTATACCTTTAATATTATACAGGGTGACTGGTGAATTACTATCAATATTTAAGGAGAATACTCGGTACATGATTCTCATTCGAATTATGTAAAAAAAATAGGTACTTAATTTTTGACCAAATTTCCGTATAAATAAATAAAGTGTGAACACGTTCCAAGTGTTCCAAGTATGGACGCGTGCGGCGGCGTGCTGATACAACAACACGCCGCCGCACGCGTATGTGTGAGTGTGTGCGTATACCTAATCTGTAGGGTGTTCACACGATGCGTAATTAATCACATAACTTTTGGTTAACTTTACTTAGAAGTTTATTAATATTTAATATTTATGTTATATTAATTTTTATTTGGTCATATATGATCGTCAAATATCACGTCCTCAAATATCGATAGTAATTCACCAGTCACCCTGTATATATTTGGTAATAATGTATAATATCCACAATATCGGATATCGTAAGTGAATTGCAGGAAACAGTCATGGGTATTGCGAATGTGAAAGTGAATTAGTTTGTTCTCTATTACAATAATAATTTATTATTTAGTATGTTTTATAATGTTAATATTACAGGTTTAATAATCTATGATATATGTGACAATAAACAAGAAATAAAAACTCAATAAAAACCTAGTCGCGATAGGAAAATCGGTACATTATATACGATAATAAAATTATTGATATAAACAATTATAAATCACTACATACAGCTACCGGTCAATAAATAATAAAAAAAATCCGAGGTTATATTTTCATACAAAAAAATTATTTACACGTCAATTCATATGTTAATAATAGTGGACATTACAAAACGGTTAAAGTCTATACCGATTTTGTTGTACTCATCGGTACACACGCACTCATTCCGAGTACAGCTGTACCTAAAACACGTGATGATGACGTCATCGGCCTTGAATAAACACGCCTAAAATGTAATACCTAGAAAACTGAACTACTATTAAACAATTGTGTTATGATTAAACAGGAAAAGTATGTCGTTATTTGTTGATGACGTCACACGCTTGTAAATAATGCTTTCGAAAAACCCCGCGAACAAAGTTCACTAGACACAGATTATACGGTGAATTTATTTTCTTACGTATACAACCTCCTTAGTAACGAAACTGCATGTAGGACAAACAATGGCTGGCATTATGTTAAAACAAATGATTTGTCCAAATTAATTTGAACCTTTTTCCGTAGGAGACAATGACTATAATGGGACTGCCGTCATGGCTGCATTGGTTGGCGTGGTTCATCAAACAATTCTCTTTCCTATTAATATCTGTTATCCTCATGGTCATATTGTTTAAGGTAAGCTTAGATTTATTCAGGACAAATTATTAAGTTATATTAATATATTAATATAAGAAACTGGGTACATCGTAATAAAATTATTTAAGTAGTATAATTTTAGTATGACAAAAGAATGTCATTGACCCGAACCTTTGACAATTAATTCGTTTATTTTTTTACATTTGTCCAGGAATAACAGTAAATATTATGTATGTATTTGATGAATCATCAAATGACATCGACACTTTGAAGTAATTTGTTCATTGTTCATTATTTGTAACTTAAAATCGATGTCAGTTTTATATTTTTTTTTATTTGCTTTAAAATTGTATTAAACACTAATTAGTAGATATATTTCAATATAATGAATGTGTTTTTACGTAAGAAGAATTGTTTATAGTAATTACGACATCGCGTTTGTAAGTCCTAGACGTTAACTAGCTTTCTCCTGACCTTGAAGAATACTCGACTTTGTTGAAACTATAGTGTGAGATTTTTGACTTAAAAACTTAAACAATTCTTTATTCTGAAAGCGTAGATTATATTATAACAGCAAAACAAAGAATATATTAGTATTAAAATCTAGTAGAATAATTTTATTAATAATGAAAATATTTTATCTATGGTTTTATGATTTGACGCTGAGATTTTACAATTTAAAATTTTTATCCTGCATCTAAATTCTATACCATTTCGTTCCTAGTAACAAAAACATCGCCAAAAGACTAATAAAGTTATAGCTCCATTTTAATCTCTTAGATATTTTTTTATAATACATAGTAGTTTTATATGGTTCATTATATCGGCCTATCAGAGCCCACTGCTGAGCTGCCTCTTCTCACATGGAGAAGGTTTGAGCATTAACCACGCTTGCTCAAGACGGGTTGGTGATTTTAAACTTATAATTGTGAATAAGTCCAGGTTTCCTCACGATGTCCATTATATGTATAAGTAAATGTAATAAAAATATATGTATGTATGTTATAGATTCCCTTCAACTCTACGTCAGACGGTGAAGGGTACGCGGTCCTAACTTTCACACCATGGAGCGTACTATTCTTCTTCTTAATATTATTCGTGATCGCCTCATTGTCTTTCTGTTTTATGGTCAGCGTGTTTTTCACAAGAGGTCAGTATATTTGAACATTTCATTAGAACCCATTTATTGATACATCGATAAAATTATGTACAATGTGTGAAATGAAAATATGTACTAATATAATAGATTTCGTTAAATATTTATGGCATACTAGCTTTTAGTTTTGACTTCGATCGCTATATGAAGTATACTCTTTTTGTTTACACTATAAAAAAATTTATTAATGCCTCGTGTATCTGCAAATTCAAAGATAATAATTCTATTATTTATTTAATTACGTATAACAAATGGCATTGACGTAAAAACTGACAGTTTAATTCATATATATATATATAAATATATGTTTGTGTGTGTGTGTGTGTAAATTATAATATATGTATGTATTTTATAGCGAACACAGCGGCGTCGTTCATGGGCCTGGCTTGGTTCTCGACATATTCGGCTTATATGTTGACTCAAATGTTATATGAAGATATAAGTTTAACGACGAAGTTATTGCTAAGTTTGATATCGAACACAGCTATTGGTTACGCACTACAGATGTTGGTAGTATGTGAGGGAACTTCCAGAGGTAAGAAAATAGAGGAAACATATACTACTGTTTCAGTATATACTATATGTTCAATACAAATAAAAGATATAACTTCTTAAAACTAAGTCCGTACATAATTATATGTAATCTTATGTGACATCCATTATTTATCTCGCAAAAGTAATTTGATATACAATTTATAATTCATGAACATTTAACACTCCGTAAATGTTACCACGAAAGTATGAATGCATAAAAAAATCGATTAAAGACAAAAAAAAAAACAGAATTACATAAAAAAAAATGACGAACACAACGAAGGTCGTAATTGCAAAAACTTGAGAAATAACAACGGAAGTACTTGTAATTTAAAATTATTATTGAAATATTAATACAAAGTATGAATATAGCTTTATAATATACTAGATGTTTGCTGAGGATTTCATGCATATATGACCTTCTTCGAGATTATATCCCTACTGACTAAATGACAGTGGGCCTACCGAAGGTAAATGAATATTAGTTTAAAAAATAAAATTTAAAAAATAATAAAAGAATATAATGAGATTGAGAAGTCTCCTATATTTCAAGTGACTTAAAATGTAACTTCTGTTTTTCGTTATGACATAACCTACTAGCGAGCGAAAGTATTATCAAAATTGGTCCATCGGTTCTAAAGATTAGCCAGAACAAACAGACAACCAAAACTCTCGTATATGTTATTTCATATGCGTTTAGTGAAAAGCTATTAATTTGGAATTACAAACAGACAATTCAATTTTAGTTAATTATCTCCCATGTAAGGGCTTGAAAACAACATCACCAAGGACCCAACGGACTAAAAACAAAACGGATGCCCTTATCAATTATTATATAACAATTTGGCGGCATATCTATAAAAGGAGGTTATATATTGTTATTAAAACTAATACTTTAAAACAACGATATTATCCCAATACAATTATATGTAATCTAAAAATCGATATTGCACAAACGTCCTCGGTCTCAGCATCGCACGTGTACGACACTAGTAATATGACAGAAATAGAAAAATACACTACTATACAATCATATAAATTATACATTATACAGTGTGTAATCTCAGCGATATTATTTGTATATACGTTATTATATTATACTATTATACACAGTATAATTTATAATGGTCATTCCTTTGTTATCCATTAAATTTTACATACATATACTTTCGATTTTCTCAATGAGATTATTCGTAAATAGATTATTCTAATTACGTGAATGCGAAATGTAAAATTTGTATATAACTTTATATTTATGCTTATTCCAAGTTAACGTCATTACACTATACGTACTATTATGTTTTTCATTCATAAATCTTCACACATTATAGTACATTAAACGTAAGTTATTGGATAAAACGGTAAAAGCTACGTGTGCAGTTTGAAGATGCACACTTCATACTTGCACTATGCAATGCATACGTGCATGCAGTGTGAATGCCCTGGCTTATGCATACGACCTAATTACTTAAGTATTGAATATTATTGAAATTGAGAGTAACTACAAAGAAATTTATATTAATTGATCCCATTAGAGTTCATATAGCATTGTATCAAAATAATTTGAACCAATCAATCCGTTCTCAGCAGCGGTAGCGTCTAATAAAACCATTTAATACTAATGTCTGTTTGCTTGTGTTTGTATGCGTGACGATTCCAATTAAACCATATATCTATCAAACAATCAATTTTAAATCTTATTCCCATATAGATAAAGTACAGTTTCATCTGTATAAACATGAATAACAAAATAATTTCGGTCATTGAAATTGTAGAAAGCAATAATAATACATTTAAATATCCATTTACGAATTCTCTTGAACTTTTTTGACGAAAAATATATTCTTTCTCTTCACCTTGAGAATACACGTTTATAATCCTATTATCTACTTTAGAAATAGATTACTGGATACATAGATATTTAACACCTGTGTGTAGTTACTGTAATTTTACTTAGGACCATATACTTCCAAATACAGGGTGACTGGTGAATTACTATCAATATTTAAGGAGAATACTCGGTACATGATTCTCATTCGAATTATGTAAAAAAATAGGTACTTAATTTTTGACCAAATTTCCGTATAAATAAATAAAGTGTGGACACGTTCCAAGTTTTCCAAGTGTGGACGCGTGCGGCGGCGTGCTGATACAACACCACGCCGCCGCCCGCGTGTGTGTATACCTAATCTGTAGGGTGTTCACACGATGGGTGATTAATTACATAACTTTTGGTTAACTTTACTTAGAAGTTTATTAATATTTATGTTATATTAATTTTTATTTTATCATACATATATGATCGTCAAATATCACGTCCTCAAGTATCGATAGTAATTCACCAGTCACCCTGTATAAGAATAGTAATATGTATGTACTATCAAATTATGAGAAGTTCTGTCAAGTAGTACTACATAGTAGTATCTTATGAGTTATGCCTTATCAATATATCAGTATTAAGATGTTATATCATTGAATGTATTACAATGTAACATATCATACATACAATATTTTAATAGTACAATCTTTATGATCAAAGCGATTGATATGATTTTTATGATCAATGTACTCTGTTTCGATAAATATGCTTACCACAAGTTTTGCCTTGCATTAAATACGTAGCGTTTCTCGTTTTTCATACAATAATCTACGTGAATACTTTTATTTGTTAAGTTTGATGAATGTAAAACATTAAAAATATTGTCAAGTGTGATCATTTTTCTTAACAGTATCGATATTTTTGACTGTAATAAACGACCTTGATTTTTTGTGATACTTTTTTTGATATTTGAAAGACTGTTAAACTAAACTGTTTACAATATCAACCTATAAACGGCTTAATGTTCCACGCTCATGTACCAAGCGTGTAATAACTGTACTATAATTGACTATGCGACTATATTGTTTAACTATAGAGAAGAGAAACATTGAAATGCATTTGAATTGAACATTTAAAATTTGTATTAAAAAAAGTCTTAAAACGTGTTGCATTGTCGAACGAATTACAAATAGTATAAATATAGTACTAGCTTTCTGCCCGCAGCTTCGCCCGCGTGGAGTTCGGTTATATCGCGTTTCAAAGAGAACCTTTCAAAAGTTTGGGATAAAAACTATCCTATGTTCTTTCTCAAGGTCAACTCTATCTCTGTACCAAATTTCATTAAAATCAATTCAGTGGTTTAGGCGTGAAAGCGTTACAGACAGACAGATAGACAGAGTTACTTTTGCATTTATAATATTAGTAGGGATATAGAGAAGTAAGAAATGTTTATATTTTGTTTGAACATGCAAACACGGGATATTATAGTTGTATATGTTTTTAAGGTCTACAATGGGACGAGTTCTTCATGCCGGTGTCCTATCATGATCAGTTCCAGCCGGGTCACGTAGCGCTCATGCTGGTCCTAGATTCGATTCTGTACATGCTAATAGCTGTGTACGTCGAGAAAATTCGACCCGGCTTATACGGAGTGCCGTTGCCATGGTATTTTCCGTTCACAAAAAGTTTCTGGTGTCCCGATAACACTAAAGTTGCTGGTAAATACATTTTTATCTTTTATCTAATACAATTGCATACAATGTTGCGTATCAGAGATCTTGCATTTTCCTGCATTTTTTTAATTTAATTGTCCTTACAATGTAACGTGTTAATCTATCGATTATATGTTATCGATAATTAATATAGCTGTCATTAACGGTCACGGTCAATAATGAACGACCGTAGTGAATAATTTCAATAGGACATATTGATATATATATCGATTAATTTATATCGATGTTTAAATCACAGCACTATCGAATAAAGACGGCGTCGATCAGGAATACAAGAACGCTCTGTTGAAAGTAATACACGATGAGGAACCGAAGGGCGTACCGATGGGCATTAATATAGAGGTATGTTATAATTTAATTATTTATAATAATATTTTTTTATATCGAAATACCTAGTAGCAATACACAGTCATTTTGTTATTATTAAAACATCCACGTGTCGCAATCAATTCCAATTAACAGCAGCGTCTTATTAAATAATAAATGAGCAAAAAAATATTGCTTACATTTATATTGGTAACTATTTTATTTTAATAAAAAAAAGTAATTTTGAATTGGCAATCTGATATGATATAAATAAAATAGTATAAATAAATCAAATTTAAACTTTACTTCAATTTTTATTTTCACTGTAGAGCCCCGAAAAAAGGCGGGAAATAATAAAAAAAAGTTTTGTCAATTTTGACACTGGCATTATCAATTATTCGGTGTCAAATTAAAAAAAAATAAGTCAGTACATCTTTTTGGTGTATTTTATAGTACCTAAACAAAAAGTTTTCGATTCTAACATTATCCTTTAATCAATACAGTCAAAGTTATAAAACGATTCATTATTGCAATGACGTTATTGTATACGCAACACGGGACCTTGAACTCTGTCATACCTTTTTAGATGCTGTTCGGTCAACAAGGATGGCGGCAATGAATAATATTTGTTTTTTATGTAACTGTACAATTATATATACGTTTTTGGATTCAACGAATTTAAATAACTGAAATTCTAATCACACTTTACATATTGTGCCGTCGGAATATAAAATGTTGCTTAAATCAACAGTTTTTCCTTCCAGAATCTTACGAAAGTATACAAAGGAAGGAAAAAGGCTGTCGATAATTTGAATCTTAGGATGTATGAAAATGAAATAACAGTACTGCTTGGTCACAACGGTGCCGGGAAAACGACGACTATATCAATGTTGACGGGTGAATATTATAACTACAAACTAGTTATAGCCCACGACTTCACTCATCATTAATGTTATTCATAATGATTTATCGCTTTATATAATTGCATCCAAATCATCTAGCCAAACAAACGCACAGACAAACGAGTTCCATATTACAATAATTATAATTAATGCCCTTCAACATCAATAAGGGGCGTACTAGTGCGAAAAGATCTTAATCATTAAGGACACAAAATACGTCACAATTAATGTCCACGTAGCACGTACCTCACTAATTAATCGATTTATATATATTCTATCGACTGTATGTATATAAATGTGCCTTTAAAACATCGTGTAACAATGAAATTAAATGAATTTTAATTATACATACTTTTAGTCTAACTTCAATTTAAATGCTCAAGGTCGTAATTGTGTCAGTCTCACTTATTTATCTATGGTAACTTTTTGGTGGTATATTATTAACATATATTTCTGTATATGGCCACCAAATTGGAAAATAATATATTTTTAAACATGGTATTCTGTATCAATGAATTCATTCAACGTTTCTTTCAAGATCCAATGCAGTTTACGAACAGGAATAGACCTTTTTCTTTCCAACATTCCATGGGCCATACGTCATGAGCCATATATTACCTTTCTTCCACTATTTCTTCTAACTGTCAACTTATTCCCTTCCCTCTCTGATCCCATACTAGTTTCGGCCCTTTAATCCTATTTTCCTTTGATGTGACTAGGCTAAGATACATCCTCATGTATCACTTCATTTTCTTTTATCATCCACCATCATATCCAAGTCAAGCCTGGGGAAAAAATATGCTTCAATAAACCACATTCGTCTCCATTTTTTAACCCTATTTTAAAAATTAATTGAACATAATGAAAAAACATCATTTACCTTTGAGAAACTGTGTATTTTGGGGGAAAAGAACCCACTTTTACTCCACCAGATCTTTCATATATATGTATTTATCTACCAGGTATGGTTCCACCATCATCCGGCACGGCAACTATAAACGGTTACGACATCACCCGTGAGACGGAACAGGCTCGCAAGTCCATCGGCATATGTCCACAACACAACGTCTTATTCCCCGACCTGACTGTAGCTGAACATATTATATTCTACTCAAGATTAAAAGGAGTCCCAGCCTCTAAGTTACAGGCGGAGGTAGATCATTTCGTGAAGCTGTTAGAATTGGAGGAAAAGGTAAGCTATATTTAATACAACACACAAGTTTGTGGTTGGTGCCACAGCCTATGTTTGTGGTTCGAACTAAACTCGCCGAAACACATAAACGGAATTTTGTTTTTTGTATTATAATCATAGAGTAAGCGAAAATAAGAAGCGATCGGAAAAAACATCAGGTTACTCGTATAGTACGCCTTTATTCACGTATTTAATATTATTACACATATATGTTTGTATGAAAATAATATTATTATCAAGACATTGCCGCATTTTTATACATATACAGTTTTAGCAAAATAACAAAAATAAAATTACGATTGCTTTGACAGGAATTAATGTATGTCAAATTTGACAGTGGATTCCATTTACGGTCCTTTAAAATACTGAAATTATAAGTACCGATTAAAAAAGGTATATTAGTGACGATGCTATATAAGTGATATCATATAATACATACATTGCATAGGATATTTTGAATATTTGCTAATATATCCCAAGACCACATTTAAATAAACTGCTTATAGTAATTGATCCAAAGATAATCAAATACTAAATTTAAACAAAGCGCTTATATTTACTATTCCGAATAAATAGATTAATTTTTTTATTAATCTCTTACGAGACTCATCGAATGAATGGTTTGTTTATAATAGTAACCGGTAATAATAATTAATTAGACTTTATCTCACACATCTCGAATAGCGTTAGACAATAAAGTAATTCTTTTCATAATTCAAGTACGATCTTAGCAGACAATTAAAAAATACATTATACTTAAATTACGAAGCAAATTATTTCTTTTATTTGTTTTCGGTTTAAAATTTAAGCGATTGTAAGACACGAAACCTCTTAGCATTCAATGGATTCACCGTGCGGGTGCCGGGTCCATCGCGTTACAGGGAGAGGAGCTTCAACAGTGCCTGGGACTTGCGACCCAGGTGTAGGTTTAAGGGACCCCTATCTAACGCGCGTTATACGCTTACCTCCACTATCCAAGCTGCTCTCTCTACCTAACCAAATTTGAAAAGAACCTACTAGGCCTGCCTTCAAAGTACGTTCCAAGAATGAATCTATTTATTCAAAAATTGTAAGCGATAATTCACGAAGTATATTTTAAAATAAACTACTGAGCAATTTAATGTGAGAATAATGATTGTAAATAAAAAAATATATAAATTATAGGAAGTCTCGTAATAGTTGTTCGAATGCCTCATTTTCCAGCTGACATTTGCACCCACCGTTTATTTTCTGTAATTAATGTTAAGAGTTGGCTTGTAATTTTTTTTTCCTATATAGATATATTATTTTATAATGTTAATCTATCCTCGCCCTCGGGCAATGTTTAATAGCGTTCTTGTTATTGGAAATATTATCACGTATTATTAATCAAGTTTTTATAAGTAACTTCACCCGAACACAGCCATTCAGTGGTTTTTAGACAGAATTCATGAAATCGTTGAAACGAAATTTAATACGGATATCATGTTTGCTTATTCCGAGTTGACGTCATCACTGCATACGGACCGTTAATAGTTTTATTTCGTGAAACTTAACTTTAATCCATATTATTAACGTAGGTTATTGAATACGAATCAGGTACCGCTTCGTAAGTAGTGGCGGTACGAACTTGGACTAAAAATACTTATATATAAAGTTTCTTTTCATTTGTATGAACTGTTAGAAAAATCACTAGCAATTCTAAGCTGTAGATTGTCTAGCAGAAACCCGTATTAAGATATAGAACGACCTTTGGTTTCACGGTTTTTTATGCATACTTACATTTTTTGTTCATCGGTGTAAATAAAAACTATATAACATTATCATGATATTATATTTATAATGAGTAATTAAAATAGTTGTATGATCAGTAACTTACAAAACACTCTCAAAAACTTTACTTGTTTTGATAGTCGTATTTGAAGTTATTATATATGTAGGATTCTTAAAAATCATGAAAAAATAGGGGAGCGTCGGTTATATCGTACCACTTTTCACTTTAACTCAAATATTTCGACTATAACACGTCTTATAATAATTAATACATATGTAAAATAAAGTTTCATATTTTAACTTCCTAAGAAGAAGAGAACAGATCCTTGCGATTATTCTAACATTGTTAAAAATGCTTTTTTATAGAGGCTTGCAATCGGTACGATTTAGCCAACTAGTCGTTTTAATCGTACCACTAAGTCTTTAAATCGTACCATGGGTGTTTAAGTCGTACCACTGGATGAAAGACATTAAAATTCTCAATCAAATTATTTATTTTTACCTGTTAGGTAAGTAATTAAACAACATTATTTATATCTTTTAGGGAATAGAAACATAATTTTTAACTCTTAGGTTATATAAAGGAACGATAAGCTTTCTCAGTAAAATAACATGATTATACTATGATAATGATCTCAATCAACATAACTAATAAAAATGAGACAAAAAAATAGTAAACTGTAATAATAAAGTAACAGTTAACAAGAATGTTATTTGTAATATAATTATTGTGCATATTTCTTAATGGAAACAATCATGACAAATGTCTGGATTCGAAGTACACGTCTCATGTAGCCACCGTTTACAGCGAACGCATTGAATCCAATCAACTTTTGAACCCTTCTTGTCACAGTAAGAACAATTGCACTTTCCACGTTTATTTTCAAGATCATCATCATCTAGTTCTACACCAAGTGTCTCTCCTGAATCATCGCTACTGGTGATGGAATGAGATCGTTTCCTCTTATAACTTTTGTTTTTGGGTAGTACTTACTATACGTACTTGCGGTAGTACTATAGGTACTAGCAGTTGGTAGTCGGGTAAATCGTACCAGTACAATTTATCCAACTGCAAGTGGTACGATTAAACCAACTAAGGCATTTCTAAAACAAAAGCAAATATCCGGCATAAACTCTAAACTTAGACACGCAACAAAAACACCCAATAATCTAGTATACAATTGTGGAATAATAAAAAAAACTGAATAACTATAGCTTACCTTGATTACGAGTTATCTCCTTACGAATGTACGACAATATTTATATTAACTCCTACAAAAAATGTTTTTCTTTTATTACGTACACAGTTGTTAACTCACGTCGATTTAAACTAGTGGGTGAAGAGGGATGATACAGGGCCACGATTTGGCGTTGTCAGTGTAGAAAAAAATATTCATTAAATGGGAAATTTAGAAGTGGTACGATTTAAATGCTAGTACGATATAACCAACTCTCCCATATATAGTTGTCTTATAAAATCAGGAATTTTAAATTACAAATCAAACCTTAACTAGAATGAAATAATTTTTATTTTAAACCAAAACACCTTCAATAAGTTAAATTCAATTTAAAAGATACAATTTGCGTTGATAAATACTTTCCCGCGTAAAAGTGATCAAACCAAATGTCATCGCTTTAATATCACTTCAGGTGCGTTCACGTATATATATTACTAGAAGACCTGGCGAACTTCGTATCGCCCTATAATCAAGAAATATCTATTAAGTTATTTTATTTATATTTTAGGAGTTTACCTGTAAGCCATAAATTTCCGTGTTTTGAAGTGCGACAGAATGATTGACATATTAGTAAGTTGTCAAATCTAATGTCAAAAAAAAACGTTTGTATGGGAAATAGAAAAGGGCTGTTTTTATGGTTTTCCCAGTAATGAATCAATTTTTTTCAGCTTTTATACCTTCCCTGAACCTCCACGAACATTTCAAGACTAAGATAAGATAAATCCGTTCAGCTGTTCTCGAGTTTTAGCGAGACTAAGGAACAGCAATCCATTTTTATATATATAGAAGATTTGTTAAAGTTCAACGTATAGTTTGGCAATTTAGAAAGGTATTTCAGACGATAAAACTTTTGGTAAAAATCCATAGATTCATTCAACAAAATATACTTACAAATAACGTTTTCTCATCACATTTAATACATTTATATAAACCCCAGAACTAAAGCCATCTATATAATAAACTAGCTTTTGCCGCGACTCCGTCCGCGTGGAATAGTGACTTCCGGCAGATTTTTGGTTCTTCCCACATAGTTCCCGTTCTTGCAGGCTTTTCGGAATTGTCGAGTTCCCGCAGAATTTTCAGGATAAAACCTTTGTTTTTTTTATCCCTACTAATATTATAAATGCGAAAGTAACTCTGTCTGTCTGTCTGTCTGTCTGTCTGTCTGTCTGTCTGCTACGCTTTCACGCCTAAACCACTGAACTGATTTTAATGAAATTCGGTACAGAGATAGAGTTGACCTTGAGAAAGAACATAGGATAGTTTTTATCCCAGACTTTTGAAAGGTTCTCTTGGAAACGCGATATAACCGAACTCCACGCGGCGAAGCTGCGGGCGGAAAGCTAGTTCACAATAAAGTACACTTAACCAACAACATATTTCTTTGTTTATTTGAATAAAGATTAATATTATTATGTTGATACAACTTAAACAAATTATTTCAACCAAATTAGGTCCCATAAAAACGGTTTTTATGAGTTAATCTTAAAAGATAAACATATACTGTCGCGGACTGTTTTTAGATCATTAAAAGAGCTATTATTCTTTCATACATATTTTTTGTGTATCTTAAACCGTTTTCACGGCGCACGCAACGGAAGGCTTCAAAGATGAAATAGCTTCTCCCGTTTTTTACCAATTTACCACTATATCTTTGCTCCTATTGGTCGTAGCGTGATGTTATATAGCCCACAGCCTTCTTCGATAACGGGACTATCCAACACAAAAAGAATTATTCAATTCGAACCAGTAGTTTCGGAGATTAGCGCTTTTAAACAAACAAACAAACTCTTCAGCTTTATAATATTAGTATAGATATGTTTATACAATATATGTTATAATGTATTATGTAACAAAATTCTTTGATACATATTTATTATACTTAATCGCGTAAAACTAATTACCATCCAATCGCGCCCAGTTTATATCTAATAAGTTAATTATTTAATAATTAGCGTTTTTTATCATCGTTTTACATTTAAATTTATTTTTATCTATATATCCGTACATAGGTATGTTATTATTACGTCTGTATTTTAACTGTTAAATAAAGATATTTGAATATAAGTACACGTTACATTCTGATTAATAAGCCGTTTTATTGTTTTATTATTATTAAATGTTTAAGTACCGATGTTTCGAATACCAATTCATCTTCAATTTCAAAGTAAATCGTAAATATAACTATGTAATATATGTTTTGAATGAAAAATTCATTGAGACGAGCAGGATTTGAGACTGTTATGTTCGAAATATTACCTTCTAGTTGTTTTAATATTTATTTCGGTTACTTTACGTTTACAGTAGATATGAAAAAAATATCCGATAAGTATCTGGCATCCGGCTTATCCGGCCTTCTTTTTAATATTCGGCTGAATGCCGGTAATTCAGTATTCGGTCTGATACTGGGTAGTAAAAAAAATCTCATTGTTATACGTAAGGCAAATCATCACAATAGGTTATGGACATCTTATTTTTATGTATACAGGGTGACTGGTGAATTACTATCAATATTTAAGGAGAATACTTGGTACATGATACTCATTCGAATTATGTAAAAAAAATAGGTTACCTAATTTTTGACCAAATTTCCGTATAAATAAATAAAGTGTGGACACGTTCCAAGTGTTCCAAGTGTGGACGCGTGCGGCGGCGTGCTGATACAACACCACGCCGCCGCACGCGTGTGTCGCTACCCCCAACCCCCGCCCCGTGGCTAATTAGTCGGGCGAGCGCCGCCGTAAGGTCTGTACGTCCGTCTTCCCGCGCGCGCGCCTAGCGATCGATCTTACGCGTATACCTAATCTGTCGTGTGTGCGTGTGACCCGTTATTACTTATTAGTAATTAACTATGGCTTATCAATACACAAATGCAGAATACTTGGACATGGTTCGTGCGTATGCGCGTGCAAATGATAGCTTGCCGGGCGCAATCAATTTTTACCTACCTACATAACTGTTTTATGTCGATAACGCAGCTAGGGTGTCCACACGATCCCTGTGGCTTAGCAAAAGAGCGGCGCGTGGGACACCTGTGGGGTTTTAGTCGGTAGTGCGTCCTTTTCAGGACGAGAGTCCGACATAACTCTCCTTGCTTTCTTCCCCAGGCAGGAGAGTATGCATGAAGCATTTCCCCATGATAAAAAAAAAAAAAAAAAAAAAAAAAAGGGTGTCCACACGATGCGTAATTAATTACATAACTTTTGGTTAACTTTACTTAGAAGTTTATTAATATTTATGTTATATTAATTTTTATTTTGTCATATATGATCGTCAAATACCACGTCCTCAAGTATTGATAGTAATTCACCAGTCACCCTGTATAGATTCAAAATTTGGCAAGTGGCAAATTGTGCTGAATGAATACCAAGTTTTCCGCATATGTTTGTAGAACACGAGAGTCGCCTCTGATAACAGTCTTCCGCTCTAAACGCTACTGCCAGGTAGTGGAAGATAAATTTCATTAAACCTAGACAATTGGTTCTGATTTAAACTGACAACGATAGGTTGTCATAGCGATTGATGCGAGAAGTCTTTAAAAAAAACAATCTCTCAATGATCACGGACAGACGAGATAAAATCGCAGACACTTGTAAACATATAAAATAATATAATAAATCGTGTATCATATAAGAAAACTATATTTTCGTTTGAAAATAATTATTGTTAGAAGTTATACAATATAGAATTTAAATAGAATAAATTGGTTTTATAAACACTATAAGTACGGACAGTAAAATCATAACGAAAGCTGTAGTAATTAAATCATAATAAAACCTGTGGAATGTATTAAAATATGACATTAACTTATTGTTAGATTCATTAAAAATATTAAGTCGTAAAAGCCCGCAAGGTCCGCCTCACATGCAAGATGGTGTGTATTCGAAATCTGGCAAGTACTAATGTGATTTTTTCCAAATATATGTACTTTCTAAGAGTATTTAGACATCACTGACCGGCGGTGAAGTTTAAAATCCAAATCCATCTTTAGCAAGCGTGGTAATTATTGCTCTAACCTTCTCCATATGAGAAGATGCCTTTGCTCAGCAGTGGGCACCGATAGGCTGATGATAATGATATTAATAGGCTAAGTATCAGAATAGCATAGTATAACGAATTTCGGTAAGGTCCTATAACGAAACTGGCGGAAATATTACTGTATTTAAATATTATATGTACATACATATATGAAATTGCAATAATGCAGTGTCAAAATAGTTCGAGGGACGTAAGTTTTTACCTTGATAAAATTTACACTAACGGTTACAAAGTATAAAATTTAGTCAAAATAAAAGAAACGAAAATTGTAAATTTAAAAACTTCCAAAGCCGTCATTGTATTTATTTGGACAAAGCATTGAATAACACGAATTATAATAACACGATTGTCATTTATATATTGAACGGAAATTAAAAATTCAAAATCAAAAACTTTCTTTTTTTTTCAATGACCTTTAATTTTAAAGGTTAAAGCAAGGCCCACCTTGAAACAAGTTACACAGATAATAACTTATTATAACACACAGTGTTTTTGTATTAATTATTTCGTATCTATAAAAAAAGATATTGTTTGGATATCATGTCGAACAAATGCTTCTTTATTAGCATTTTAAATAAATTTATTTAGTTTACGTACTAATAAACAGTATTCTGCTAAAATTGTTTATGTGGGTACATCCAAACTTTCTTAAAGTTAGTGACATTTGTATGAACTGTTATGGTACTAATAGTTAACAATTCTATCATATTACAAAAATTTTAAACCTATGCATACAGTCTGTCCAAGTAATTTCGTAGATAACAAAATTATAATACCAATTAGCGTTACTCATAAATTAAGTTTGCCTTATCTTTTATCAGACACTACTATCTCTGTAAAAGAAATATATTCAAATACATATGGAATTTATAGTTAAAAGTAAATTATTAAATATAAACTAACAAAAATTAATAATTGAAACAACATTAATTTCGTAACTAGTTTTTTTTATATCGATACTAGAAGACCCGGCGAACTTCGTATCGCCCTATAATCAAGAAATATCTGTTACGTTTTTTTATTTATATTTTTGAAGTTTACCTATTAAAGCCATACATCTTCGTGTTTTGAAGTGCGACAGAATGATTGACATATTAGTTAGTTGTCAAATCTAATGTCAAAAAAAAAACGTTTGTATCAATAACTACTAATAAATTAAAAATTAATTAAAAAAACGTCCAGCGGACAAAATTGTGAATCTAAACCATTCCTAGATCCCCTTGAACACACAGAAGAATTATATATATATAAAGATAATATTATAACTGGCCGAAATGTATTAACAATAAAAACAAAAGACTAATAGAACTCAAAGGAAAATTCGATTTTCAAATTACATATACAGATATTAACTATTTATCAACAGCGTAATGTAATATCGAAGCATCTATCAGGAGGTCAAAAGCGTCGTCTGTCTGTTGGGGCGGCGATGTGTGGCTCATCTAGAGTGGTACTACTAGATGAACCTACATCTGGTCTAGACCCTGCCGCTAGACGATCACTATGGGACCTATTACAGCGGGAAAAGAAAGGTCAGTTAGCATACTTTTTTAATCTATGGTCGCCATTATTACATAATACATTCAGCTAATGTCACATAGGAAATGTAATAAGTAATGGAAATATATTTATTTTTTTATTTTAATGACCGATTGTTGTCATCATACAGAACTCTTCTTATGTAACTACATTATACATTTGTAAAGAAAAATATGACAGAGAAAAAAAAAGTGAATAAACTTAAAACCTTCTTTCAAAGTTATAACTTCACATATAACTTCTATCGGATTTTGATATTAACAAGATAAAATGTATTGCTTAATATATTCATTATCAGGTCGTACAATGATATTGACGACCCACTTTATGGATGAGGCGGATGTTTTGGGTGATCGTATCGCCATTATGTCCGGTGGCCGCCTTCAATGTGTTGGTACGCCTTATTTCTTGAAGAAGCACTATGGAATCGGATACAAACTGACCATAGTCAAGCGAGATAATTGCAATGTCAATGACGTGACGCAGTTCTTTAAACCGTTCGTGCCTGATATAAGGGAAAATACCAATATAGGTGATTAACACGATATATATTTGCCCTATACAGGGTGACTGGTGAATTAGTATCGATACTTGAGGACGTGATATTTGATGATCATATATGACAAAATAAAAATTAATATAACATAAATATTAATAAACTTCTAAGTAAAGTTAACCAAAAGTTATGTAATTAATTACGCATCGTGTGAACACCCTACAGATTAGGTATACACACACACTCACACATACGCGTTTGGCGGCGTGGTGTTGTATCAGCACGCCGCCGCACGCGTCCACACTTGGAACACTTGGAACGTGTACACACTTTATTTATTTATACGGAAATTTTGTCAAAAATTAAGTGCCTATTTTTTTTTTACATAATTCAAATGAGAATCATGTACCGAGTATTCTCCTTAAATATTGATAGTAATTCACCAGTCACCCTGTATGATTTTTTTTTTAATTTCTTCTAATGTGCCTTTTTATTCAGGTTCTGAATTAACATACATTCTGCCAAATGAACACGTCAACAAATTCCCCGATATGCTCAAAAAGTTCGAAGAGGAAAAAGATAATTTAAAGATATCAAGCTACGGTTTGTCTGTGACGAGTCTGGAGGAAGTTTTTATGAAGTATATATATTAATATATTTTTTGCAATACTCAATGTAAATACAACAAAATGTATGTAAATTTATTCTGTTTTGGTCGTCAGAGCCGGCGCTGAGGAGAACGATGTTTCGGACAGAAAGAAAAACGGTACAAGTGTGGCAACACATAATGATTGTGCGGTAGGACCAATAGATCGACATCACAACATATGTAAGCAATAAAGACAAAATAACACTTAATGCTTTACTATAAGGTTTAAATTTCCATAACTATAATTTCAGTGGACAATGAACCGATACAGAAAGTGAGAGGATTCAAACTTCTCCGAAACCACATAAAGGCGATGTTCCTAAAACTTTGCTACAACACAATGAGGAATAAACTAGCTTCATTCATACAAATAATAACACCAATAATAAATATATCTATATCAGTGTGGATAGCTCGCTCTTGGAAATTCATGTCCCAATTGCCACCGTTGGAACTAAGTTTGGAGAGTGGCTTTAGAAAAACTGTCACTTTAGTATCAGAAGGAACGAATTTAACTGATAACAGCATAGAAAGGAGAGCAATGATGGCTTATAAGGACTACTTCAAAAGTAGTTCAAACCCGACCATGTTGTTGACTGATATCGGAAGATTAGATCTATCCAAGTTCTATTTGAAATTGGTAATTTTGTATGTATATGCAAACTCTTTAATTTTGGCCTCTTTTTTAATGTTTTTTTTTTTGCAGCTTCAAGCAGATTTGCCGAGGGTTCGTTATGAGAATTTAGTAGGGGCTACGTTCTCACCTCAACGTATAACGGCGTGGTTCAGTAACTATGGTTACCATGACTCGGCTATATCACTCGCCATGGCCAATAATGCCATCATGAGAGCTCTATCGCCAGGCAGTTCCTTACGATTTATCAACCACCCACTACCCTACTCCATTGAAAATTTGGTAAGGACTTTATAATCAATTTACTCAAAGTCTCACTGTTACAGAACGTTCATAGTTTTAATTTTATATTACTTTAAGCACGTTCACTTTTATGGGAAAAATAAAAACAAAAAAATTACCATACTCATTAAAGTAAAACATATTTTTTGGAAAAAAGTAAAGAGAGACGGAATGATCGTTATCACACATATATTGTATCTTAGTAACGTTCCACTAAAATTATGTTGAAACATATCTATATATATGTACTACTAAATACATATATCTACTAGAAGACCCGGCGAACTACGTATCGCCCTATAATCAAGAAATATCTGTTACGTTTTTTTATTTATATTTTTGGAGTTTACCTATTAAAACCATAAATCTCCGTGGTTTGAAGTGCGACAGAATGATTGACATATTAGTTAATTGTCAAATCTAATGTCATAAAAAAAGTTTTTATCAATAACTACTAATAAATTAAAAATTAATTAAAAAAACATTGTCCAGCGGACAAGATTGTGAATCTAAACCATTCCCAGATTCCCTTGAACACACAAAAAATTTCATCAAAATCGGTTCAGTCGTTTGAGAGAAGTTCAGTGACATACACACTCACAGAAGAATTATATATATAAAGATATACTATATCTATATTTATGGCATACAAACCTTGTTCCAGGTCCGTGTGATGGCGAGCGGCAGCAGTATGGGATTTCAGTTCGCATTTAATATCGGATTCTGTATGGCTTTTGTTACATCTTTTTTAGTTCTCTTCGCTATTAAGGTACTTCAATATTAACAAAATTTTTATTATGATTTTTTTTTATTCGAATTGACATTGCTTGCAGTGTACTTAAAAATATATATATTATTTTTTTGTTATATAACACGCTTTACTCTACGTAGTGATGCTATCCTAAATTAAGAAAAAATATTTTATTTAAATGCGATTTTTTTTATTAATCTCTCTATAATAAATATGCTTGAATAATTTTGCTTAGCGAATCTATTTCAAAGAAATGGTTTAACTAGCTAAATAAATATAATATAAAGGCCATTTTACACTTAATATCTAATTATAAGGCAACTCACATATTGATATATAGTCTGTTATGTTATAAGGAGCGTGTAAGCGGCGCGAAGCTACTCCAGCGAGTATCAGGAGTACGTCCCGCAATAATGTGGACGACCGCCCTTATATGGGACTGGTTCTGGCTGTTCATAGTATTCATAGCAATCATAGTCACACTTGGATTCTTCCAAGAGAACACACTAGCGACACCCGCTGAATTAGGTACGTTCCAACACAATTAACTACTTTTATGACATACTAGCTTTCAACCCGCAGCTTCGCCCGCGTGGACTTCGCTTATATCGCGTTCCCAAGAGAACCTTTCAAAAGTCTGGGATAAAAACTATTCTATGTTCTTTATCAAGGTCAACTCTATCTCTGTACCAAATTTCTTTAAAATCAGTTCAGTGGTTTAGGCGTGAAAGCGTAACAGACAGACAGAGTTACTTTCGAATTTATAATATTAGTAGGGATCTGTCACTACGGTCTGACAATTTGTGACAGATGACACGATAGTAATGATAGATTATTTATCTGTCATAGTTTTGACAGATTAGTGATGTCAATTTTAACATAATGTCAATATGATAAATTAAATGTTCTTAAATATTTTGGCATACAAATTGCCATCCATAATATAGTGTGAATAAAGTCTTGAGTTCATCATATTATAGTTTAATTCGCCTCATATATGTACTAGTATTATTAATTATATAAATATTTTCTATGTAAAGTTTATTTAATTATTATTAAGTTTCCATATAAAAAATGCTCTTATGTTACAGGGAGGGTGATGTTGGTTTTAATTATATTCGCCTTCGCGATGATACCGTTACACTATTTGGCGTCCTTTTATTTCGAAGCATCAGCGACTGGTTTCTCAAAAATGTGCTTCATCAATATATTTTCAGGTGATTTTATTAACATATATTTAATAAAGAAGAATATTTTTTCTTAACTAATTTATATGTATATATTTTTAGGTTGTATGCCTTTCTTAATAACAGAAGTGTTAAGATTACCGGAGGTCGGTAATCCGTACTATGCCCATATATTCGACTGGGTGTTCTCGCCTCTACCTATATACTGTATCAGCAGAAGCTTCAGGTATATTATTTATTGAATTTATGGAATATATATATTTTTTAGATTGACAGAAAAATATGTGATTACAATTACTAATATATATATTATCATAATATGTATATAAATGAATATATAATATAATATAATGAATAAAAAATAATTATATGTATATGTCGCGTTCTTTTTAAATTTTACGTTTTATTCCTGACTTACAATATAATGGCACGCTATAAGCAGTTCGTGTACACAACCTTAAATATTTTTTATTAAAAACCTTTAACATTTTTTAACGTTTACCCAATATTATTTTATGCAGATGATTTACCAACTTATGTACATAGTATAATAAATTAAAAAATATATAAAACAAACATTACTGTATAGGTGTTTCAAAAAGTATATATGTATATATACATATATATGTGTATGAATATATTATTGTATATGTCACCAGGGATATGAGCGTGTCTTCGTTCTCCCTGCTCGCGTGTGACGCTCTGTGCGCGCAGCTGCCCGGTGTGAACTGCACTCGCTTCACGGTCTGCACGAAACTCAACGTCTCGGTTTGTTGTAGTACGTGATTCTGTTATACAAGAAACTTAACACTGACAATTTAATGTTAACTCCTACGAAACTTAGTTCTAATAAATTTCTAATTGCATTTCCTCAAGTGTAAAATGGTATTTTTCTGACACATTAACTAACAATTTCATTTTATTAATATTCCATTGATATGTTTATGAGCTTCTAACTGAGTATATAATAACTGCAAACAGTTGCAAAATTTTTCTCTGCTGAAGCACATGTTGTTTTTTTTCAATTTCAATGCAATTAAATATTAATACTTATATATTATGTAATACTTACGTGTATGTTTTATGTTCACAGTGGAGGACGATCCTTTCTTAAGATGGAGTGAGCCGGGCATAGGTCGTTATCTGTTCACAATGACTCTAGTTGGACTCATCTCATTCACGATACTACTTATAAAGGAATACGAAATATTAAATAAGGTTTGTACATTACCTTATATATGTGGATATCTATAATAATCTGTGGAACAGGTTGTATTATTTATCTGTGTGAGTGTTGAGATAGTTAAAATTTATATGAAGGATGAAGTGCGTACTAATATTGTGGTATCAAAACGACGTGGAAATATTAAATGAAAAACTAAGATTTTAACACTAACATATATGTACATGCATATACTTCACCTAAGAACATTCGTTTATATTAGTGTAAGTGAATGTTAAATCTATACTAATATTATAAAGCTGAAAAGTTAGTTTGTTTGTTTGTTTGAAAGCGCTAATCTCCGAAACTACTGGTTCGAATTGAATAATTCTTTTTGTGTTGGATAGTCCAGTTATCGAGGAAGGCTGTGGGCTATATAACATCACGCTACGACCAATAGGAGCAAAGATATAGTGGTAAATGTGTAAAAAACGGGAGAAATTATTTCATCTTTGAAGCCTTCCGTTGCGTGCGCCGTGAAAACGGTTCAAGATACACAAAAAATATGTATTAAAGAATAATAGCTCTTTTAATGATCTAAAAAACAGTCCGTGACAGTATATGTCTAATGTCTATCTTTTAAGATTAACTCACAAAAACCGTTTTTATGGTACCTAAATTGGTCAAACTAATTTGTTTGAGTTGTATCAACATAATAATATTGTTGGTTAAGAGTACTTCATTGTGAATTAAAAAAAACATAGATTTTATCCTGAAAATTCTACGGGAACTCGACCATTCCGAAAACCCCGCAAGAACGGGAACTATGTGGGAAGAACCAAAAATCCGCCGGAAGTCACTATTCCACGCGGACGAAGTCGCGGCAAAAGCTAGTGTAATAATAAAATTACTATTCTAAGGGCTTTATAGAATATAGGTATGTGCTGTAGATATAAAAAGTCACATGTATTAATTTTACAATAACATATTACGTTTCAATCATCGAAAAATACAATAATGATTTTTTTTGTATGCATTTGGGTTGCGCCCAGGATGGTTTATGTTCGCAAAAGAGACCGGCAGATGGCTCTGCAGTTTGTATCTCAGTATTTTAAAAAATAAAGGTTGGAACGTAGGTTATATACGTATAGTTTTAACGCATTTTATACATTTCTCTCTAAACGCGACTCTGAATGTCTCGCAGACTAAAACTAATAAGTATAAATATATATCACCAGGTATTCTACTCTGAAAGCAAGCACGGCCTGCCTCCGTTAGTAGGTGATGAAGACAGCGATGTAGCTAACGAAAGACAAACAGTGAAGGCGCTCACTAGAAACGAATTAACGCAACAGAGTCTTGTTTGTAGAGACTTGACTAAGTACTATAAGGACTTTCTTGCGGTCAACAGACTTAGTTTCGGTAAGAAATACTTTATTATTTTCATATAAAGAACATTAAATGAAAAATTTTCTTGTGACTTCTTGGAACTAAGATTTAACTAAGTCTTTTTTGTCACATTTGGCGTTTAACTAAATTTTTTTGGGCTAAATTGTTCTATCAAGGGTATCAAATTTTAATTTTCAATCTCATCTCCATAAATCGAGAAAGGAAATGTTAATGAGAATACAATATATTTGCTATAAATTTGATATAACCCACTAAATTGTCTACAAGAAAAGCTAATTAATATATGAAATAAGTCATTAAGATAATAATATATATAAAATAAATCCAACAGCGGTACATAAGGGTGAATGTTTCGGTCTGTTGGGTATTAACGGCGCGGGTAAGACGAGTACGTTCAGAATGTTGACGGGCGACGCGCGACTCAGCTGTGGAGACGCGTACGTACACGGACTGTCGCTGAAGACGAGGATACAGGATGTTCACAGGCACATCGGTGAGTTATCCTACTAATATTATAATTGCGAAACTTTGTGAGTGTGTGTGTATGTTTGTAACTGTCACGGAAATCCCGGAAATCCGCGGGTAACACCGCGGGGCGCAGCTAGTATACAATAATAATGACTGTATACCTATAGCTCAAAAGACTTTTATATAGAAACTAGTATATAACAATTGTTGTATAAACTCGATGTTTAAACTATGTTTTATTATGAGTGCAATTTTCACACATCATATAAAAATTAGAATGATAAAGAGATGATATATTTTTTATAATAAGATCTAAGATTTTCGTGAGTACTCAAATTTACACACCTCGTCTGCCCGTGATCACGGTTGCTGTAAAGTAGCCGAAATGTCGTCGGGAGTATGTAGTTTATAGGCAAAAATAAAAACGCGCAGTAAATCCAAAAATATTATTTTCATTGATATATTTTTGTTTTTCTTTTTATACACACTAGTTATCATATCTGATGATATCTATGTATTTAGAGTATTAGATGAAAATGTCATTAAATAGTCTCACTTACTGTTTTTAAAATATTTCAGCCGTCAGGAATGAATTTCACTCATACGTACGTTATAGACGTATTATTTTTATTAGAGATATAATTTGTATTATTATTAATATATAAGTGTCTTTTATTCACTCATGTAGAAAATTTACAGGCACAAAGTTTAATATTATTCATTTTTACTATCGATTTATTTTGATACTTTATAACAATATGTACAATATATCTCGTTATTAAAAATGTCAAATATATGCCATTGATTTATGTGATAACAAGAAACAGGCCCTCTTTTACAGGATACTGTCCGCAATTCGACGCGTTATTAGAGAATTTAACAGCACGAGAAACTTTAAAGATATTCTGTCTGTTGCGTGGTATACCTGTTAAAGTTGGTTCCGCGAGGGCCATACAGTTGGCAGAAATGTTGGGATTCTTGAGGCATTACGATAAAAAGGTATTATTTGTTACTAATATACTGTATTTAGAATAGCTAATGTATTTGTTAGTATACAAATGTGACTACTTTTTTCTGATATTCTGATGTGTTCTAATATCAGGTTCACGAATGTAGTGGTGGCACTAAAAGGAAAATTAGTACAGCACTAGCACTCCTTGGGGATTCACCTTTAGTGTTTCTTGATGAACCAACTACAGGTAAATAGTTACGCTTATTTTAATTTTAATATCATGCTCTTTGTACCCATAACGGAAAATAAGGTCCAATAGATTTTATTGTTAGCGTAATTCTGTAATATATATAAAAGTATTACCTGCGCCTTAGTTTATGGTGTTTTATATAGGCCATCCAGTAGTAATCTTTTCTTCTGAATTATTCTTCAAAATGGTCTTATTAACAAAATTTTATACAGGCATGGATCCTGCCTCAAAGCGTCTAGTATGGCGTTGTGTTAGCGAAGCAGCGGCCGGAGGTAGAAGTGTGGTCCTTACATCCCACAGTATGGAGGAATGTGAAGCGCTGTGTTCACGATTAACTGTCATGGTTAATGGACAATTGTATTGCCTTGGACCTCTGCAGCATCTCAAGAATAAGTTCTCACAAGGTAATCACGATGTACAGGCATACTGTAAAGAGATATTGACATATATTTAATATAGCCCCTATGGATATGGGAAATATATTACCAAATCAATTAATTATACCAAATTTTTCATTGAAATCTAATACTGTAATTCAGAAGTTTTGCATTATTACATACTATTTAAGGATAAAACTTAGCTTGCTATATCCTAAACTGAAATCCCTACTAATATTATAAATGCGAAAGTAACTCTGTTTGTCTGTCTGTTACGCTTTCACGCCTAAACCACTGAACTGATTTTAATGAAATTTGGTACAGAACTAGAGTTGACCTTGAAAAAGAACAGAATAGTTTTATCCTAGACTTTTGAAGGGTTCTCTTGGAAACGGGATATTACCAACTCCAAGCGGGCGAAGCTGCGGGCGGAAAGCTAGTAATTTATATTTGAAATAGTATTTAACACATTTGTATTTATTTATATTTATAATAATTTTCAAACAGGTTACACACTTATCGTGAAATGTTCATCTGGTGCAGACAGAGACGCGACTGTAGCGAAAATAAACCAATACGTCACCGACAATTTTCGGGACGCTAAACTTATGTGAGTTAAATTAAACCATATGCATATAATATTTAGGTGTTATTTTGTTAATTTCTATATAAAATTTCAGTGAAACGTACCTGGGCATAAGTACTTACTATCTGAACGACCAAGATCTTCCGTGGTGGAGAGTTTTTCATCTCATGGAAGAAGCTAGAAGCCAATTCCCCATAGAAGACTATTCTGTATCTCAAACCACGCTGGAGCAAGTGTTCCTTCGCTTCACGAGGAATCAAGGTCGTGGGGATTAACACTGTATAGTGGAATAGAGTCCGAATTCTTTTGGCAGACCCTGGCTAAAGCTGGGAGATTGCCAGGAAAAAAAAGAGTGCAATAGAATCTGTACATCATCGGGGATAGTGCAAAACCGCGTAACTACCATTGGATAATTCCGCGTATCTACATTGGAAGCAGATTATTAGAAGAATGTTTAAGTAAAATGAAATATTTTCTATATTAACTTTTTTTTAAATTATCTAGTGTTTAATTTATTACTAATTGTGAAAAAATTACCTTAAAAGTCGTTAATATAGAAAATATTTCACCTTAAACTTTTTTCTGATAATCTGATTATCAGTAATTACGCGGATTTGCACTATCCCCGACGACATTGTTCTAGTTTCATAGTGATGCCAGTATTGCCCTATATACTTAATACGGAACTAGCAGCCAATCCAAAGTTCAAACATCTTTCCATGGATTCTGAACCTTATATATTAATAAATAAAGTTCAGTTAGCTGCTGTGTTTCCGAAACGAAAACAGTATTGCCTATTTACTTAAACATCAACGTCGATACAAATTTAATATGTCACAGTACTTGTGAGTGAGGCTCAAATAAGATGACGTAATTTCAACCTTGAAACCTTCAAATCTGCGTCCTTAGTTCTGATAAGATTAAAATGATAAAGATTTAAAATTTGTACCGATCTATATAATAATATTTTTCTCTTATACGTGTATTAATGTTTAGATATGTATATGTGATTTATATCTCGTATTCACTGTACTAGCGTTTACAGCTGGTCTATATTTAAGTACAGAGCATTTTACATATATCTGTTAATGTCACAGAATACTCATAGTGTTCAAAGTACTGCAGTTTAAATCTTCATACAGGCTGCTTACTTTCTAAGACTGAAAGTGTAGATACCAATGAAGTTTGTTCAGAAATATTATATAATTAAATGTAATTTTATGACTGCGTTTTTATAACATCTGTTAACGGTGAAACTGTGCTCGAAAAATATTCACCAATCGGAAGATTCCGTTTTGAAACATTCTTATTCTTATTACGAAATTCACCAATCAGAAGAGTTCGTTTTGAAGCATTCTTTTTCGTATTACAAAATGGAGCCTTCCTATTGGTGGGAATATTTTTTCGTACATACGTAAATCATAACATGTCCAAAGAAAACGCACGTCATTATCTGTCGAATAGCTTTGCTAGCAAATAATTTTGTTCGTATTTCAAGTACTTATATGAAATTTATGTGATGTGCTTTTGCGTCTGGATGGTTGTTGGAATTATTTTTTATAAATTCGTTATATAAGATCACTGAATGTAATTACGACGTCATTATAATGATGTTATAATTAATTTTTATAATTGTTTTAATATATTTTTATATAAGTAGTCAATGAATTCGCTGTCAGTATTTTGCTTAAAGCAATATGCTTGTTTACAAATGTGATATGAGAACGCGTCGAGCCGTGGTCCGTTTATTTTTATTTTCAAACCCGTAATCGTCGCGTGATAATTTAGTTTTTATATACTTTAAAGAAAGGTATTAAAATATTTATTATTTTGCTACATTATGTAATTTAAAAGTACACTCTCGTATTTAAGTAATAAATTAGTTCCTAATAAACTAAAAGTTTAAATGATCCACGAAAGTTATGTTGTATTCAATCTTCAGCCTTATTTATTATTTCAAAAGTGTCGTTGTTACCGTGATTTATAAATATTCTCATACTACAAAGCTTTCGATTTCTCACAATTTGGTGTTGCGGAGCGATATTTTTAATGTGTGCATGTATTGTAGATAGGTATACATTTTTTTATTAAATAAAATATATTATCGTGTATAAACATGGGTTTTATTACAATTTCATCTTAAAATACATTTATGATTTACTTTGTATACAAATCACTTTATAAAATTACACTTTTACTAGCAAAACTATGTATTGAATCTGAAAAACCAATAAAATATAACAATCTTATATCTAGTGTTGGTTTAAATAACCTTAAGTTGTTTAAAAAAATAACCTAGTAATGTCATGATACTTTACAATTTAAGTAATCTCTTCAACAGTGATATGAAGTAAGAACTTTTTGGAGACAAATTTAAAACAATTTCACATTTAAAAAAAAATAAACGTCACTGATTTTAAATTTCGAACTTTGATATTGACATTAGATTTGAAATTACATAGACAGTTGTATGTTGGTCCGTTATAGGATCAACATGAGTGTGAAGAACCCAAAAATGGATCAGCTCAAAGGATATCTTAAAAGGCTGCTCCTACGACAGTGGCGTCGTTTAGGCGGCTACTGAATTGGCTATTCACCGAAGAAAACATTGAGTTGTGTGTGTAAATCGTGAATTTAAAATGGAGCAGCAGGATTTAATATATTATTAATCCAGATTTTTGGACCGTTAGAAAATGAAAGAATGAAGGAGAAATTTGTCACTTTAATGACTAGAGAATTTTGGCTGAAAACTATCATCGAGATATTATAAAAAAATGCACAAACACTAAGTTCGAAGTTCCTCTTCATATCTTTTGTAACTCTAAATATATTTAGAGTTATCGCAAACAATTGTATGAACAATAAATTTCTATAAATAAACTATTTACAAACATTATTTATACATTAAGTAATAAAAAAAATGATTTTTCAAAAATGACATTTGTCAATTTCGCTTTTATTTTTACGTCAAATTTACTGTTCACATGCTTTGGTTAAATGAATAAAGTGAATTATAGTTACTTAAACTTTAACATCACCTAGTCTCCCTGTATCACAAGTAGGTAAATATTTTTTATTTATTCTTAATTTTGTCGCCTTGAGGCGATTTGATTCTACGTTATATTTAAAATATTTTTATAAATTGTCTCTTAGAAATTTGAATAACAATAAATTACTCATAAAATGGCCCTATCAGGTGCCAGATATTTTATCACGATGCAATTAGCTAATACCCTAAAATTATTGTCAATAATTTAGACCATATACTACGTTCCTCTGGTTTCCTGTTGGTATTTAGTGAATTGTAGGAATATCTGTTCTAATGTGGTCTGCATGATGCTGTAGTCTTCTACGTCTAGTTCTCTTTTCGCTTTTTCCATAATACCGAACATCTTAGACCAGGGCACGGTTTGATCAGGAAGGTAGTACGTTAAAATACCCTGATACTCCTCCCTAATTTATAAAAATCAGTAAGAAATATCGACAAACATAATATATTTCATGTAAAATAATTAAATACTCACATTAATTTTGCGTTGTTGAAATTAGCAGTAACGTATTGTTTGACGGCCTCGATACCGCTGTCGGTTTTGGTTGAAGTTCTTGGGGACTCAAGATTTCGTCCTTGTACCTTTATAGTCAGTGTGAACCCTGCAGAAATGTTTCAATGGAATCATATAATTGTCAACCTAACATAATGCTTACACCCAGTTTCACCAAACAGTGTTAAATAATGCTGTCTTGTTAAGGCAATTGTTAGACTGTTAAATGTAACGAGATTCCTACTACGCACTAATCACTGTTTAAATGTTTTAACAGGGCTTTAATAGTAGTTACGTCAAATAGCTGATGGACTGTTAATCTATTGTACTATCAAAACTCAAATGTCAATTCCCATCCCAATTTTTTTTGTAGCCATAGTAACAGCATCTACTTTTGTTAAACAATTTCTGTGTATTTATTAAAAAGGGGAATAAAAATTCATCTTGAAGAAACAAATAACCGAATCGTAGGTATTTCACTTTAGAAACAGTCACAATTAGCAACACGATTTTTACAAGTTACACATAATAAATTGTAAAGAAAGATTTTTGTGTGCCAAATCTATGAAATCAACGGTAAATAAAATTTTATCGCAGTAGCTAATAAGTGACGTATCGAGGGATATATGCGACCAAGGGATAAAGTGGTGCATCGCAGCAAAGATATCGTATAAAATGTTATTACTTCAATTTGGTCGTCTTATAACAAGAACAAAGATTTGGTAGACTTTCATTTTACGTTACATTTAATAATACTTCGTTAACTCCTCATCATTGGAAGTAAATATTTTGGTAGACAAATATACTTTTAATGGTTCATTAATAAATGCCTCGTTTAAATTTAACAAACAGAGTTTGGTGAAACTGGGTCTTAGTGGTGCAGATTTAACAAATAATCACAGTGATATCTAAGACTTTTGCGAGTATTCATTTCATATGCCCGTGGGATTCTCCAAAGTAACCGAAAATTCGGTAGTATATTGTTTTAAAATTAAGGAAATAACGTGTAGTTATCCGAAAATATTAGTGTCATATAAGCAATCGCGAAGGTCAGAAACATACTTTTTTAAAATTATTCCATACTATAAATTTTATGTTATAGTAATATAAATTCCAAAAATGTAAAGGAAAATTGAATTCACAATAACTTTTTTGTACCGAAAAAGTTGTACAGCCGAGTATAAAACTTCGATAAAGAGTTAAATGTTCTAGAAAGTTTAGGAAAACTGTATACAGTAATGAACGGTAGCGTTGTCGAGCCGGAACGCTCCGAAAAGTCGTTCCGGTAATTCCTTTTTGGATAGGAACTCGTTTCGAAACAAAAGATAATTTCTAATAATCACAATGGGCTGACGTATTGAAAAAAATTAAAAAAATCAGACTTTATCCACACACATATATATATATATATATAATATATATATATGTATATATTATACACATAATGGGTTTCGTAACGATTTCAGTTTCCTTTCCTTTTTATGCTATATACAGGTCTTATCCTTGCAACGACGCACTATGGGAAAATCGTGTATGTTTCGTCTCAAAACTCCGTATCTCAGTTATTTCAAAACTGAATGATCTATAGTTTTGCATACATATACGTGAAAGTATAAGGCTTAATATAAAAAATAAAAGTTTTAAAAATTATGTTTATTAACTTATTTAAAAAAGAAAATAAATATTAATATATTTAAATATGTTTTGGCACCGTATCAAAGAAGGCGCAAGTAGGCGCAAAAACTAATATATAAAGATCGTAATGCAACAAATATCTCGACAGCGGTAGACAGCGGTAAAAGATTAGATCGCGTTAAAAAAAAGTTACCCGAAAATGATACCATCTTAAACTATGTTGGTCAATTGTTATTTATTTATTACATAAAATATTATTTACGAAACGTTATGGGGATATTATAAGCATTTAATATATATACATATATATATATATATATATATATATATATATATATATATATGTATATACATTTATATCAAAAACTTTCGAGTAATGTGGCGTTGAATTGTAGTAATGCCAAAATCACATCATTGAACATGAGTTAACTTTGATGCCTTTTAATATACATATATTATGATTTGCAAAGAATTATTTAAAAAATATAGAAAAGAAAGCTTACCTACATATTTATAAGACTAAATTAATTAATTACTTTTACTCCATAACAACGACTTTTATGTGAAGGGGTTTTGAGACGGCCTTGTATGGTACTTTCCCATAGAGCGATTGACGAAAATTCGGAGAAATCTCCCCCCACCCAAAAGAAAAAAACATTATATATACGCGTTCCGATAAAATAAAAATTAGCACAACACCACTGGTAATGAAATCAATAATCTATATTTGAATACACATATTAGAAGCGGAAAACAATCTGATAATAAATAATCACCTTCAGAGAACTTATTCTTAAGATGCTGCGGTGATCCCAAGCATCTGAATCGTCCATTGACCATGATAGTTAGACGATCACACAACGCCTCGCACTCCTCCATACTGTGCGATGTCAGTACGAAGGCTCGACCCGCCTTCTTTGCGTCTCTCAAGGCTCGCCAGACAGTCCGCTTAGCGGCAGGGTCTACTCCCGTCGTGGGTTCGTCAACAAACACCAGATCCGTCCGTCCCAAAAGAGCCACTCCTGTGCTCAACTTGCGCTTGTTACCGCCCGAATATGCCTTCACCTATTGAAATTACAATACTCGAGTTGCCGATTATTTCATACATCAGGGGTGTCCAAACTTGATGGGACCGGGACCCAGGGCCAATAAAAATAACAAAATACATTGGTGGGTCGCCAAATATTTATAAAAATATTAACGCACGCAGCCATGTTTTGGACACCCCTGTATTAAATGATCTGTATTAATGAATGTATATATTGAGTATTTTAATAATTAATTAATATTTTAAACAACATTTATAAAAATACCGGTGATAATAATATCGTTATTATAACCAGTTTTTGCTCATTAATGTATTTAAACAAAGAAAATAAAAAAAATTCTATAGGCTGAAATAATCTAAGATCACGGTTTGGACAGCCCTGTCATGATGATCACTGGTTTTATATAATTTTTAGATAGAATGGTCTAAACTGAAGGAAAACATGAAATATCCAATTTTGATTGTGTAGTGTGATTTACCTTTTTGTTACACTGAATAATGTTTTTTATGGTTGTGGCATACTTACATGTAGTTACATTCATATATCTATATGCAATATAAGAAAAATATATGTATATTTATAAATTAAACTAACATGACAATGACTAGTGCTTAGACTAATTTTATAATTAAAACGAATTAAAATAAGAAGATAAGAAATTAAAACAAAAAATTCTGTATTATTTTTAATTCAAACAAAATACAGAAATTCTTGTACAAACTCACCCTTTTATCTAAATGTTTGGTAAAACCAAGTGCATTAGCTATTAACTCTGCCCTCGCCGGGGAATCAGAGTATTTCAGACCTCGAAATCGCGAGAATAAATAAATAGTTTCACGTCCGGTCAATTCATCAAACACAGCGTCGAATTGAGGGCAGTAACCTATTTAATACAAATATTAAACAATAAAAAATATATTCAAATATAAAAAAAATTAATTTGAAAATATTATCACCGATATTTTGGTGAACTTGTGTGATATTATTTCTGACTGAATAACCGCTGATGTATGCGTCGCCGCTTGATATAGTTTCGTCTCCCATCAGCATCTTGAAGGTCGTCGTCTTACCAGCACCGTTTATGCCGAGCAATCCGAAAATCTCGGCTTCATTGACAGCTGAAATTATATAGTTTTATTAATTGAATAGAAAATCTAGCTTAGAATTAGATATAGCAGATGACACATGTTCAAATTGAAATGATTATATAACTTATTGTTACCAAAACGTAGATTGACTCGACATAAAATGAACAGTATTGAATGTTCAAAATGTAGAATAAAAAACTCGAGGTGACAGTATAGTGCGTTTGATTTAAGCTGAGCTTTGCATTTGTGTGAGTGCACACGGATAGTGTAGGTGTGATGTTAAATTTTTGAAAACCACGTTCTTTTTTAGTTTTGAACCTGTTTATTCTGCTTTTACTCGACCCCGCACCTTCCTCGCTTCACCCTTTGTAATGGTAGCGACGTCGAAGGTTGAAAACGCAATGTCAAATAAGGAAAAATTTGAATTGCTCTTTCAAAATTTTTATTACTTAATAAAAAAAATCCATAATATTTCCATTTGACCTTTTGCAAATATTGCTTATTTGTTTTTTAATCTAGAATAGATCTAGCACTTATATTATGTATCTATTTAAAGTATAATAAAATTAAATTCTAAAAGTGTTTTGTCTAACTCTACTTTTACTCACACAAATGCAAAGCTCCGCTTAAGTCTAACGGACTGTACCGAGATGTAGAATATGAAACTTGGGGTGACGGTATTGGACTGTAGAATAACTCACTAAATGATATGTTGTCAACGGCCAAATAGTCCCCATAGTACTTTGTTAATCCCCGAGCCACTAGTCCTTTATCGAGTTTCGCGCGCTGAGCGTGTTGAGCCTCTTCCAAAACATCTTCGTCTACTGGGGCAGTAGACGGAGGTGGACTGCGGTGTCGAATGAACAACTAAAAGAAATTGATTATCAAAAAAAGAAACGGCTAATATATCAAGAATGTTTGAGATTACTTGAACAAAGTTTTTATTTATATTGCTATATGTAAAAAACTAATGCGTGACGTTAAAAAGTAACACATAAAGGATATAAAGTGAAAGATTTTGTAAAATAAATAAGCTATTTGAGTTATTTCCATAAGTACAAAATACTGATCACTACAAACCATTTTCATATTTTAAAGACTTTAACTAACCCTCTGTATCAAATTATATTCCAAAACCATCAACAGTGCCCACATGAGGACACAGGTAATGATCATGCATATTAAGTAGCGTAAAATACCAGGATCCTTCCACTCGAACAAGCCGTCTCCAACTGAAAAGATTCAACGTAGACTATATTTATATGTAACCACGTAGCACTGCTACGATGCTACGAACGTGCTACGAATCGATACAAAAATTTATAACGATTATAAGAAATAATAATACATTAATTTTGTATGAAATTGTTTGTTTTGTACACATACCACAGCAAGTGTCCGGGAACTGTTTACAAAGGAATTCCATGTTACAGTCCGTTGTGTTCCCGACTATAGTTTCTAAAAGATTTGCACAAGATTCCATACACGTGAAAGTCTTTAAACCCAACTGATTCATCAACCTGTAAAAACCAAAGAATCGTCAAATATGAACGCATAATATAAAGATTGTTCCACAATAAAAATTATCTTCTTACTGCCCTTGACTTGATTCTTAATAGTTGATAAAGTGTGAAGGTCTGACGGATTAACATACTTTCGCAATCATAATTTTAATTTGAATAGTCCTAATGAACTAACCTAGTGGATGTAACGAGACTATATAGAGGGAAAAATTGCAAAATATAGTCCAAAATTGTCGCTGCAACCCTCGTACCACTTGCTATGTTCCTTAACGCTTCAACAATTTGTGCACCCATTAGTCCTAAAACATACAATACATTTAAGTTAATGAGATCCAAGATTTTTGCGAGGTTAATTCATTTCAAAGAAACTTATATTTTTCGGATTATACTACGTGACTTTTTTTTATAACAAAAAACTACATAGTCCCGATATTTCGGCTACTTTTCAGCAACCGTAATCACGGTGATTTATTTAAATTACTTTTTTAAACGATAAAAAGAAAATTAATTTTACAATACACAATAATTGAAATCTAACACTTACCAAAAAGAACATTAACAAAGAATAAAATAACAAATCCAATGGCTGGTCCGTTGAAAACTAACGAGAAGAGGTAATGAAGAGGCAACATGGCCGCTCCATATATCATCAGACATACAAACAGATTACCTGGAATAAACATAGAAAAGATTATATATTAGGTACTGGCGACACTACTCAAACTGAAATAACTTTATTCAATATAGAAGCATTACACTTTCTTATTGATGGTCACTTGAGACACTACCACCGGTTCGGAAAACAAAATATCCTGACTTGAGAAGAACCGGCGAAAGAAACTCAGCGGGTTTTTTTTTAATATATATATTTGTCTCATATATTATATAAACAATTTAATATGAGATACTATTTATTCTATTACATACAAACGAAAATGAAATAGTACAGATTTAATATTATAAATATTTTTAGTTCTTAAAATTATTGTATATCTCAAAAAACACGTTTATAGAATAAATTGTAATATATGTCTATTTTTACATATATTCTCAAAATTACATAATAAGAATCTCAATGATTTTACACTTGTTTGTAACAACTAATAGATAAGGAAATATTATAATTATTTATAATATTATACAGATATTTCAATGCTTCAGTAAATACTTATCATAATGTACATAAAAGTAATTGAATTATGTTTATATTTCATTATTTTATAATAGAAGTTTATTAACACTATTCTATTATCCTTATATGTTGATTTCGTAAATGTATGTTAAATTAGTTTTACTCAAAATATTATCATTAATAATAAAACCCCAAATTAACCCCAAATAACCAAAATATAAATAATGCTTTCAAATGTACCTATACTATAGAAATTAAGTGACATTATAACCGAATTAGGGCATTAAAAAGTTTATAAGAAACATTTTACATAACACCGTATGCAAAAAGCAATACCTTTTATTTATATATGTATATCAAATAAGAATATTTACCAAGTTCAGTAAAAGAAGAAAGTCCTATAACCGAGAATGCGGCACATGATATAATTATCGGCAGACACAGTACCACGAACCAAAGCCAGTCGAATACAGCTGCTGCTCCCCACATTACAGCTGGACGAACACCTGCAGCACTCTGCTGAAGCTTGGCGCGGGATACTCGCTCCTGGTATACAAAGGATAGCATACATAACATATATTTAAGAAAATATCCCATACTAGAAGACCCGGCGAACTTCGTATCGCCCTATAATCAAGAAATATCTGTTACGTTTTTTTATTTATATTTTTGGAGTTTACCTATTGAAGCCATAAATCTCCGTGTTTTGAAGTGCGACAGAATGATTGACATATTAGTTAGTTGTTAAATCTAATGTCAAAAATAAACGTTTGTATCAACAACTGCTAATAAATTAAAAATTAATTTAAAAAAACATTGTCCAGAGCACAAAATTGTGAATCTAAACCATCCCAGATCCTTTTGAACACACACAAAAAATTTCATCAAAATAGGTCCAGTCGTTTGAGAGAAGTTCAGTGATATACACACTCACAGAAGAATTATATATATAAAGATTATGTAGTGTTTTGGTCTATACTAAGTTCTATGATACGTGTTCCATGCAAACACCTCAAATTTTTTGTATAACATTTTATATGAATCAAACCTTGATGTAAAACATGATGAATGCCGCGCTGAGGATGGCTAAGCTGTTTCCGACACTTGAAGCGACTTGCATTGATAGCAATGACATCATTATTTGGATGTCGCTCTGAAAGAAAATAAGAACCATATTACTTATACAAGAAATATCCAAAATACTTCCATACATAAACTTGATTTCTAAAGTCATTTTTATGGATACCTCCATAGATGAGTACTAAATTTCTGGTTAGAGACTACCTTACTATTATTTATTTTTGTTAAAAGAATTTTTGAATATTTTAAGAGGTTCTGCTATGAGCATTTATGCTAATGAAAATTCCGTGAAGAAAAACTTACTCTATCTCTATAAGTAGCTTGTAGTGGATAGTTATACACATTCAGACTGGCTGCTGGGTTTATTCCTTTCAGTATAGCTGAGTGTACATTTGCCAGAGACGTGACTACGTCATGGTAACCAAAATTACTGAACCACGCAACCGCACCTTTGTCCATAAAAGTGGCTCCAACCAAAAATTGATTACGTATGTCCGCCATGATAACCGGATCTTTAGTCTACAAGAGAAATTGACACCCATACAAGTCGCGCTCTCCGTGCTTTACCAATTACATATAATAAAATACAACGCTTAGAATTATTTTTATGACTGATTATAATTGATTATAATATTAAAGCATCGTAATGTTGTAATGACAACATTTAAGTGACAACCTGTATTCAAAAAAACCATAAATAATAGCTTTATAAGACATTATTGGAAGTAACATTCAAAAACAAATCAGAAACTGTATCTCGAAAAGTCCATATTTATTTTTATAACATTAATGAATTACAAAAATACACAAGCTCAAATTCAGCTGTTTTTTCTAAAAGTATGAGCTAGTACATAACCGCTGATATAAAATTTTCATATGTAAGTATACACTCAAGTTCTCATAAGTACCTACCTTCTTCAAATAGTATTCGCCGATAGCAGCGCTACCAAGTTGAGTGAGTCTCATGCTCTTTTTGTTGAATGATTCGTATAACAATTCATAGCCTTGTGCGGCTCGAGCCCCTAAAGATGAGGTTTGGGTGCCATTGAAACCCAATAAAGTTTCCGTCGAAAGATATCTGTAAGGCAAGAATTACATTACACTATATTCTTCTAAATCTTCTTCTACCTGGCAATTTCAAAGCTTTAGACAGGGTTTGCCTTACATGTTGTATTCACAACATTTGAATACATTTAAGGTACAACATGTAAAGCTGGGAAAAACAATTAGTCAAAACTATTCAGTTTTGGCTAATTGTTTTTACGACCGGCCACCTGCCTGACATCAATCCTCTTTGGGAATGCATTAATCAGTGATGTCTTGAGCGAATTAAAATGCCTTGGCTTATTTTGACACATTAATGCTCCCTTTATTGGACATTTTTATGTGTGCGTTTTTTTAGTTTAAAACGATTTGCAGTCTTTTTAGGCCTTTTCTTTTGTGTTTATATCATTCTTTTAATATGATGTAATATGTATTAATAACTCGTATCATGTCCTCATAATTATTAACAGCGTGAAAATTTTATCAGTTCTAAATTAGTAAGAAATTAAATCACAGATAGTCAGAATTAATCAGCAAAAAAAATTATATCTCTTAAAAGTATCAATCATATCAATAATGATATCTATGTTATCAAATTTTTGTCTACCAAAGAAAAATCCAGAAAATATTTGAGTTATACACCACTTGGGTTATATTCCTCTTCTAAAAACTTATTTTTTTCTCTTAACTTAACAAAACAACGTCGGTAAATGTTTTGGATCTAGAATAACACTTTTTTATTACATGCAATTTGCTCCATTAGCATTTTATGATAAAAAGTATTTTTGTAATCTTAGAAATTATTTATGATAGCAAATCGATAACAGTAATTATCTTAAGATAATGTATAGTAAAACTAAACACTTCAAAGTATTAGTTATTGTTTATTCTATAAAATATATTGAGGACATTGAGTACATTGCGGACATGGCGTCACAACTTTGAGATGGCTAAAGCTTTTAAGATTTTGTTTAAAAAAGAAACAAAAAAACACATACCCTTGTGAGAGAGTCAGTGCACGTGGAATAACCGTCGCTCGGTTACCGAATAAATATTCTAATAGTGCCAAACTTGCGTTTATATTAATGATTGGCACTAAAATTTGCAACAGCAGCATGCCCCAGGAACGAGTTGATATCCAGAACAATTTCATCCAAATACCACTAACGTGCAACCACAATAGTCTATGACCGGTTTCACTTTCGTCACTTCTATGTACTGAAACAATAATTTTTCTATTTATCATAAGGTATAAATCAAAATAAACATTAACGAACGTATGTTTTATATAATTACAATATTTAGATCATGATAACTTTGTTGAATATGTGGTAAAATTGGCATTAAAGTTTAATATTAAAAATGACCTTGTAATTAAGTTGTGAATATCAAAATTGACACTCATAATGTGCAATATAATTAATAATTTGCGTTCTATTCATGATTTTAATTGTCTACATAATAAGAAACAATGTAATTATATATTTTTGTGGCCTAGCAACATAACTGTAACTTACGTTGGTCTAATGCAAGATCATGTTGGTCATTGTCAGTAGTTTCAGATACAGTGGCTGTTGTGGTAGTGTCATCAGATTCAGAGTTAATCTCTACGTCAGATCCGACTCTAGAATTAATAGACGTATAATATATATGTAATTAAAATTACCAAAGACTATAAAATATTTAACAAAAGAATGTGATAGCTCTTACGACATAAACACGTCTTCCAAAGAGGTTGCAATTAAACCATAATTTTTGTAATTAATTTTATCAGCATTCTGTTCTAGATCGTTCAACATCTGTTCAAATAGATGTGAATAATCGTTAGGGAGACTGTACGTCACTTCCTTTCCTATAAAAATAATACATATCACAATAAATTTTCTTATCAAACAATTATTTTCCTCAAAGTAATCTTAAGAAGATAGTCATTTAAAAAAAACGCAGACAGGTATTGATAATTGCTACGAATCACAAACGATATAATGCATTATCAAAATTTCATTGACGTAATATCAAGATTCAAAAATATGTACATATCCAATTAATTATGTATGTATCTTGTCTTTTAAATAATGATTTTTAAAAATTCTATGACATCGTAATTAGACAAACTCACCCCGATCTTGTTGAACTACAGTTCCCGGTATGTACTTCCCGATTAGAGATGTACAGTAGTCTAATTGGAAGTTATTATTTTTAACTATAACCAGAGTATAACCGACTCCATAATGTTGCTTCAGGAAGTATGGAGAACCAACACATTGAAGCCTGCCACTCGACATGATTGCTACTCTGTCACCAAGAAAGTCTGCTTCGTCCATGAAGTGCGTCGTCAAAATCATAGACCGATCTACAAAGTATATTCGGTAATTTGTATAAAAAACTTATAATAATTTATACTATTGATTTGGAAAGAAAACCCTGACTTGCTATCATACTTGGGACCTTAAATACAATGTCATTAAAATTATACTTTTCTTCATATGTGCAACGTAAGTGGGATTTTGAATAAATTGCTGGCAAAATTTATTAGGAAAAGACTGGGACAGAACTAAAAAAAATCAATTAGGTATATCGAAAATCATTCGGGGAATAAATAAATAGTTCCACTATTTATTTATAGTTAAATTATATTAAAAAACTCACTCTTCTTCTCCCTCTGCAACAGTTCCCAGAGCGCCCGTCGTGAAGATGGGTCCATGCCAGAGGTAGGTTCATCAAGTAACACTACACGCGCACCTCCACATAACGCTATACCAACACACAAACGACGCTTCTGACCACCAGACAAACCTTCCGCCAGATAATGTCTCTGTTAATATCAAAACAAAACCAATTTACATAGAGGTATCTTTAGGAACTTGAGAGAAGGCGACACAGAAAACTACTACAGGGACATATACCTCGAAATAATTGGCTTAATTCCTGGAAAATACTGAATCCACGAATTTAGTTGAACATTCCATTTATCAACAAATTTCTTCTCAGTTAATATGATATAATAAGTATCTACATTTAAAAGTATTACTTAAGTAATAAATACTAATTTGGCGACGTTAGGTACGCTTTCAAAAATCTTAACATATGTACGTGCTTTGGTAAACTTTATGGATGTACATATGTTATCATTTTATAACAATATATTCAAATCCTTAAGCTGATCAGTAGTTTTTCTATTGCTTTAAATGTCTATGTGCTTAATATCCACAATTTTCTACTTATTAACTAGATCTCTTAAATTTTCTCATGATAATTCGGTACAAAGAAGTAATACACCCATAATATGGATAATAATAAAATTCATATATTTTTGAATAATAGTGTGATTAGCTGATAATATATTTAAATGATAGTTTTTTTAAACTTATCGACACCAATTGTTTGCACGGACTACAATTCTAATCAGTAATAAGGTGATGTTACTTTTAAAAAAAAACAATGAAAATTAATATAACATTTATGTACATAATAACTTCATATTAAAATTAAATATTTGCAACACCCAATTCTTTAGTACCACTAGCAAGATTGTCTTTTCTTATTTGTATTATGTTTATATTATATATATAAATAAAGTAAATAAGTTATGAATTTTGCAATTTACTTAATGCGTTATAAATTAAATTTTAAATATAAAATAATAAGTACAAACTCATAAAGTTTTTGGTATACCATATCGGACTTCCTTATCACATTTTTATGATTATTTAAAACCAAACAACGTACCTTGTCCTGCATTTCCAGGCTATCAATGAGATTATCGATATCATCGTCCAGCTGTTGACCGCTGTAGCCTTTAAGGCGTGCGAAGAATTCAAGGTGTTCGCGAACAGTCAACTCATTGAAGAGGACATTGTGCTGGGGACAAAGACCGATGTGAGCGCGTGCCAACTGCGGCTGTGTGGTCATGTTGTACCCAGCTACCCACACATTACCACGCGTTACCTCCACGTTACCTGAAAATAAATTACGTCAAATATGTCTTAAAACAAATTCATTTACGAATGTCCTCGTGTTAGAATCTATCTTTACCTGTCAACATTGATATCGTCGTAGACTTTCCTGCGCCGTTATGCCCCAACAGAACGGTGATTTGATCGTCGTATATGTTCAGAGATAAATTGTCAACAACTAAGTTATTTCCGTACATTTTGGTTAGATTCTGTAAATTATATTTAATATATAATATTCTATACTTTTATAGCAGACAGCGTTTTGACATAAAAAAGAACCTACCGCCATTTTTACTCCCACTTTAAGATTTGTAGGATCTTTTTCCTTAACATTAATGTTATATTCAGGAGTAGTGGTAGCTTCATTATCTAAAAATAGAAAAATATTATTTTATGACTTAGAAATTAAATTTCCAACGAATAGCGATACAACTTTTTCAGTAATTTATATATATGATAAAAGCATGATTTATATCCTCTATATTGGACGCATATTCATTGGGTTTCTTAACAGAAGCATTATATATACGTAGCATATAACTAGCAAATACAAGTAATAAAATTGTTTTGTAAGTATGTATAAACTTACTTTGAGTAACTTTTTTAGATGGCAACCAGAAGGATTTCTTGAACGGGAAGTTCCATGGCCGTGGGGTTCCACAAGGTCCTGGGAGAACCTGCTCGAAGTACAGAGCTAGCAGCATATACAGAAAACAGTCGAACACCAGCATCAGACATACATGTCCGAATAAAAGACGATCAGTTTCAAGGGAATGCGTCGCGAAAAACTCCCCCCATTGCATACCTACAATTAATCTATTATTAGATCCTGTACAACAAATGACATGAGAAATTTTCAAAACAAAAAAAAACTGAGTACAGTACGGTAAAGAAAATTAAAATTGTATTAAATTTTAAAATTAAAGATATAATAAATATTACAAATAAACTTCAACAATATTATTACGAAATAGTAACTCGGTGTATATAGATAAATTTTGCTTACCTTGACTACCCTCTGATCCTAATATAAGTTGAAAACCATAAGACATAGCGGAATTAATGCTCAAACAAGTAATAGCCTGTACAGGAACTGAGACGTGTACATCCATTCCCAGTAGAAAAGCAGGAATAAAGGTAATAAACCATATAACTCCCCCAAACAGCGCTGAAACGCTACCTGCAATATTAACGATTTATTCATATCTCTTAAGAATAGTATTGATTAACGGAAAGGATTAAAATAACAATCTCAACATATAGCACCACTTCACAGAAACACTTCAAACTCTTATCGTGGAATAATTTATTTATTAATACTTTTATAATTAGATCAAAGTCTAATTATAGCTGCGTTTTAATAAAAACATTCCACAAATACAATTGGAATGGACTACTTTATGATTCACATGAACATATCTCCTTAGGTATGAACCTTTCAAGTGGCCCTTCATTTTAGAGACTTACTATTTTATAAGAAATGAATCATTTTCAAAATGAATCATTATCTTTATTACTGAAAGAGTAACTAAGGAATTTATAATATATTGAAAACAATCTTTAGTTATTATTCTCTGTTGATTAAAATTAAAGTATAGTTATTGATTCGTTTGGTCTTCTTGGGTACAACTCATATCTATCTCATATGATAATCCCGGGTCTTTGTAATTTTTAGAGCTTTGTATGTTTTTTTTTCCTTCTTTTGCCCAGAAACGAAATTTGTTAAATTGAAAATTTTACTTTTGACAATTTTTTTGTAATCTCCCAAAATAAGTATTCAAAATTACGGAAAAAGATCTATTACTTATACTTTCATGATATCATGGCATACAATATAATTATTTAAAAATTAAATGGTAGAATTTTGTAAAGGCGTCACTTTTGCGACGTACGTATAGTACGTGTGTTAGTACCTATATGAGTAAAAAATTCAAACGTTTTCGATTCCGTCCTACCAAAATACATATAATATAATATTTGACTCAAATTTTATATACGAGATCCGTCTTTTTGCTATTACTTACTATTTTTAAGCGTTAACAATTATCCTAACAAGTACATCAAAAACCAGCAGTAAAACAGTACACAAATTACATAAGTGTAAATAGTTATAAAAATAGTTATACCTTTAGAGAAGAAACTGCTTATCATGAAACAGAAGAATATCGTACAAGATAAATACAACATTATGAATAACAATAGTACAGTCCATGGTGTGTTAGTAAATACAGAATAACCACTGAATCCCTGCTCGTTTGTGAACCAATTTACCTAAAGAATGTTTTAAATTCATTAAAATTATATTGTTATTCATTTGAAAACGCTCAATTAAATAAAATTTATAACGAACCTTTAAAAGAACAGTAATGAGCAAGCCTGTTACGAACAGGTAGATGAATTGTTTGCAGAACCAAGCCGTCCAATGCAACCACGTCGGTAAACCCATAATTTTCATAGTTTCCTGAAATAAAACATTCAAATATTATCACAAATTTTGAAAAGGATGAGGAAATGTTATTGTGATTTCACACTTCACCTTTAGCTGTAGTTCCTTTTCGATAGTTATTGTCCGAATAATATTGACGGCTGTGTAACTGAAGCTAAGCATTATGAACATCGGGAATATAAACATCAATGTCTCCACTGCCATGTCTTGAACATAAGGCGGGTGAGGATAACGATTGATATTAACTGAGAAGTCTTTTAAACTTTGCCCAGTCATAACCTGCATTAATTCCATAGATATCGCGTGTTGAAAACCAAGAAATAATTCGTTGACATAACCTATAATAGAAATATATTCATAAATTTAATACAAAATTTTACCTACTTTTTTGAGCAAATTATATATAAATATGTTTATCTGAACATACCTGGATCATTGCCACCTTCCCAAGAAAAAGGAAACCTCGGGCCTTGTACCGCAAAAAATGGGAAAATTTCGTCGGTACGCCAACTGTTTCCACCAATTCCAAATAACGAATACTGACGAGGTTTTTCGGGAAAACGTAAATAATATGTCATATTTAACGGAATGTTCTTGGCGTTGTCCAATCCTAAAAATACATTTTCCGTTTGAATTCCTATTTGATTAATGTTATTATCTTTAAAAAAAAATGTATCCTACCCACCGAGAAGGTCGTTATCAAATTGTACGGCAGCTATGACTTCACGAATAGCTTTCTCATCGCTGTAAATTGTTTCTAGTGCTTTACTATTTTCATAAGGTTCTACACGTATAAGCAACTTTAGAATTTCTCCGAGGCTAGCAGGATTATCAATTACGCTAGGCGGTATCTGTATTGGTGAGCTATCGTTGCCCCAATTTTCCTTTATAATTTTTATAAGGTCTTTTATATTTGGAGCAAATAAATTAACTATAGCATTTTGTACAATGGTTTCTAAAACTGGACTCTCTGGGGAATACGCTACTGAAAGTTGGCTTATATTTAATCCAGCTCTGAAATGCAAAAGGAAATAAGCAAACAATAAATAATGAAAAAAATTAATATCAAATTTATCTATAGACAATAACCAATCTTTACATAACAATGAGAAAAAATAACAAACCTAGAAAAAATAATTACTTACAAAACTGTGGTAGAAAATTTTAAAGAATATGCAGGTATTGGTGGATAAACCACAGTATTCTGTCGAATCGGTTCGATCTGGTGCCGGAGAATGAGGATTAATGCCATTGTTGCTACCGGTAAAAGTATTTCCACTACTGTTTGAATTCGATGTCGCCATTGCTGAAGGAAGTTCTTCCACATTAGAAGACGGAACTTTGTCAGGGCACTTGCATCGTACTTCCTCATCCTCGTTTCTAGCTGATATAAAGCATTCTTTAGTAAATGCATTAAAAGCTATTAATCTATTTCGAAAGATATAAACTGTTTATTCATTTTTGTTTAATTATTTCTGCCGCGTTCAACGAAAATATTTCTTGTTTTTTAATATGTCAAACTGATTTCTATGTACATTGAATTTGACAGTGATCCACATGATAAAATTCTTATGACGTGGAATATATCAAATATGTCTTTGATTAATTACTTAATGAGTGATTGTAATTTTTTTCAAGCGAGTGTCTATTGGCAAATATCAGATCATACAATCGGAAAGCACTAAACCATTCATTTAAAAAAGCATGAGTCCTTTCTGAAGCATTTTGTCTTAAATTATGTTCCTCGGTTATTGCATTTTACCTAGAAATAATTATAATGCACCCTAAACAGGAATCAAAAACTTAAAATCTTGTTTTATTTGATTTTTAATAACGACTACAACTTATCTTTATCAGAGACGTTTGGTAATTAAATTTTTTAATATAAAATTTATCATAAAAATCTAAATTCTCATATTAAAACTTCCTGTACAAATACTTATATTTCATATGATACATTAAAATACTACTAAGTGTAACCAAATTCAGAATAACCAGCTTCTGGATAGATGAGAATAAGTGCGTAGCAACCGTTGAGTAGGTCGTGTAAGATTACACGTCTCATTACGTGGGTGCACATTAATTTACCTAGTGCAGAATTTACGTCAATGAAACTAGAAAAAAAGTTAGACAATAAGTAGGCGCGTCTGTCAGAAAGGATTTGATCATTCACGTCATCATTGGTGTCACATTATAAACATATGATTTTAAAAAATTATTGTGAAAATTGTTATTTAAGGTACTACAAGCAAAAGAATACGACTGCATTTGATTCCGATTATTTCTTAATTAGATTAATGGTAATACCGATAGGAAAAATGATGACTTCGTCTTTTTAAATAATTTTTATAACGTGCTGTCGAATGACCGATTAAATTGGAAAATAATTGCTATTAATGTTTTTACGGAGTCTATAAACATACGTCGTACATTCATTGTTTTATCAATAAGATTAATCTATGTAGAAGTAATCAAATTTTTTACATTGATTATTATTATTCTAGAACTATCTTATATTTTATTTATTACATTTAAATTTAATTGCGCATTAAAATATATATGAAAACAACTTTTTATTGAACTTAAAGAGTTTCTTATCTGCGTTTGCAATTTTCAGGAACAATTACCTTTTTTGTGGATAAAATTGCAAGGCATTGGTACGATTGTTTTAAGTATTCAAAAGTAATATACTTAGCAAAATACTATATTAAAATAAAATTAATAAGTAATTACTACAAATATTTATTTCGATTGTTTAAAGTATAGTCAAGTGTTTAGGACCAAATTGTTTTGCTTTCCATATTGGCTTTTCTACACATTTTTATTTAAATTATAAACTTATATTAGATTATTTTCTATTTATTTACTAAACCAACAGCGTCCAACAATTTTTTTTGTAAATTTGGAAACTAAACTTAATATTATCATCGTTTTACAGTAAATTAGGACAAGATACGGAATGACGACCTAGTTGTAATTATCATAAATACCATAATTAAACTCTAAGTAAACTTTTATCTGTCGACATCGTGATTTTACTTTCTATGAGAAATCTATTGTTTTATACAAAATAATTTAATTATTATTAAATAAATTGTATCTTATGTTGCTAAATATTTTTTCTAAAAATGTTTGTTAATGATAAAAAATCTAAATAAAAATCAGCTATTAGATTCCGTAAAAAAATCGACACATACTAGAAAATTCATTCATGAAATATTTTTTTATCTAAAATTTTTACTATATGTTCTTATGTTTTTACCGCGAAAACAGAATATATTGTAATTGACTTGTTTAGATAAAATATTTTTATTGTATGCTATTTTAAGGTACCATAGAATGCAAGTTTTATTCTACAAATACACAAGTTTTTTTTATTATTGTTACAGGATTTAATTAGCAATTTTATTGAGAACATTTATGATTACATTAGATTTTCGATATCTCACATTCTCTCGAATTCCTACATTTCAGTCTTTCCAAAAACTTAATAACGAATATTATTATTTTATTTATATATAATAAAAAAAACAAATTTTACCTTTTAATACTTGTCTGTGTGGTATAGAGTCTTATCCCTAATAATATATGTAGCACACTTAGTTTACAAACGTCTGTCAATGCACTTGTGATTTATTCAAACATAACACTTTACATATTTATAATAACAACACTGTTATCGCACTGAAAAGAATCGTCCTCACCCTTACTTATCCAATAGCTGACTAATACGTCTACGTCTGTTATCATTTAGGTAGATATTAATTTTGCCTAGAACGTGGGCAGGTAGGTAATAACGTCATTCCGCATTCCGAAAGAAAAAAAGAACATTTAATAAAAAATATATATATATGATATTTTATATCTATCACAGACTACAGGTTTTCAGTGCGAGATAATACGTGTGACATTATCTATTATAAGAACAGACTCACTTATGACAAAGGACGCTACGTATTGTAGTTCAACAATTAATATCGTGAGAATCTACATCAGCACGCTTAGTCCGAGTTTGTTACGATTAGATCCAAGTGAATACGAAGCGTTACGCGTTTAACGGTTGTCATTCAGTTACCTAAGTTTATTATTATATTCCAATATTTCTCTACGAAAAACTCTCAATGCTACGAATGCAAACATGGAGTAAAGGTACAGAGTACTGACGTATTTGAATTTAATACAGTGATATTGAACTAACATATTACTGTCATAAAAATATTATTTTTGATTATCTAAATAAATCGAGTCAATCTAAATAATCAAGTATTGTTAATAAAACTAAGAATGGCTTTGTTTAGTTGCGTGGTTTTCATAAAAATGCAACTTCACCACTTTGACCGAGAGGATTGGATTAACATATTAGTAACTTTTAATATTAGATATCTCCGTTTTCTTATTTAAACACAAAATACTCCATCTGAGGTTACGAATTTCTTTTCACGGTTAACAAATTACGATCTGTTGTGAATCTGTAAAGATAAATGATTTATTTGTTCAGTAAAGTATATATAATTATATATTTAATTTATCTGACAATACTACATATAATAGTAAACTATAATTTACATTGTAAGGCAGAACTAATACTTAAATATTCTCTTAAATTGTTTGATGAAGTTTTCCTAAAATCATGAAAAATATATTTTATATTCACTTGCGGATTTAGTCTGCTTTGGATTATACAAATGAATATTGAAGATTTATTTCAAAGTTTCAAATGGTCTTGTTACTAAAACAAACATTGTATCTGCATATTAGATTTTTTTTAATATTTTGAAGCTACCTACTCACTTGTTATTGCTTTGTAAAGATTCTAAAATTTTATTGTACTTAGTGGACTATAACACAGAGTTTATACGGAGTACTGAGAAAACTTCTAAGTATTGCGTCTGAACTAAAGTCCAAGAAAGACGTCCGACGGAAAGAGTATGTCTCATTTATATCTCGCTTAAGTCCTATGTTACATTTTTTCAGCTCAACACTGGGGAAGTGAAACCTTCAGTTAAAATTTAAATGGTTTCAATAAAAATATTAGGAAAAATATATTTTGAACATTTTCTTTTAATATATACGAGTATAACCCTTTTTTTTTTTTTTGTTTTCCCAGGGGAAATCTGTTCACAGATACATACGAGTATAACCCAACATTAAGTTTTAGCTGATGCTTAGACATAAAGCAGGTTTAACTAGTTATTAAAAAATGAAAACATGGACTAGTAAAAAATGTGTTTTTTCGTAATTTCAGTCGAAGACCCTTAATTATTTGAAAACCTACCACGTCCCGTTATTTTCTTTATTAATCTCTTATGTAGGTACTTTCTTTATTTCTTTATAGAACTTGATATAGTCAAAACATATAATTCTCGTTAAATAAAGATAAAGTCGTATTTGGAGAACTGTACTAAAATAAAAATCGAATAAGTTACATTAAAAAATAATCGGCAATGGGCTTATCTTTTTGTCTCCATAACTGTTGCGGATATTGATTTATAGATTACAACGAAACACGAAAAAGTGGGAAATAATAGTATGATATATATGTTTTTGCTCGTAGGAGTAAAATTTACAATTTAAAATTTGCAGCAGGCACCAACTAGTTCTGCAACTGACTTGATTTTCTATATTATATGTAAGAAAACATTACATAATTACTTACTAATATTAGTTAGGTCCTTGTCTTCATTGATTACAATTTTCATATTCTAAAATCGTACTAAAAGGATTTGTATCGTCAAAATTAACAGGGAAAGGTTTTCATTAATAATAATATAACTTCGTTGATAGTATCATCGTCTGTGAATTATCAATAAAATGCTAGAAACTGACAGAATTTATGACAATGCAAAGTACTGATAAGAATAAAAATAAAAATTTGATATCCAGACACGCAGTTGAACTCGACAAGTCCATAATTTGCTTTCGAAGCTTATGGACAGTAGGAACAGTTACATTTATAAAAACGGTACTAATATAACCTAGGGCTATTAAGGAAACTATAAGACTTAAGGTACTGGTATGATATCTGCTAAATGCATTAAAAATGTGTCATTTTTAGTTTAATAATTTTATAGTAGTTTGTATCTGAGCCAATTTTTATTTAACAGGAAGAGTTAGTAGGAGAGAGAAAAACAAAAAATAATTTCATTTTGATAAAAAAAAAACACGTATAAAAAGTAATAGCATGTTGTTTCAGCCTCCATCCTAAGTATTGGGTCTGCAATTCTGATATAGATACATTTGTTAGGTTTAACAGACATTTCAACTCTTTAGTTCCTTTACTATAAAATATTTCTTTTTCCCAATTAACCAATATTTTTAAAACACCTTAATATTTTTGGTCAGTATACTACATATGAAGTATCAATATCAAGACTAAGGCTGTGCTTAAAAATTATAAGTCTTTTTATGTTCATGTTCTAATGTGAACTAAGAAGATACGACACATTAGTTTTGCATGATCGCTTATATAAAGTATCATATAAGTATAAATATGTTACGTAGTTGTAAATTATAATATTAGATATAAAGTTTAATTCCGAAGTCGTCTAGTTTTACAAATGTTTTCACTGATGCCGGAAATCTCAAATCTCCTCCCACTAGAGTGATCGGAATTACTTTTAGATGTGTTACGTAGGATAATTCATAATAAGTATATATTATACATATAAGCATTAATTATTATAAATCCAAGATAGGCATGATGATTTGATAAGTTTTAATCAGACGAAAATTATCCGAATCATCATTTATGTACTTCACCAATTGAAGCAGCTAAAACTTGAATAATTAAAAGATAGTGAGGAAAAAAATTCTCGACTTAATTGATAATACATTTCTAAGACATACTTAATAATAAACAAGATTTTTACACGAGCTGACTGATCTGTTTGAACCATAGTTTTAGCAAACTCTCCGAAACGTATCACTAAGTCGTGAAATTGTCGTTAGTTTACTGTAAAATCTTGAAATAAGTAAAAAATAATAGTATAATGAAACCCATTGGAAAAGGAAGGGAGTATTATAAATATTAAAGGGAAAATAATTTACGAGCGGTCCGAGGTCGGGAATGGTATGGAGGTGGGTATTCAAGGGTAAAAAATGGGTTTTCTCCATTGCCCCCAAATCTAAAATTCCTATGGAAAAATGTTATATGGGAAAGGTATACGTAGTTAAAAGATCTAAAATTTTTTCATACAGTACACTTTTCACATAACTTCAAAGTTTATGTGAAAAACTCAAAAACAGAGTTTTATGGTTTTTTAACCCCCGACGCAAAAAGGACGGGGTGTTACAAATTTGACGTGTGTGTGTGTGTGTGTGTGTGTGTGTGTGCGTATGTGTGTGCGTGTGCGTGTGTGTATGTGTGTGTATGTGTCTGAGGTAACGTAGCTCCCAAAAGGATATCCGATTTGAATGTGGTTTTTTTGTTTGAAAGTTATATCCATCAAGAGTGTTAGCTATGTTTGGTGGAAATTAGTTCAGGTCTTCAAGGTCATCAGGTCGTTTGTTTGGTGTAATAGGAATGTAATAGGCACAGTCTGCTTGCAAGTATATGTGGGATCTCACATTTGAAACACTAATGTCTTCTGGAACCGCTGATCTCGTCTGCTGTTAGGGCTCAAAGATAGGAGACGTAACGTATTTTTTGATCTTTTACAAAAAATTTTTCTTTTTTCAAGAAATCTGGTGAAAACTTACCTTTTCATGTCCCAAATACGCTGTAATTTATTTGATTAGAAATATTTATTTTATCAGTTTATTTTGAATTAATATCGAAAAAGCACCCTTATTTTCAATCTAAAATTTACCCGCCAAAATATCAGTTTTTTTCAAAGTTTTTTGTTTTCTGTTCGTTGAAATCTCTACTTTCCGATGATGAAAAAAATATATAAATTTCTTACTTGCAGTACCAATTTTTATAAAATAATGACACTCGATATCGTTTTGCAAATGTTCTTTCAATTTATTTTACACAGTTGTCTGTTAGATCTCCTGAAAATCCCTCTTTTATTTAAAATACATATATTTTATAAATTAAATTAATATCAACAAAAAACAATTATGTATGTTTAAAACCTCTTTTTGTTTTTATTGAATATCTCGTTTTAGTATTAAAATTTTGTTAGAATTAGTATTTTGTTCTGTAAAAATTTTTTTTAGTAAATTATAAGACAATATTTATTAAATTAACTATTGCAACAAATCTCCATCTACTTTATAACTACATAAGTTATATATAAGTATATTTAATATCTAACCTTCATATAACTGTCTTTTAAAGCACAATTTTTTGCCATTCAAATATATTTTTCTTATAAAGAACATAATTATTTTTTTATCTCACTCAGTTTAAAAAAAGAGAAGTATAATCTATTACGACTATCATCTCAAGTTATATTAAAACAATAACAAATTTTCATTTTGTATTTATTTCTTACAACATTACAAATCATATTGTTGATTTTAATGAAAATAACACTTATTTAAATAAAACTATTATCTACATTCGGTTTAATAAATCATTATTGCCATCTATAATGCGCATAAGCCCTGTTGGCTTCACATTGACGGTGAAGGTCTTGTTTTCTCTTCACAACTTTTCCTGTATTGTTAGCCGCATCAAGGAGTTCCCAAGCAAATTGTTCGGGAAAATGTACTGTTCTTTCTTTGTCATTCGAAGCATCTAACAGCCATTTGACAGCCAAAAATAGAGACCTCTTCTCAGTAATAGGTCCTGGCACCTAGAATGAAAATTAAAATCTTCAGGAGTTGTTAATGAAAATATCTTTTAATATTACATACAATTTTCATAAACATTTGTCAAAAATGCGTATATATAAATTCAATTACATTTTTTTAAAACACTACAGAAGATTATTTTATTGTCTATTAAAATACAAACCTGGTATGTGATACCTCCTCTTTTAATTGGCAATAGTTGTAACAACGGTTTACAGTTTTCAACAGCTCTGTGTAAAACATCTTTTGGGTTCAACAGTATTTTTGCTTTTTCTTCGGGTGTGGAAGCTAGGTGATATCTTTCTATCTGTTTCCTTTTGATGTTCTCAAATGCTTTTTCAACGAGACTGCGAGCCAATTGTTTGTTGCCCATTTTCATTACATGGTTGATAACTTTACTGAAGTAAAAAGAATTTGTTACAGTTTATATATGTACCAATAACATGCATGATTATAGTATATTTATTTCATATAATCAATATTATTACACTAATGTTAAATTTTAAGCAATTTAATTTATATGAGAAAGAGAACTCGTATGTTGAATTGGTACATACTTCACAAGTGGGTCGTAGTACACTGATGATGTTTCACAAGCAGCAGGTGGTTTCACCGGGATCGCGGCCAGCTTACTCAATTCATTATTTTCTATCAATTTTGCTTGATCCTCTTTTCTAAATATTGGATTTTGAAAATAATCTGGAAAGCTCGTGGCTCGTGCATAAAACCGGGTCTGCGTTAAATTTGGCCATCTACAATAATAATATAACACAGTGGAATTTATATGTTTTAAAAAGCAATTACGACAAATAATTAATATTTATTTTTTATCATTGGTTATGTCAAGTGAATACTAATTTACTAACTGATTTCTAGATGTAGTCCGAAGTCTATTTGGTATAACTTCTCTTAAAGCTATCCTTATATTATTCATATTATTAGTGAGAAATCTCTCCTTTTCTTTTATCAAAATTTCTCAGTTTTGGATTGTTTTAAGCACCCTATTGCCATTTGACAGTTTCTATTGTGGTGCTGCCAGCATTATTATTTTAATCGACATTTGCTAAAATAACATATAACAAAAAAATTAATATAATTTTTACAAATTTTAAATATATATTTTATACGTTATTACAGTAACATTTCTGTATAAAACCTAAAAGGCATTTAAAGTATAGATGTCAGTGCAAGTTAATGTTTTAAGAAAAAAAATATTGACATTAATTGATTAAAAGCAAGTGTCAAAAGTACAAACTTATATTTAGATACCAAATATAAATAATCAAAACATGCGTATTTATGCTGGTTTATTCGTTTTCGTTTATAAACTTCATGCTTAAATAATAAGTTGAGATGTCTACTATAATTAAATTTGAATTGAAGGAACTCCGAGAGTTAGCAAATGACAAAAAATCTTGTGTTATCGAAAAAAAGGTTATCCAAAATTTAGCGTTACAGCCGTGGTGTCTTGGTAACTTACAGGATTCGATTAAAAACTTGTTGGATTATAAAATAGGCAAATTTGACAAAGAGTAAGTATATGAACTAGTATTGTTCAATTTAAATAACTTTTATTAGAAAAACATTAGGAGATTTTGAATCGTAGACTTACATTTTTATGCTTTCAAATATGTTACAGATTCAATGGAATTCTCATAAGTTACAAAAATTTGCGAATACTACAAAACATAGGTGCGATCCGTAATGACAATGCTGATATACATTTCCAAGTTCAGGCAGATTACTTCCTGTTTCGACCTTATGTTGGAGCCACTCTGAAGGGAGTAGTTAATAAAAAAAGTGCAACACATCTTGCGATTCTGGTACATAGGTAACTATATATATTATTATTTTGTTCTATTTTTTTATGAATGAAACTATTATTATAAAATAGCTTATCTATATAATTTATATATCGCCAAAGATACTTGAAATCTGCATAACTAGCATTGGATAATTCCGCATATCTGCATTGGAAGCAGATTATCAGAAGTTTTAAGGTGAAATATTTTTTAAATTAACAACCTTTAAAGTAATTTATTCATAAGTGTTAATTATTCAGTGTTTTAATTTATTACTAATTGTGTAAAAATTACCTTAGAAGTCATTACGTTACAAAACATTTCAGCTTAAACCTTCTTCTGTCACAATGCTTCCAATGCAGATATGTGTAATTATTCAATGTTATATGGATTTGCACTATCCCCGATGATATATTATTATGAATAAATTAAAATATGGAAAAACCAATTAAAAAAAAAGTGAGTGTAAATTTGTATTTCAGGGTTTTCAATGTAGTTATTCCGAGACCAACCGAGGAACCTGGCAATTATTGGAGCGGATCTAACATCGAGGAGGGACAAGAAGTAGTGTTCCAGATTGTTGTTCTAGATCTATATGGAGCTTTACCTTACATCAGAGGAAAGCTTGACGAGCAGTAAGAAAATATATATTATAATGAAAATTTTGTTTTTACATTTAAGAACCAAAAAAAAATCTGTAAAAAAATAGCAAGGTTGTAGACTACATAATGTGGGAAAAGCTTTTTAATATTTATTATAGATTGGAAAAAAGCAACATTTTCAGTTATAAAAAGGTTGGATACTACATAATGAGAGAACACATTTTTAATATTTATTATAAACTCGACAAAAGCAACATTTTCAGTTCCCTGTAAATATGTCATGATTAATGATACAAATATAATATTTTAAATACTTTTCAGATGGCTGAAAGAACTACAAGATGGTGACGATGAAATAGAAATAAAAAGAACGAAACCGCTGAAGATATCTTATGTTGATTTTGACAAGACAAAACCAAAATATGCACCTGACAAAACGCTAAACTCATCGGAAAATGATATAGCTGAAAACCGCCACAGTAATGACATAACTGAAAATAATGTTAAACAAGAGAACATTACAGAAACAATTAAAAGTAAAAGAAGAAGCAAGATGAATGACCTCGAAAAACAATATTCAGAGGATGCACCGAGTAAACCCAAGAAACGCAAAAAAGACAAACAAGAGTAGATAATAGATATGCTAAGACAACTTACTAGATGTATTGATATAAGTTTACAACAATTTTCTTAAGAATAATGTATATTATATTATAAGCAATATTAAAGGACCTTTTTAAATAATTTGTAGACTGATTTACCTGCAAAGACTATTTTTGGTATACCTTTTTCTTATTACAATAAGCCCTTCCAAGTCAATACACTTGTATTGCCACATAGTGACATAGAGCCTGAACATTATTATAAAAAGCATTGTTTTTTCTTATAATTGAATCACTTACAAAGAAAAGGTGTTTTCTTAGACTTCATAAAAGCAGATCTTTTATTTACTTTTTAGGTTTTCGGTTTGCGTCCCTTTATCTTAACAAATTTTAAGTGTAACTAATACAATATTGTAAACCAAATGTTTTGAATAAATAAGCATGATAATCCTAAAAAAGGTGACAATATTGATCTATAAAGAAATGCCGCTAAACTAGTAGAAAGAGGGAGACAGAGATCTAATATTGCACTTTTTACAACTAAAGTAATTTCAAACAATGCGCGGTCAGTTAGTTTACAGCTGATTATATGTCTATTTTTTTTCTAATAAATTAGTAATGAGGACTGGTTTTTATCTCATTTATTTTGTTGCTGTACTTAAACAATCTTAACTGTTATATATTCATTGAGAATATTGTGAATTTGACCATACAGTAAAATCACAGTTAATTCATTTAACTATATCTTATTCGGATGAACCTTTCAATTTCGCTGTAAATATTGCTCTTGTTAATCAACTGTCATCATCAATCATCCCCTTCAGTAACGAAAATATCTTAAGATGTATATTTATGTCATAATCACATATTTCCTTTTTTTCATTCATGGTTTCTTATTCGATCTGCAAAAGTAAAACATTTATTTATTTTTTTGTTTAAATTAAATCTCCTTGAATTTTTCTCTTATCAAACACAACACTTTCGTACATTTCTTAAACGATTTCTTAATTCTTACCGCTAAAATATAATTTAATGTTCTTGATTGCTAAAAACGATTTTTTTAAACTCCATTTCATCTTATTTTAGGAAACGTTTTCTTTTAATATAATATCTACAATAGCTTACAGCATTCCCAAAGAGGGTTGACGTCAGGCAGGCGGCCGGTCGTAAAACGTTTAGCCAAAACTACATACACCATGTTCTGCAATAAAGAATGTTAGATATGAATGTGGAGGGATATGTGGGTCGAGGTAGACCTAAGAAAAGATGGATGGATTGCGTGAAGGATGACATGCCTAAGAAAAGGGTAACCGATGAGATGATGGCTGATAGGCGAGACTGGAAGAAAAGAACATGTTATGCTGACCCTGCATAAAGAAGGAAGAAGAAGAAGATATCTACAATAGCTTCATTCATTTGAACTTGCAAACTACCTTAAAATATAATAGCGTTTATAAAAAATGATATTTTTTCTAATAAAAATAATAGTACTTAGGTATCATAAGATATTATTTTATGGTATTTCATTATATTATTTATTCTTCTATCCTCACGTGGATGAGTGAGCGGTTAATTGTATAAAACTAAAAAGTAACTCCTGAAATAAAAAGAAATGTATGCAATACTTTAAAAAAAAATAGGTTTAAAATGTTAAATGCACTAAATTAGCAATGATATAATCATAATTTTTAAAAAATATAATCATTATAAATTAAAATTTTAGTAGTAGGTTAAGTATTTTATTTAAGACATGTGTAAAGCTTAATTTTAATAATTACTTATGTTTTACCGAAAATTAAATTAAGTGCTGAAAATAACAGACCTCAATATTTTTAATTATCTTGTAGTAGCATTGATGTAGCAGCAACTTGTCAAACTCCGTCGTAGAACGGTGTACAACAGTCAACAGAGTGATTTTAGTAATGTCGTAAACCTTTGGCATCTACGATGCATTATTTAAACGTAAGCATTTATTGTTTCTTGTTATGAAAACACAGTTATAATATTTAATTGTTATCTTCCAATGGAGAATTTGGCCCTTAATACTTAATAAGAACACTGGAACACTTGCTGATTACTTGGCTTTAAATCGTTAAAAATGTCGAAGAATGGCGAAGTGTCGTCAAATCAAGGTAAAAGCGAAACAAAGTCAAAACATTACGTTTATTTCATGTAAATATTATTTTTGAGCCGGACTATGTATTTTGTTACTATCGCAGGTCCCAGTAGGCCTAGTATGCCGAAACCAGATCTGAATTTGTTCAGTACAGATAAACGTAAAGTATTAAACCTTCAATTAGGAGGCTCATCAAGTGAAAGCGCCGCATTTATGCCTTTTTCCCCGAATGCATCAGCTCAAAAAACTCGACTACCATCTAGAACTATCAGGGATGTTTTGCCAGAAAACCCAAGGTAATAACAATGTTTATCCAATGCATGTTCAACTAATATATTTAGTTATTCTGAGATCTCTATCATTGAATCTCTATTTACATAGAAAAGACAATAATATTGAATATTTTATGTTGAAGCATTCATACATAATAATTATGGGTAGTATACATAATTATGGGATATAAGACACTACAGTAGTCAAATTCATGTTTTGATATTTTGTGATGTGTGAATAACCTTGAGGTTTTTAACAAAATTTTCTTAAGAATCCTTAAGTAGTGATATAATTTAGGTATCATTTGGCTATGTAATATAATCTATTAGATGCTATATGTATTTTTTTATGAAATTAGTTTTACTGCTATTTAATCTTCAGTTTCTCCTTATGAACTTTTTAAATAAGCAACCTCTGTTTAATTAGTCTAGCAGTTTAGAAGATTAGTTATAACAATATAAGTAAGAGGAGACAGATTGATAATACTGGAAATTCTATTTTGCTATTGTACCAAAATATTTATGAAGATTTATTTTGTAATAGGAAACTAAATTTCAGATGTTATTTAATAAGAAAAATCACAAATATTTTATTTCTTATATAGGGATCGATGTCGCATCTATCCTTCAATGCAATCATCGGGAAAACTGCAATTATCAGCGACAGAGGTGTATGATTTTACAGCTGATGACTTACAAGACCTCGGTGAAATAGGAAGAGGTGCTTTTGGAGCGGTCAACAAAATGGTCCATAGAAAGTAAGGTTATCTGTTTTGTTATAATATTATACTACAATTGTAATAAATATGCAGTATATGGTTTCTGTTGAGGATTTCAGAGATAGTAGCAGAAATAAATAGAATCTCCCTAAAAATTACCCCAAAACGGGTAAAAAGGGGCACCCTTTTATGTTTACTTACATTATTCTAAAATGGATCAAACATTTTAATAACAAAATTCATTAAACCTTACAGGAGCAACAGAGTTATGGCTGTAAAACGTATAAGATCAACTGTTGATGAGAAGGAACAGAAACAGTTATTGATGGATCTTGAAGTTGTCATGAAAAGTAACGACTGCCCATACATTGTACAGTTTTATGGGGCTTTGTTTAAAGAAGTAAGTGTGTTATTTAAGTCCTAAATATAACATAATTATATATCATGTAAAAGTCAGTGGTGGCCTATAGGTTAAAGGCCTGTCACTCATGCAGGAGGGCACAGGTGCAATCCCGGCAAATACCATTATGATTTTTTTCGAGTCATATGTACTCTCTTAGAGTATTTAGACACCACTGACATACGGTGAAGGAAAACATTGTGAGGAAACCTGGACTTATAATTTCACAATCATAAATTTAAAATCACCAACATGTCTTGAGTTAGCGTGGTGATTAATGCTCAAACCTTCTCCATGTGAGAAGAGGCCTTTGCTCAGCAGTGGGCTCTGATGCCGATGACAACCATAACTATGGCAAAAAATAACTTCATTATATGCTTAATTTTGAAATGTATGATTTATGCATATTATTACATTTTATAACTTTAGAATACTTAATGATTTTATTATTTTAGGGTGACTGTTGGATATGTATGGAGTTAATGGATACCTCATTAGATAAATTCTATAAGTTCATCTGTGAAAGGATGCAGACTCGAATACCTGAAAATATTATTGCTAAAATAACACTAGCCACTGTTAAAGCTTTAAATTATTTAAAAGAAAAACTTAAAATAATTCACAGGTAATTAATTATATACATTTGAAAACAATTGTGGTAAATATAGTTTATTTCTTATTGATGAAAAATAATATGCAATAATGTATGTAATATATAAATTTTTATATTCTTTGCCAGGGATGTCAAGCCATCTAATATACTTCTAGATCGCAGAGGGAACATAAAGCTATGCGACTTTGGTATTTCGGGCAAATTAGTTGATTCTATAGCTCGTACACGGGATGCAGGTTGCAGACCCTATATGGCGGTAAGAATATTATACTAATTTTATCAACCTATGTTACTTAAGTATAACTTAAGTTATCAGCGAATTATAGTTATAATTAAAACTATTAAATTCGTAATAAGTGTATTGTGCTAAGTTGGAAGATGAAATGACAACACCTAATATAATGAAATTATCTGGTATTTTATAATTGGTACTGAGGATCAAGACTTTTGCGAGTATTCATTTAAATGAAACTAATATAACTCGGACTAAAAATCTACGAGATCTCGTCTGTCCGTGATCACGACTGCTGAAAAGAAACCGAAACGTCGGGAGTATATAGTTTTTAAAAGTAGTAAAATACGCATAGTAATCCGAATAATATTAGTTTAATTTAAGTCTAATTGGTACAAAACATGAATGTGTATATAATTTTCAGCCTGAACGGATTGACCCGGGCCGAGCAAGAGGATATGATGTTAGATCAGATGTATGGTCATTAGGCATCACACTGATGGAGGTAGCCACAGGATCTTTTCCTTACCCTCGCTGGGGCTCCGTGTTTGAACAGTTACAGCAAGTTGTTCAGGGAGACCCGCCTCGCCTCACCAACAAGAATAATATATTTTCAAATGATTTTGTCAACTTTGTTAATACCTGGTGAGTGATAATTTTTATAATTTTTTAAATAGGAAATATTTTCACTATTACAATAATTATTGATTCACATACAACTTGGTACATTGTATGTTGAAAATCTTTATCAAAGAAATATTTACAATTCTTTAATATACAAAGGCGTTTATTGTTTTTATATTAAAAAATGTTCTTAGATTTTGATTGTCTCAAGTAGCACTTTTACGATTTTAACCATAGTAACAGATTCTTTATTCATGAAGTGTAAAGTGTTCTTCCTCCCTAGATTCTCTCCAAAACATAAACTTTTATTTTAAAAGTCAAGTATTTTAACTCCATTCAAAAAGTCAACTATGCATTTTGCGTCACCAAAATTCGTCTAAAAGTTGCCAAGTTAATGAGCAATAGTCTCTTTTAATTGAATTGATCGTCGATTTTCTCGCCCTCATGTGACATGAAAGGCAAAATAGAATTTCTCTATTATTATTATTATTTTATTTCAGTTTAATAAAAGAAGAAACACAAAGGCCCAAATATAATAGGCTATTGGAGCATCCATTCATTAAGGGTATTGATCAGAGTCGAGTGGATGTTGCCGCATATGTGTGTGAGATATTAGATGCTATGGAACGTAACGGAGTCAGTCCCTTCACCACAGACCAGCCAGCGCAAGCTTGGATAGACTAAATGGTTTCTTTCAAGCGAATCAAAGAATTTTTCAACTCGTCATTTATTATACTCACTATAATTCATCATATTTATTATACCATTTAATTTAATTTAAAAAGTATATATGTAATTATAAAATTAGCTTGCCTTTGAAATGATATCCTGAACACTATTAGAGAAGCAAAGTTCAAATCTTGTATATTTTACACTATTTGAATTGTAGTTTTAAAAAAATTAACATTGTTAGGTCAAGTAGAGAAATTCTTCTATAATCTGCAATCTATTGAGCACTATAAAAAAATGTTTCATGTTCATAGATTACAGTCATCATTTTGTAGTTAACACTTTACTTCATAATACTAACTGGGTTCCCATTAATGGTAAGTTACTCAATAAATTATGGCATAATATACAAATTGTATTTTTATGTATGATATAATTGAAGAGGTTGTAAATTAAAAATTATTTTGAGAAAAAATTATAAGTGTGGCTTAATGGATGTTTGTATCTATTATCTAGATTGTATGACTGTAATTCAGATATATTAATAATTTATTGGGGACCTAGTATATACTTAGAGATTGTAAATTGTTCTAGTGTGTTTGAGAATGCTTGTAGTTAATTAACAGATCATATGTATAGGATGTAATTTTGTAACAAATTTGTATATACAGACAGATAATAACTATGTATAAGTAATTAATAACATAACAACCATTTTTTATATATGGCAGCAGTTCACTTAAAATCATTGAAATTAATTTGAAGAAACACAATGCATATGTCAAGGATCACCTAATTTGGCTCATTCTAATACAATTAAGATATAGAAGAATTAAAAAAAACAATATGAATTTTTTATTATTTATTTATTACCCTAACTAATGTACATTTTTTTCTATTTTTCCTAGTCCGGATCAACTATGGAGGTGATGTTTTATTCCAAAACTTGACCCATCTTATGAGAATTTCTCACAATTCCAAACTTAATAAATAATTTATATTTTGTACCATCAGTGAGTTGTGGACTTAAATAAAATGCATCTGTAGTTTTAGGCTTTAAATCTAATAAGGGGACCCAGTCTTCAACATTGACTATTTTGTCAATTCTCTTTCCAAAAAAATTTAAAGAGGATATTTTGATTTTTTTATTATCCTCACTGATATACAACTGACCAATAACATTATTGAATGGTAACGTAAATAAAGATAGAACAGCTACACCTGTTACACCTGCAAGATAAAAATAGACAATAATATAACAGCACATATTAAAGCTTTTATAATTTATTACATAGCCCACACCTGTATATACAGCAGCATAAAATGTATTTCCAGGTACGACATTCAACATTTCCAATATTCCACTGCTAGGAACAACGATGCAAGATGCCAGCCCTTGATAAACTTTTAATCTGTTTACCATAGCCATATATTTTATAAATGGAAATGAGAATACATTTTCAAATTCAGTTTTTTCAGGAGTATTTCCACAAGTGTTTGCGGTTGAGTATTTTATATATTTTGTATTCGAGGGAAATATCCTCAGGTAATTAATAAGTCTTTTAGATAACATATTTATGAAATCGTTTTTCAGTAGAACTAAAAACTAAACTTTAAGGTTATTAATTTAAATACTTTTAAATCTCATTACACTTGCACATTTCAATAGTTTTTTATAATAATGTCATAACCATGTATAATGTTTAAATGGATTTTGTTAAAGAAAATAATTAAATGTTTTCTTCTTTTCACAATAAATAAGCCGATAGGTATATATAAGAATGACATATTAGTGATTGGTTTTCATTTTGTAGAATGATATCGATAAAATTGTTTGTAATTCACTGTCAAATAAAATTATGGACAAATATCAATAATCAATTCTTGTTATGTTTGTCTATTTTGTTAATATTGTTTAACATTAGTTAAATAGAGTTTCTAAGCAAGTTTGTAAAGGGTTCTATTATGGGTTATACTTCTTTTGGTGAGGTTAATAACTATTCAAATCAAGGAAAATGTTGTATTTATTCAAATATATATAAAAGCTAAGTATTATGAATCCTTAAAGTCATCTATATTTTTATTTCCTCATAAGAGAGACGATTATTGAAAAGAAATCTTAAAGTTTTGATAAATTTGTTGCACAAGACGTCATTGTGCTATTGTAAGACATTGCCTAAAGTCTTTATGATATACGTTGTAATTCCAATGGGCTTATTAACATTATATTGATGAGTATATAGTTATTTTAAATAGTTGTATGTTTAAAAAAATATATAATAAATTTGTCTCGATTGTTTCGTATATAGGTATACACTATAATTATTTATCTTTGCTTAATTATGAATATGACAGTCAACAGTGACAGTGACAATCATCAGGCAGGGTTTGTTTTGATGGACCCACGTGTATTTTGAATTTTATATTTTTTTAGTTAAAGTAACTTAAAAATATTTCTAAACCAACTAATAATCCTTAATTTGGATATCAATAATTAAAACAAGAAAAGGCTTTTTGATGTAAAAAATTACATAAGTCTACAATGGCAAATCTTAAAGAATTGTAAGTACTTGTTGTATATTTTCCTGATAGTTATATTATATTGCAAAAAGAAAGGGTCTACATATACATTTTATTTGGTAGTGACATGTTTTCAAAGAGATGTTTTTTATTGAATTTTATTTTAATATTGCTGGCTTCTATACATATTCCTTTAATCTTTATTATTTCAGGTATGAGAAGACCGCTGAACTAAAAGCATTTTACACAGGAGGACATATTCAATGGACAAATGACGGTGAACATTTTCTCTGCCAATGTGATGATGTTATTAAAGTAATTGACGTTAACACACTCAGTAATCCGTTGACTATTGGAGATGCTGCTGAAGATAAAGATGATAGTGACGTCATATATACCTTTCAAATGTCGAAGGATAATGAGACTGTAGTTACTGCACATAAAAGCGGATTAATTAAACTATGGGATAGACGAGACGGGAGCCAGCTGAAAATGTGGAGGTCTGGACATAAAGGTGCCATAGCAAAGTTAGCTTTTGATGCAAACGGAACAAATGTTGCTTCGGGCAGCACAGATGGAAATATAAAATTATGGGACATCACTCACAATACTTGTACGAGCAGCCTTAGAGGAGCTCTGGGAGTGTTTTCACTTGTCAAATATCATTCGGATGATTCAAAACAACTAATATTTGGTGCTGCAGATGACACTAAGATAAGATCCTGGAATTCTAAAAATGGTAAAGAGACTGTTGTATATTCAGGACATTTTAGTAAAGTTACGAGCTTAGAATTTACAGTGGACGGTGAACATATGGTGAGTTCAGGTAGAGACAGAGTTCTTATATTGTGGAAACTCGGTGAAGGCAAAGCTCTCAAAGTTCTACCAGTGTATGAATGTATAGAAACACTCGCACTTCTGCCACCGAGTTTCAAAATTCCCAATTTTACTAAAAAAGTCGGTACAGAAGGTATATATGTTGCTTGTGCTGGTGAGAAAGGTATTGTTAAGGTGTGGAATGTACAAATGAGTCGTCTTATGTTTGAACAGACAAACAGTCTTGTATCACCGGCCAATGAAGATGGGGGCTTAGCGGTCACACATTTATTATTCAATGAAGCAAGGAATATGTTTTCCGTTGTCACCGCTGACCATAATATTATTATACATGACTTAGAGTCTTTCAGCTGTATTAAACAATTAATTGGTTTCACAGATGAAGTACTGGATATAATTTTTGTTGGTAAAGATGAGTCACATATAGTTGTTGCTACAAACAGTAAAGATTTAAAGTATTATGAGCTTGGAAGTATGGACTGTAAATTATTAAAAGGGCATACAGATATTGTTCTTGCGTTGTCTTGTTTTCCTACTAGGCCGGACTTGTTTGTATCTTCTGGTAAAGACAATACTGTTAGAGTTTGGTCACAAATTGATTACAATGAAGTCAAGTGTATTGGTGTTGGTACAAGACATACTGCATCAGTGGGTTCCGTTTTCACTTCTCAAACATCAGCGAATTTCTTTACCTCTGTGAGCCAGGATAGCTGTTTAAAAGTTTGGACTATGCCTAAAGAGCTTGACTCTGGAGAAACAAAACTTAATTCAAGTCATACAGAATTAGCCCATAATATGGATATTAATTGTGTCTCCGTATCTCCAAACGATAAAATTATAGCAACCGGTTCACAAGATAAAACAGCAAAGCTTTGGAGTGATGATTTATCATTGTTGGGTGTGCTGAAAGGGCATAGGAGAGGTATATGGTGCGTCAGATTTTCGCCAGTCGATCAAGTAGTGCTGACGTCATCAGCAGACGCTACATTGAAATTATGGTCCATAGCAGATCTTAGCTGTCTCAAGACGTTCGAGGGTCACGAAAGTTCAGTCCTGAAAGTAGATTTCCTCAGCAAAGGACAACAAATAATATCGAGTGGAGCAGACGGTCTTTTAAAACTTTGGACTATAAAGACATCGGAATGCAAAATGTCTTTAGATAATCACGACGGTAAAGTGTGGTCCATGGCAGTTAGCAAAAATGAATCGATCATAATAACAGGTGGCTCGGATTCTAAGTTAGTGACTTTGAAAGATGTGTCCGTTGAAAGGAGGGAAAAGTTGGCCAAAGAACGAGAAGAACTCATTCTACAAGAACAGGAACTCATGAATTTATTGCACGACAAGAAATTAATTAAAGCCCTCAAACTAGCGCTGCGAATGGAAAGGCCTTTGAATGTTCTAAAAATTATCAATGAAATTTTAAAATCCGGTCATGACAAACTTGCCGAGACTCTTAAAGAGATTAATAACACACAAAAAGAAACTCTACTCAGATTCGCTGCCGAATGGAACACTAATAATAAGAATGCTCACGCGGCGCAATACGTATTTTACATATTAACACCAGAAATAATTTCAGGTAGCCTCAAGGTATCGTCGTTAGGAAGTTTCATTGAAGGCGCGCTGCCGTACACCGAGCGCCACTTTGAAAGATTAACAAACTTATTACAAGACCTTAATTTTATTACGTACACTGTAAATTGTATGCAACCACACTCTGTTAAAAATCAATAAAAAATATTTTAAATAGTGTTATTGTCTCTCTTAATCCTGTTTATATAATCCAAATAAAAGTCAACAGAATTATCTGTGTGTAAACGTCCGAGTGACGCACACATACCTGTGTACGTGGAGTCATCGAAACTTAAACTTGCGAAACACAATTTACACAGCCTGTATGTAAAAGCTCATAAACTGTACAAATTTCCGTCGCCCGCGCAGCCTTTGCACGGCTTTCCGTGAAAACTGCTAGATAATTAGCAGTAGTGGCGAATCGATTGCGCAAAGCGGACGTCGGAATACGTATTATGTAAACAAAATTCAAAATGAACATGAAAACTCTTTTGTATAGTGCGTTATTTATTATAATAAAAAGTGCCACAGGACAGAAGTCGTAAGTTGAATTTAATATGTTTTATCAGTAATCTATCTACCTATTAATGATTTTATTAATTTTTAATAAATTTGTTTCATCATATAAGTGAAATCTAAATACTTTGTTGTATAATATGTTTTTAAATTAAATATAAATTTTTATTTGTACTAATTACTTCAATTACATAGTATAAACACTTATACCTTTTTTACATGTACTTTTTTTTGAAAAATATTTAAAAAATGCATCGGGTAACACTATACTTCACATGCTCAACAATTCTGAAGATTTGATATTTGTTTACGAATTATTATAAAAATACATATAACTTAAGAATACAATTTTAAATATTGTTGACATTTCAATCCTATAAATGTTAAAGTATCAAAACAATAGGTTGTAGAGTACGAGACATATTTGTAAGATATGATGGCTGTTGGATCGGAACGCAATATTCATTGATATTACAATTAATCATTAGACTTTTATTCGGACTTCCAAAAATAATATTTCTATTCTAGTTATCTATATAACGTAACTAAAAAATTAATTAATTTAGTTTTTATTTTACGCCTAAAATAAGTTATATCCTGGTACCGTTTCATTGACGGTTTTAGATATTAATAAATGATAATTTCTTTTAACTCTACGGAAATAAATAAAGAAAATATAACAATAATCTCATTTGATGGCTGGTTATGTGTGAATCCCATAAAAAAAAAATTAAATTAAGATTACTCTGAAACTACTAAATAGAATATGTGACAACTGTTTAAATTTAAAAGTTAATGAAACAGACACATTTTTATATAATTTTGAAGTTAGTTTTGTGTAAAATATTAAAAATAGAATATGTATTTTTTGTTATCGCATAAATTTTAAACATTGAAAATAACAATTGCGTATTAATGGTGCCTTTAATTTATTTAAATATAACTATAACAGAAGGTTTTTGTTCACTCACGAGCATGAAATTTAAAGTCCTCATATTATAGTTTACATAATTTCCTTAACCTTAGCTTAATATGCGCAAAACTGTATTTATGCATACTATGTTAGTATGCACACAAGTCTTATTGATCTTATTGTACTCTTAATTAAGTGTGGTCACGAGCTTAGCTTATTAACAAATCATAATTAGTGTTTCTTGGACGTTAAAATCAATATTGTCTGTTGTTCTTGGGTTATAATCATAATTATTAAATATATTTACCACGAGGCTGAACAAATATTACAAATTAATATTATAATTGGATGATTGCGACTTTGTTTAACAAATATTACTTATTTTAACTAATAATTTAATGATGTGAAATACATTTAAGTAAAAAATTATTAGGCGTAATGATTAAGTAGATATATGTATATTCTTATACGTTTTAAAATAAGTCTTTCTTAATAAATTTATCGAGCAAATTACATTAGAAGAATAATTAATAACCTTATTTTATATAATATTTTAGAATTATACAATCTCAATTAATTAATCGATTAGTGGTTTACATTACTACGTCTTGTGCTCTTAAAAATTATATATGTGACTGAGCTATACAGATATAAATATGAAAATAAAATTATTAAAGAGATAAAATAATTCATATTTTGTCCAAAATATATTTTACACAACTTTTAAAAGTAGATTTAAAATAACACTCATTAATTAGACTGTCAATAAACCTTATCTATGTTTTGGTTCACTAATTTCTCAGAGACTTAAAACTGCCATTACAAAAGGTTTCCTTTCTCGGCCAGATATATTTCTACGATGATTATGGTATTAAACGCTGAACTCCAGCAGATACCTTAAGTCCGCTTGTCTTTAGAAAACGTTTCAAGTAGATTAATTTCAGACGTTAAATAAGGATTAAACTCACACATACCAAAAAGATTATCTTTGTGAGAAATTAAGCTGTTAATTAGTCAGATAGACATCTTGATAACACATTTAAATGGTTCATAAACTGATATTGTCAAGTCTGTTTTATATGAAGGAAAATTTCTTTTAACCACAAGCGTGTTTGGTTATTTTGAAATATGTATTTTTACGCAACAACTATTGCTTTATTCGACTTGATTATTAATTTCTAAACGTAGTTAACTTAATGCAATTAATAAATGTTATTTATAAAAGAATGTTTTAATCGTTTAATTTAATTTTAATCGTAGCCTCAATTTCAATTACTATTTCACTGTATAAATCTTTCATTCATTTAAGAAACAGAACATATAACATTTTAAATCTTAATTCATAAAGAGATTAAAGCGTTGTAAGGAAATGCTAACAAGGTTTGTTTCTTTGTCTTTTTACTATCATGAATGTATATTTGATAAACTAGCTTTTCTCCCGCAGGTTCGCCCGCGTGGAGTTCGGTTATATCGCGATTCCAAGAGAACCTTTCAAAAGTCTGGGATAAAACTATCCTATGTTCTTTCTCAAGGTCAACTCTATGTCTGTACCAAATTTCATTAAAATCAGTTCAGTGGTTTTGGCGTGAAAGCGTAACAGACAGACAGAGTTACTTTCGCATTTATAATATTATAGGGATTAGTAGGGATTATTCATGTATTTTCTAATTTTTCTTTACTTTTAGACGTTATTTTGATAATAGAATTTAATTGTGGTGATTATACTTGTTATTCTGTGTACAAATGAAACTATGAATGAAGATTTTAGTCCTTAAAGTGGGCACCAATTACAAAATGTTCCACACGCAACCAAAGCCAATCAAACGCTTTACTATATGTACTTAAATTCTTTCTGACTTTGCATCCATTGTATGTATTCATACCTTTTCTTTTTCGTTTCTAGTGAACTCATAGATTTTCCGTTAGAATTTTTCTGTCAGACGACAATTTTATATCTTATTAATAAATCTATACCTAAAATGGAGAAATTAAGTTGAAAATTATTTATTGTAATTTGTTTATTTATATGATCTTTCTTTCAGCCTGATAAATCACATGCGAGGTTGCAAAAACCACTTAAATAAAGTGTATTATAGATATACATATAGTAAAGTACCTTACAAGCACTCATATATTGTTATTATGAGATCAGTACTCAGATATCAAATAGAATCATTATTATATCATTTTAGGATAAGTGCTTATACCAATAAACATACTTAGTTTAAATAATATATTATTAAGTATTCATTATTCAACAGAAATATACTTATATTAACTTCTATAATAAATGTTGCAGAAAATTCTTTTGAATGTACTTCGTAATGTATTAGAAAATTGAATTGATTGGTTTACGAGAGTTATTTAATGAAATTCAGGCATAGATTATGAAGTTATGTAAAGAAATTTGGATGTTATTAGGGTAATCGTAATTAGCTGTGGAAGGACAATAGTTAGCTTAGAAATTGTAGCAATACATTCTTTTACCTTTTAAGATATTGCATCTAATAAGACCTGGAAACATTCAACGAAAAAACGTTAAAAACATTAAATGAAAAAGAACTAAATTATTGTCGAACCCTTTAACTATCTTCTTCTTCTACCTGGCAATTTCCCAGCTATAGCCAGGGTCTGCCTTACATGTTGTGAATAGTTTTGGCTATTTGTTTTTACGACTGGCCGCCTGCCTGATGACATCAAACCCTCTTTTGGGAATCAGCATTAATCAGTTATGTCTAAAAAGTCTTAGAAAGTAGATATGACTCGGAAATATCACATTGGTACTTGCCCGGGCTAGGATCGAACCCGCACCTTCGTGTATGAGAGGCGGGCCTTTTAACCACTAGGCCACTACTGACTTCAACCCTTTAACTATAATATGAACGTAATTAATGATCATACAATAAAATTTCTAAAAAAAAATGTTTGCAACGAAGTATAATCTATTATATACAGAATACAATTAATTAATTCGTTCTTAAATAAAGTAAAATACTTTCTGAACTGTGATTTATAAAAACGTCTAGGATTCGTCACGGTCCGTTAAACGTCTGTGTTCTTTATCCGTTTCAAATTCCGTATTCTGTTAATGAACAGACAGCAATTCGATCGAAAATCATTAATGTGTCGTTAATATTACATTTAAGTTATATTTATTTCTAATATGTAAAATAATAAACAAATATTCAAAGAATATATCTTGATGTATCAAAAAGTACAGGAAATAATAGAAACAAAACATTTTCATCGGCAGTAAAAACAGAACTCATTAGTAAGTACGAGAACATCCGCTTTTTCAGTGACTACCTAATTCGAATTTGTTGTAAAGACAAGAAATTTGACCTTATTGATTGGTAACATTTTTTTTTTCAAGGTGTTAGAATGGGAAAGATAAACTTTATTCATAATCTATAATGAAAAATAGGTTTTACTGTGTGTTCCTGTTGAGCAATGGTCCAACCAAAATTATACAGGTTTTTTTAATATTATGATAACATAATCATATAGGGTAATATATAACATAGAAATAAGAGAGATGTTAGTCATCATATCGCCTCCTATTTGCCACTTTTCTTATAAAAAAAAATATTGCTTTTCCTCTAATTAAATCTAAATATATTGTTTTTCTTAATTTGTACTACAGTCATTGCATATATTGTTATATTGAATTTCACACTAATATATTAGTTAGACACAATCGTTACTTAAACTTCGTATTTAACTCTATTACTATAATTTAGAACTTCAGAATCTTAACTCGCATATAGCCAGTTAAATAAAAGTAATTACAGTGCATCACCAAAACAAAAAAAGAAGTGATTACTTTGGCTAGTATATTGATATTATTATAAGCAGAACAATATAAGGGACGTGAAAGATTAAATCGCCTAATCATCTTATAAAACAAATGGAGGCATAAATTGAATTTCAATCGATCAGTGGGAAAGGTTCGATAAATACCGGCCTTCGATTGTCGGGTCGCCAAAGTATTGTCTAAAGTCGATCTTCTGTCACGTGATCGCGCCAGGGTCAAGCTATTGACACACTACTGCTCTGATAAAACAACACTAATCATATTTTTTACGATGTAGTTTGTTTTCGATTACATTCATAAATAAAACGGGCCTTATTTTCTGTCGCTGTAAATTCTATTCTTAATGACTTAACATACTTCTTAAGTTTATTAACAAGTTGTATTAATAGCGAAACGTCATAGTGTAATATTAGTATTTTTTATTCTAGCAATACTTCGTGAAATATTAAAAAGAGTCTGATATTAAACTATTTAAAAAAAATTATATGTTTTTCTTTAACATTAATAGTCTTATTAGCCACTAATAAGACTATTAAAAGTACTACTAAATACTAATTAGTACTTCGAAGTTGAGTTAAGCATTTAAATCGTCATTAATCATCAACCTTACACAGACAAAGATGGAATGTATTTAATGTAAAGACGTTTGCAACCACCAAATTCAATTTCCTGAACCGACGACCTAGCGATTAAGGTAAAAGGCATCAGCGTGTGCTTCGAATACAGAGTAGCCCCTTCAAGTAACATGCGGGTTCTTACTTGTTCGTAAATAGAGACGTACATAATATATTTTATATAAATAATAAATATATACTTTACACAAAAAATCCATGTAAATTAATATAAATTATTTAGATAAATAAATGTTATTTTAACGAAGGTATACACATGATGTTAGTATTTATTAACAGGACACGTTTCACATCCTAAGCACGCGCAGACTCATATCTTTACGAAAATAATTAGGATTTTATAAAAATTACAATTTTTATGTAGATATTTTTCATAATCTTATTTATTTAATTCAACACTAGTAGGTGATTTTAGTTACGAAATTTAACTACTTTATTCTAGAAAAAAATGTGAATTATGTTTAATAAATTAATATACTGATATTAAATAAAATAACAAATATTAAATGAAATTAAACGATTCTGTTGTAAAAAATATATATCATGTAAAATATAAACCAGATATAACCACATACGCGAATTAATTCCGAATATAGTTTTATTTAAAAATGATTTACAGCTTACCTCGATAACATTTTTTTTATATTTTCTTATTAAGCATGACGTGGAAAAGAGTAAATTTACTTTTTGAAGATAGATTATGAATAAACAGAGCATTATAAATTATTCACGTGACAAATTTATAATTTCCGTTATGAAAAAAAAAAACGTATGAAAAAACTACATTGCGTATACTTAAGGTTACGAAAAATGTAAACAATTAATGAATTATTTTTACGTGTTCATTAATAATTCACTACAACATTGTGGGTGGAATTAAGTCGTTGCTATTTGGAGACCTTATTGAATAAGAAGGTTAATATTTTTAGTATTCATCTACTTATTTAACCGCAATTTGCAACTTTAGTCGTAGACTTAGAAAACTATTATAAGTATTATATTAATCACGACGTACACTACAATATAATCGTTTGAATATTTAAAAATTAAATATCTAAGCATTTAATGGATTCACTGTGCGGGTGCCAGGTCCATCGTTGCAGGGAGAGGAGCTTCAACAGTGCCTGGGACTTGCGACCCAAGTGTAGGTTTAAGGGGGACCTATCTAACGCGTTAAACGCTCACCTCCACCTTCCAAGCTCCTCTTTTTATTTAACCAAACCAACTTATACGTATTAAAGTTTTGTATAAGTTATAATATACCAAATACAAGGAATAATCTAGTAACAAAATGAAATTGCTTGGTGCAGAATTGAATCATCGACTTAATTACGTTTGTATAATATGAGTCAAAAAGTACACTAAGAATGGTATTAATGGTTCACAATAATAATTTTAGACTTGCCTAGATTACGCATTCATTTACTGTGTGCATACGATTTAAATAAGATAATATGATAACATCATATCATTACAATTACAGTAGTACTTAGAAGTTATAATTGTTATTTTACATTGCCGGTACTTAATGAGTGTAATTAAATATAAAAATTAATAAATTAAATGATACCCTAATAACGTTTTTATAGATTCAGTACATTACAATAACGTGACAAATAATAATTGTAATTCAATTTGATCTAACAAAATTAACAGATGATAAAAATATATACTGTTATATTTTTATCTCTGTAATGAATGAAATAATAAATGTTTTAAACCAAAAAGTCACACTGCCCTAGAAAACTGTATTTAAATATGAATACTACGTTAAAACAATAATTCAATATTCCAACACTCTTTATTCTTCGCTTCTAGAGCATTGTTTTATATCTTTATTTGGTACTAATGGCATACCTATAGTTTATAAACATATATAACTGTATCTATTCTGTGTACACGTAACAAGCGGCTTAAAGATTAATCTTAGAGCAAATCTCGTTGATATCTCAGTAAATTGGTTCATAATGTTATCGGGTACATCAAATATTAGCTCTGCCGCTAACAGCTCCCCAGGCGACCTTGCAACATCATGTCTCCATATACCTAAAATAACGCTTAGCTGTAAACACTAGCTATTGTTATTATATATTAAACACATTTATGTACCGATAGCTGTTACAAAGAGAGTACGTCAATATATAACACGGTAATACTGAGAGCGTAATATGTAACGTGCAATGACTTATACTCTATCATTTACAACATTGAATATATTAAGATACATACGCTACAGAGATGCTCTTCAGTAGTTATGCATAAATGACAATGTATTTGTAGGTATAAGCGACAATTGTTATTTCATTTACAATACAATAATTACTGGAAAATTGTTTTTTCAGGCCGAATGCTCCACTGGATTGTCCGTCTTTGGAGAAGGGAGATATTTATACACAGTCCGAATTCCTATCGCGCTTGGCAAATGAATGCCGCTACGATAGATTGCTTCTACCAACTTACAAGACCGGTGAAGTTGTTTATGTTCATGCCAGCGCATACGTCTACTTCATACAACCAGCTGAAGCACACGACTTGGTAGGTTTCATAGGCATTGTATTCTTTCTTTTCATCTACACTATTCAGAAGATAATAAAAAGTAAAACATTTTGCTTTATTTACAGAATTTCAAATTGCATTTTTTGCTGCAATTACGATGGACTGACGCGAGACTCGCTTATTCGTTGTACTCGCCGGAACGACAGAAAATTATAGGAGAAAGTGACTTACGCCAGAGAATATGGGTACCACATCTGTATATGTCCAATGAGCAGTCTTCCAGTCTCATGGGTACAGACAGCAAAGACGTGCTCATTTCCATTGCACCAGATGGCGAAGTATTGTTCAGCCGACGAATGCAAGCAGTGTTATATTGTTGGATGAACCTTCAAAAATTCCCGTTTGACGATCAAAGATGTTCTATGAATTTAGAAAGTTGTAAGTTATATTTTAATATTAAACAGTGAAGTCATTTTTGCACTTTGTTACAAATAGAGATTAAGCACGTGTTTGAACTTCGTCACGTATTTTTACAAAGATTTTCAATTTTCAATCTAACGTTAATTTTTATCGTTTCCAGGGAAATACAACGCATCAATCTTACGTCTTATGTGGGAGAAGGATAATCCCGTACGTCTTTCTAGCGAACTGCATCTAACTGAATATTCACTACTCGATTATTGGACAAATGAATCAGTAGTCCGAGGCGATATAGTCAATATGAGGCAGGGGGGAGGTAGATGTAATGTCGTTTGTGTTTGTCCGTCTTAATTAATTTATTTCTAATTATTTTGTAATAACTATAATTAATTTAAAATTACAGCTGGAAATTACAGCGCGCTTAAATTTACGTTTAAGCTCGGTCGTGAAGTCGGTTACTACCTAATGGATTATTTCATACCTTCAATGATGATAGTGGCTATGTCGTGGGTTACATTTTGGTTGCAGGCTGATGCTTCCGCTCCAAGAATTACATTGGGTAAGAAAACTAAATATTACATTATAAATATCAAAAACGAAGGACATTCATAGTCATATTATATTTAAAAGCATTTTAAACTTAGACACTTTTTATTCTTATTGTTTTTTAGGACGTATTTCAATATGTAGAAGCACAAACACCTATATCCTACTAATATTATAATTGCTAAAGTTTGTGAATGTGTGTGTATGTTTGTTACTTCTTCACGCTCAAACGGCTGAACCGATTTTGATAAAATTTAGTATACAGGAAGCTGGCGTCCAGGAATAACACATAGGCTACTTTACATCCCGGAAATCCGTTTTTAACACCGCGATGCGCAGTTAGTAATATATACTGTAATATATTATCGTGTTTCAGGTACCAGTACTATGTTATCATTCATCACCCTGGCGTCATCACAGGCGAAGACGTTGCCGAAAGTTTCCTACATCAAAGCCAGTGAGATCTGGTTCTTGGGCTGTATCGGTTTCATCTTCTCCGCGCTCGTGGAATTCGCATTTGTTAATACTATTTGGCGAAGAAAGTAAGTTGAAACGGCTTTTCATGACTTAATCACCGTCTATTTAAAAATATCAAAGTGTTTTTCGAAATATAGTGATAGGATTTTTAGAAGAAATTGAAATAAATTAAATTTGTCGGTTTTGTTTGTAATGTCACTTGATAAAAGAATTGTATTCCTTTTTAAACAATTATAATAATTATACTTTCGCAACATTATCTCAAAATGTTTTTCCTCTATTTTGGATAATCAAAAATCAATTCGATTAAAAATAAACTATTCCAAGTATCCACAAGAAATTGAATATACTTTTAATCGCAGGAAAGTGGTGAGTCTCAAGAAGGTGAACAGCAAGTATATCTTGAAGAGTACTCTGACACCTCGTCTCGCTCGTAAGGAGTTACAGAAGGAAATGCAGTCCTCTCCTCAGCTGAGCAAGTCTCGGTCATGTTCATCTTTACAACAAGACGCCTCCAGCGATCCGAACGGACCCGGGTACAATAACTATCTTACCGTACATGTAAGTAGATTTTTATTATATTATTAAAGGAAATTCTTTCTATCTATCGTTAATATTGAATAAGAAATAATGGATTATTTTAATCAACTTAATCCTGTTTTTCTTTTATTTTTACAACCACCACGGTTTCTAGTATTATATAGAAAAAGTTATTTTACAAATCTTATTGGTTTTGAGAGAGAATAACGAAGAGCAATTTATTTTTATATTTAAGTATTTCAAATGTATTGCCAATTTCTATACATTAAACAATTTTTTCATAACTTTGACGATTTAGGAATAACTCAATAACTCTTGAATACCTTAAGTATATATTAAATATAATAATATGGTACTTTACTCTTTATTACGCATACATAAAAGGAAGAAGGTTCGTTGATCAACTCTATACTTTACAATTACGTGTGCTTATATATTAAAACTCAAATAATCTTTACAGAGCTTCCCATCAGCGTTGAACTTGCCAACAATAACTACACAGAGTTATGACGATCTAAGCGGTAGAGGTCGCCCTGGTAGCGAGGGGTCTGATGAGCCCAAGCACACTTGGACACAAATGACCCCACAGGAGATAGCTACGTGGATAGACAAACGATCAAGAGTCTTATTCCCCCTACTATTTATACTATTCAACATAATCTATTGGACCTTCGTCTATTGTCTATGATTTATAATTCGTCGTTGTCTATGCACTATGTGCATGAAAATAAGAATGTTCCTTTACGAATATTTAATCACAATAATCGAGCTTATTAATTAGGTTTTCTTAAAAAAAACCGTATATTTTTTATTCAATCTAGTAATTGAATATCGACTTAAACTTAATAGGAATAATGTCTTTTTTTTAATAAAACGCTCGGCCAAGTGACAGAAAGAAATATGTTTAAATACGTTAGGTTTAAATTTATTGTTAAAAAATATCTACAAATAAGCTCCATTGAGTATGATATAGTCATGTTATTGAAAATTATTATTTATATATTTAATTAAATCAAACAAATTAAATTAACAGATTAATGTTTAAGGAAAATTATTTAAATTATAAGAAAACTAGATAATATAGTTAACCAATAATATAATTTATTTAATTATTATAATGTACATATAAATGTATAGTAGTCACTAGATATATATTTGGAGAGATTATTTGAAATTAAGTATCAACAAAATATAATTTTTACTGTTAATTACAATATTCAATTAAAAGTCTTCTATTCATTACACAAACCCTTAAAAATAAGTACAATAGGTCTAGATATTTTTTATTTAAATAAAATGTAGTTAAGCTGAAAACAATTATTATTAAATTTGTTGGAAGCGAAAAACAAAAACACAAGGCTTAGTAAAATGATTTTATTTTATTTACAAATTCAAACAACTTACATAATTAACATATTCATTATTAATATATTACATTTAAAGCAGAAATTTCTTTATTAAAGACAAGTTATATTTTTATTCATGTACTCAAAGAAGAGTTCTACAGATGTAGGCATATAAACACCTAATTTTGGATTGTTAATATTTGCACGATAATATATCGGAAACCTTGTAATTTTTCTTACAATTCCACTTACACGCAGACCTATATATCTCCACAATACGCTTTTCAGCGTTCCAAATATCCCAAAATGTTTGAATCCTCAAGTGACTCAGAATGTTTCAAGCGGCCCTATCGTTGGCGCGCGGCGCTGTGATGACTAGACTGTCATCGCTCGAGTAACGCTTGAGGGTTGTAGCACTCGCTTGACTGAAGTTAAATATATTCAATAACAATAAAAACATTTCACTGATATAGAAACTAAGTTTTGTTGGTCCAAAAAGAATTTTTCAAATTTGGAATGCGATCCTACTTATTGTTTTTATTTACTAAATTTTTTATAGCCAAAAAGAATGTTTTAAATTTGGAATGCAGTTCTATTTTATTTTCTTTCCTAACTTTAGTTTGTGGCCAAGAATGATTTTAAATTTGGATCTATGAATGCAGTCCTATTTTTTTCAAACTTTTTAGTGCACAGAAACTTTTTTAAATTTGGAACACTCTTATTTTATTATTTTTTTTTTCTAATTTTTATTTGTGGTCAAAAAGAACTTTTTAAATCTGGAATGTAATTAAATTATATCGGGTTAACATTACCTATATCTGGTACGTGGTCTAGGAGTGGGTGCGAGCTGTGGCAGACGCTCCAAAGCAAATGTTCCTCCCGAGCCCGAGCTCGAGCCTCTACCCGAGCCACTCGAGCTTTCCGACCAAGTCAATTCTGACATGCTGATAAAATATTATGACTAAGATAAAACTGAACTCAATACAATGGTTCAGTAAAAGAACATTCTAGCCTAATAAGCTTTCATTTCTACCTACATCTGAATACAAATTTAGATAAATTTCTTTAAATGACGTCATCATTCTAAATAGACATAAAATTAGTGACAAATCGAGGCGAATCTGTGTACAATGTAATTTGCGTATAATGTTGATTATGTTATCAGCGACGCTAATGTAGTGTATTTCCTAATATTAGTATTAAACCATATTACCTGGTAGATATCGGTGGTAGTCTGTACGGAGAGTAATATTCGTTGGTCTCTGTGTACGTTGACGCGTGTATTTCTTGTTGATACAACTCGTACAGTTGAGCCAGATCTGATTGCACTCCTACTCCGTATTCTATGAAACATTATATTATATTATATTCTACATATAGTATTATATGTTGGTATGTGTGTTTCTCAATCAATCACATAATTTATTATTTTGTCTATATGGTTTTGTTAAAGAAAAGTATTATTAGTCAGGTCAAATCAGGTTTTAAGTATGGCTATGAAATTCCTTATAATTTTTGATTATCCATTTCTTGGTTAAAAGAAATTCGTGTATACTAACTTGATTTTGATTAGGAATTTGTGTAAAATAAATAAATGTTCTGAATTTGTTAGCGGAAATGGATAAAAATTTTGTTTGAGTTGAGCCCTAACTTATTACTTATTAGTACGAATTACATCACGAGATGAAATAAAAAATAAATAAAAATCAGTCAACATCGGCGGCAGTGATAAAACTTCGTGTAAAACGTACATATGTAATTTTTAAGAAAATCGATTATAAAATAACTATAGACGAACAAAGCAGGCAAGTAACATATATTTAATGAGACATGATGTTATCGTAAAAGAAAACAGTTTCTCTTCATCTTAGGATTTTAACTAAATCTAATATACGACATAAAAATTTTACCTAATATTAAAAAGCAAGATTCTATTCAAAATATACTTCTAACTAACCTTTCGAAACTAATGATTACTTTTAGCACACCCATCAATATTGAATATGGAATCTCTATAGTTAAGGCGGCCAACTTTCCGAAAACTGAATGCGGGACGTAACCTTTCGTGAATGCGGGGGGGGGGGGGTTAGGGATTGGGAATGTCATAAAAATCTTCGCAACTGTCCATATTAAATTTAAGTACTCTCTTACGCGTCATGAGTTCAGAAGAAAGAAAGAAAACAGGATTATCTCGGGCGCGATACGCTTGTCCCTATTATAGGTAATCTGTGTTCCTACACTGTTGACCGTGGTATGGGTGTTGTGTAGAAGTGTCGTAGAAAAATAGGGATGCGGGACATGCGGGACGCATACAACGTTTTGCGGGACTATTTTACGAATAATTTCAAAGCGGGACTTCGTCTAGAATTGCGGGACGGTCCCGCAGAATGCGGGACGGTTGGCCGCCTTATCTATAGTAATTCAAAACTCGCTTCATACCTTCCAACGCTCGTCTCTGCCTAGTAATAATCTCATCAGTGAGTCTCCTCTGCGCGTCCCGCCGCTGCAGCGCTAGATCCCTCCGCCGTAGTTCATGTGACCTCGCTGCACGTTCGCCCTGCAGCGCTAACTTATCCGCTTCTAGTTCATGTACGCGGCAAACCAACGCTAAAACCTCCCTTTCAGGACCACTTGATATATGTGCTGGGAGTTCCTGATATAATTGATTATAATAAAACACATAAAGTTGATAATATTAGTTAAAAAAAATTAATTTGATAATATTATGTATAACAAATATTTTTATAATGCACAAGTTCAATGACCTGTTTGTTGGCTATTAATTGTATATTCTGCAATGTTCTTTTTTCAAATGCATAGATTTTCTTTTTTTGATTTAAACATTTATGATCTGTTTGATGGCCATTAATACATTCAATGTTCTTTTTTCGAATGCATATAATAAAAAAAAATTACAGATTTTATGCTTTAATTCGTTATCATTTAATAGCTATATCTCTAGTCTACATAGTGTTAATGAATTTCAAGTACATTACAATATCATCGGATATAATCATCGGATTTCCGTCTATATTTGAAAGGTATATGTATGTATGGTCATATAAGTGTTATTTTACCTGTTCTAGCTGAGCTCCTCTCAGTCTAACTTGTTCTAATTGTCTCTCAACCCTCAATCTCTCTGTCCTAGCAGCTTCTTGCTCTCTCTCAACAGCCGCTAGTTCAGCCCAGGCTTGTTCAACAGAGACTTCTGCCTCTGCACGTTCACTACTAGTACTGCTATTACCTCCACCACCCCTATATAATAAATATTAAACTCAATACTCATGTATAATTATAATAGATTGGAATTACTAGGGTTTTTTGAAATAAACTTCTTATGCGTTATAAATAAGGTTGCGTTAAACGTTCAACGCTTGTGAGGGATAAAAGAGACAGCGACAAGGAATGCGTCGCGCTCGAAAGCATGCGAGTAATAAGTTGTGCTTTCTAAGTACTGTTAATAAAGTTTGTGTTAAAGAAACACTAAAAATTCCTTAAAAATCAATTTCTATCCCTTTCTGTTTTTATTCCAACAGTACGAAGTTTTATTTCTTCGGTGTGAAGGGATTCCACACACAATAAATTGTTTAAATACTTAGTTCTAGAGAACTAGAATAGGGTTGACAGATAAAATTAGATGCAGTATGAGTCCACATAATTCTGTGATATCGATATATCTTACATAATGAATGTTAATTTTTTACCAAAACCTACTTTATATAAAAGTCATTTTCTATAAATTTAAAAAAACAGCAATAAACAACCACATGAAAAAACTATATATTTTTGACATAGATTGTCAAAAATATAATAATAAGTAGTTTCGTATCGTTAATTCAGTGCAAAGTGCAAATTGGTAATTCTCTTTTTTTTTAGATTACTTACCAGTAACCATCTTTTTAGTTCATTTTCTTTGTCATTATTGTAACCTCAATATAAACTCATATATATATTACCTATAACTCTGCTGCGTGCTCATCCGTGAGCCAGTAAAGTTGATAGGTTTGTATAATCTATTAAAGCGAGCCTCCCAGTGTGATATGGCCGCGTGCTGTCTCTCAGCGTCCAAAGCTAGTCCTAATAAATGACTATCTAACTCCATCAAGCGTCGCCTCAACCTCATCTGTTGTTTAAACGTGGACACTATAGCTTCTCTTAAACTCTTTAGATGCGCTGAATTCTCGTGAGATTCTTCTTTTGATAATGTATCGTCTATTATTTGGTCGTCTTTGCTCCTGCGAGTAATATATATGTTTGTATATCAATTCTTTATATAATAATATTATAAATGTGTAAGTAACTCTGTCTGTTTGTTACGCTTGCACGCCTAAACCACTGAACTGATTTAAATGAAATTTGGTACAGACATAGAGTTGACCTTGAGAAAGAACATAGGATAGTTTTTATCCCAGACTTTTGAAAGGTTCTCTTGGAAACGCGATATAGCCGAACTCCAAGCGGGCGAAGCTTCGGGCGGAAAGCTAGTAAAATAAAGTTGTGTTAGTTACACTATTTCTAACTCATTAAAGGTAGGAATATGGCTGAAAATAAAGGAGACAAAGTTTGTTTATAATAAGAATGTGGCCTAGAAACGAAAAATTTTTTGTATTCTTAGTACTATAAGATTTATAATGATTCACTTTGATCGGTCGTCCTTCATCTTGGTCTTGAGTCGAGCTATTTCTTCCCGGAGCTCACTGATCACTGTACGATATTGTGATAAATGCATTGGAATCTCAATAAATTCACGTTCCACCTGAAATATTATATTTATATCTGTATTTTGTTTAAAAAATCATTATACATTCATATTAATTTCGACAGATATAATTTTGAAACTATCATAAACAAATACACTATGCAAAATTTCTTTAGTTTCCAAATTAAATGTATTTAAATGAATTTATATTTTCGGATTTTTACTTCGCGGTTTTTATTTTTGATTATGAATTACGTACATAGTTTTGTCTACTTTTCAGCACGTGATCACGGGCAGACGAGAACTCGTTCATTTAAAAGTTTCATTTAAATGAGTACTCGCGAAAATTTTAGCTCTCATTATACCTAAAATATATAAAACCTTCTTATATATAACCTTGTTTGTGATAGCGGATGCTCTCTGCGCGTAATGTAGCGTCGAACGGGTAGTGTCTCTGTGTACCGCCGCAGGTGAAACATGCGCCACCATCGCCGTACGACATCTACCTCCCAATACTTCACGCAGGAGACGGGTCAACTTAGAGTCTCGATAGTTTACATACCTTATGAACAACCAGCGAATCAAGACCCGTGTATTACAATTAACTGGTATAAATCATTTATATGACGCGAATGATACATGAAGTTAATATTATGTATGTATGACTCTTAAGACTCTTAAGTCTATAAAACTGTAAGAAGCACATTGATTTGTGGTATGGTACACAGAATATACGATTGAAAAAAGAGTTGCCTTAGCCTTGTTTACTTAGAAAGCATGGTTTTTAGATCAAAACGTTTGAAAATGTTTCTATACCTATCAACTTTTGCGATGCGCCTTTCAATGTATTGTTCAATTTTTCAATTGTGTGCCTTTCTTATAGACTCTTAAGTCTATAAAACTGAATTGTGGACAATTATTATAATGAAAACATTGTTTTTTAAATTTTTATTCCGAATGACACATGAAGTTAATACTATGTATGTATGTCTTTGTTATAGACTTAAGAACAGATAAAACTGTATTGCGGACAATTATTATAATAAAAGGTTGTCATGTAAACATTATTTTAATTTTTATTATATTAATATATTATATATGTACATATATGTATTACCTTGCACCACCCGATAACGCCATAATACAGTTACCAAGCGCCAATAATGAACGATTAATATGAGCGCCCTCTAGTCTCCTAGCTCTAGCCCCCGCTCTTTCAGAACCAGCTAAGTCGATTAGGAATAACCGACCTCGCTGAACACCCTTTGAAACCGTCTTGCTTACAGATACACTGCGATAAATTGAACATATTTATTAGTATGGTAAGATTATAAAAAGTAAGGTAAGATTATATAAGGTAAGGTAATAAGCAGTAGTGATGTCGGGCCGGCTCGTTCCAGAACTAAAAACTAAATATGATTTCTGATAACGAAAATTTGATTGGGTTCTTAATGATTTTCGTTTCCTTTTCCTGGCCAAAATTTGGAGAAATCTAACCCCCCCCCCCCCCCCCCCCCCCCCCCTAATTAATTATATAAAAGCGTTCCGTAAGAAAAATTAGCACAACACTGCTTATAATTGAAATTGTATTGTATTCGTTGCAAATCGACCTCTATTTAAAATAATTCCATGTAAGATGGACAGAAGAAGGGATTTGCAATTGTCCTGCTCACAGATAAACTGCGATTAATTGCAAAAATTATTATGGTAAGAAATATGATAAATCTACTTCATATATTTTTTCGTCTTCTAATTAATTTTATCTCGTGTAATGTAACTGTAATTTTCATAGAATACGGTTTATGCTATCTGGTAGAAACAAAAAAGTAGTTTTTTAAATTAAATCTCGAGTTAAAATATAATACGTAACTTACAAATTTATTAAAATGCTTTTACAAGCCTTTCAATTAAACCCTACATACCAAACAATTTTTCTTATAACAAAATTATGTTCAAGATTCCGTATAACTGGAAAATGACTAAATAAGTCTAAGGAATATAAACTACATATATGTATATTGTTTTCTTCAAAAATTAAAGCCAAAGAAGATTTTCTAACATAATTGCAGTAGATTTTATTTCTAGCCAAATTTTGTTTTCTTTGATACTAAACTAAATGTCATGATTCTCGATCACTGTCTAATACCAACATACTTAACAATAAGTAATACATTTCTACTAAATTGATACACATACTAGGCAGAATAAAAATAATTATATAGTATTTTTAATATAAATATGATAAGTAACCCTCGTTTTTTAATATGTTACAAGTATTCTATACCTCAGTAGCGCGTGACCTCTAGATGAGTGCTGGTTCGCATACGTAGACTCCGCTGTCCGCGAGCGATCTCCTTTAGCCAGCAGTTCGGCTACATGAGTCGCATTTTCGGCACGGACCTGACAAGGACATTCATGTGTATGAATTTATAACATAATGTACCTGTGGCACATTGATAAACGAAATATATTTTATGTGAAAAGTGGCAAACGAGAAGACGGCCTACTGGGTGGCAATAGCCACTATCGCCAAGGGGCATCGCCAATGCATTGCCAATCTTATCTTTTTAGGAATAGAAGGAGTGTGAATAAGGAAATGACAAGAAAAGGTGGGAATAGTGAAAGGGCAACCGGCTCTCTCACTCATCGAACAAAACGCAATTAAAGGCTTCTTGCTACTTCATGCCGATCTTTTGTGAGAGGGTGGTACTTCCCCGGTCGAGCCAGCCCATGTTGGATCTGTAATAACATGACTACAGCTAAGCTCTATCACCTATAATTACACAAATGTGAATCTAAATACATTTTTAACAATATCTACAAGTTAATAAAGCAGAAAAAATAAGCCATCTTTCGAAATAAGTCTGTTCTTTTTAAGTTAAAAAAAATTAACATAATACGGAAAAGTACTTTACAATATATACGCACACCTAACTATTTACTACCAACAGTGGTAAAGGATTCAATTTTCTGAGTTTATTTTTTCTCCTCAACATAGATGAAAAATGTCAATATGTAATATTTGTGTAAAACCGTCAATATTTAAATTTAAATTGAACCAAGATTTTCAGATACTACGAGTACAAGTGTTTTTCATTATTTTATATCAACATTATCCAAACATATCCGTTCCATAACAATAAATATTACAGCAACTGTCGGGATAATATATATATAAAACAATAATAAAGTGTAGTATCCAAAATAATAGATTCATATAAATCCTTAATATTCTAAAACAGCACAAGTTATAAGCATCTAACTTTTAAAGATACTCAATTTTCTAAGTACCTGCAAACGATTGAAGTAAAGTATATAACGTGTTTGACTCTAATAGTGATTATTATAGTTCACCACATTAATTAATTTCACTTTTAAATTACCATATTACTTATAATCATATAAAGTAATTAGATCAGGGTCAATTAAATAATATTATTAATACTAATAATTATAATATTTACTGTAATCATATTAACGTTTACTGAATATTGAAGTCGTAACACGTAGGTACTCTAGTCTCTAAGTACTAGTTTTCATTACCAAACTAAAAACAGACAGTTTTGATGTTTTCCAATCATGTTCACTTTAAACGTAACTAATATTTTCACGTCTGCCGCGTCAGGGTTGCTGAAAAGTAACCAAAATACCGGTAGTATGTAGTTTTTAAAGAAAAAAATACTCGTATTAATCCGAAAATATTAGTTTCATTTAAATGAATACTCGCGAAAATCTTAGATCTCTGATGAGAAGAAACTCAAAATATACATTGATAAATAGAAATTCAAAAAATTATACTAAACTACACTAAAAGATTAAATATTTTCGAAATATACCTCTTTTTAAGTCAACTCGTACCAATATAATATAAAAACTCATACAATTGTATGTACACTGTATATCTTGCATATTTAACTGCACAAGCTTAAAATTGCCCGATAAGTGGTCTGAGCCACTGAATTTAAAATAAGTCCTATAATTTATTATGCGTTAACACCCTTTTGATCTTTCGATAATAGAACTGACCTTTCTGATGCCTTACATATATTTTTCATACATTTTACATTTACAGTATGAAAGTATATCTAATATAAAACGATTTTCAAATCGATCATGAAAGTCATAATTCCATGGGTTTTTCTTAATAAAATGACTTCTAAGTATTGTAAAAAAGTACAAAGAAACAGATTCGATTAATGATTCCCAGGCAGTTTATAAATACTTCCAAATAAAAAAACATTTAAATAAAAACATAATTACTAAAATTTACCAAAACAAACAGCTAAATTCTTTGTTTACTTTGGCGTTACCGAATGAAAATTTATGTTTTTTATATAAACGTATTATTTTTCTTCACCAATTTTTACTTTAAGCTCGTTTTTTGGATTCAATAAGTGCTGATATCTATAGAAGTACTACAAAGACCAATGAGAGAAGACGCTTATATATTTTAATATAATTGATTACTAAAAATGACCATACCTCACTCAGACCAGCTACAATCGAGGGTCCACTGCTGCCCTCATCACGAAGTTCCAAGAAACCAGCTCCAGGGTTCAAAAGATCACGAATATTTTCATTGTAAATTTCTATATAGGACATCTTCACCTAAAATTAGATAAATAGTATTAATCCATTCGTTAAGTTTAGCTTAAATTTATTTTTAAAGGATGAACATTTATTTGAATTTCATATTTCTAATTATTGTTAGAATCTTTTAAAGTTTGTTTTTATAAGTTATTGATCGATCTTCTTCATTTCTTCCTTCTTTACTTAGTACAAGTAAGCGTAAACCTAGACACCTTATGTTAATAAGTTTTCATTCATACTTTTACATAAAGTACAATTACAACCGTAAAGAAAATAAAAATAATAATATTTACAATAAAGAATCCGACGCCTTATGCCTTTTCTATATTAGTCATAAGTCTTTAGAAAAGAAAGTACCTAATCGACTTAGTGACTTCAAGTCAGTAGACGATTTAAAATTTACAACATGATTTACCTATGAAAATAATATAAGTCGATGCAAACACGTACATGTGTCATTTGAAATTCAAGGAAGCCGGTATACAAAATTCGTGTTTACCTTAGACACATTGAATATATAAATCGATAAATGTGTATTCATAGTAAGAATATGTTGGCGTCCAATAAACGTCCAAATAACGTCCAATGACTAATGATCTGTATGATAAAATGCTTTCCAATTTATTAAAGCGACTCTATATTACTTCTTTAAAAAATATTAACGGAATAACTCGACACATATTAAAGAATTCCAGAAAGAATTCCTTCTATTTCTATGATACTTTTTTTATGAATATCCAACCATAAATAAGAAATAAGCGAAACTAGTATTTAATATCTAGTTGTTAATTATTGGCTCTCTGTTAAATTACTTTTTAATAACTTATCGATATTTACGGGCAGGAAATAATATATGGAGTAAAACTATTGAAAATGGCGCAAAAACATCACAGAGTATAAAAAGACTAATTTCATATTTAACTGTAAGTCAGTTATTTCAAATATAAGGAATTAGCATTATCGTTTAACGAGAAAACGCGATTTTTTTTCACATTAACATAAGTTGTTAATACAAATTGCAGTATTTGTTTTTTTGAATGTGCAACTAAAATAAAAAAATATTGGTTTATGATAATTAAAAAATGTTTTTGAACTTATTCTGATTGGTGCGATGACTTATAACGGGGTAACGCTACGTCGAGGTATAAAGGCGCCAACCAGTCAAGTCATATCAGATTGAGATATGCAAAACTTACGCTGGCCGCATTCACTTCGCGACCTGCATTTCCTTATTGCTTTATAATCTGTACTTGTATTAAATACAAATATTTTATGTATGTAACACTATTTCTACTAATAGAATTTAATAAGATGAAGCTATGCAGTGTTCTATTGATTTATTGATAGGAATTTTAAAAAATAAACAAAGAAAATAAGTCCGTTTATCAAATTTGACAACATTGTTAAGGCAAGTTTTAGAACGTGTTTAAGACTGCGGTAAAACTCAAACACTTTTTTGTATGATTCATAATAACTAATACACATTAATGCAAATGTATGTGTATTGATATATAAAATTCGTTATGCTTACTTCAAGTGTGCATCCTTAAACTACACACGTAAGGCTGCGTATGTAGTGTGGTGATAGAAATTTGTGATTTGCAGACTGTTTTATGTCAGGCTAGTGACGTTAACATAAGACAATCATAAAGCAGATAACAATACATTTATATTATGTCATACGTCATATACATATGTATGTAGATAAAGGCATATTTAATATATGTGTCATGAAACATTTAAAAATGTCTCATCAACAATAACTATTTTTTTATTAACGATATTAAACTTATACTCAATAATAAATATCAAAAAATTTCGTATTCCATGTGTTGTGTTGGAACGGAACATGCTTTAAAATGCTGTTGGTACTGTGAAGTTCGTGTTAAATACTAATAGCATGTTTCGTGTGAAGAAAATGACCATGAATATTTAACTTCACCGCTGACTCCGGTTAGCCTTCATGACGTCACAAGATTTAACTGTATCAAGGCGGCTTCGTCTACCCATGACTGAAAATACGTTGACCCACATTACACGGGAGATAATGTTATCACATTACTCTAGTATGACGTACTATTGTACATAATGCGAAAAGTTTTGTTTGTTTAAACAATTTTTTGAACAAACTTATATAAGTATACTTTGTATTTCGTGTCATATATTAGAAGTGCGTGCGATTATAGGGGAAATCCAGTAGACACCTTGAAAGTTGAAGGTTTGACAATGACACTAAAAGTGAAAATAATTCTGCGTTAACACAACGTATTTTGTATTGAAGACTTTAACTTTATATAACATAAACAAAATATTTATGAAAATTAATATTTATCAAATAGGTATGTAATTTAAATATTTGTTATTAAGAAATCAAATTAAGTTTAGTGGAATAATTAAATTAATGTTCGACGTTGTTTTTATGTCAAGACCTCAAACAATTTTTACGTAGTACAAGAAAGGGTAAAAAAATCGATTTATAACAACAAAAATTTTATATGCTGAATTATTTATTTACTATTTGATATATTTCATATAAAATGATATTTTTTTCACTGTTTGACTGTCATGGAATTATTTACTGTAGAATTAAAATATCTTACAAACAAGAACATTTTATTTAGTGCAATGAAATTATAGAAATTGTAATTTTAAGAAAATAAAAGAGTACGAAATATATAAAAACAATAATTTTAATTTTAAACTATAGAAAAAGTTTAAATTTCTCTTTATAAAGGCAGATTTGAATTTTTATATTAACATCCTACATCAAAAATATTGAAATTAGGGATATAATTTATCTTTCTACTTTGATTAATTGCTGTTCATGGAATTTTTAAGTGTCTGTGAATTGTTATTTCAATTTCCCCCAAACCGAAGTCAATCACGCGACGAAGCATTGACCTTGGCTGTCAAAGCGTACTGTTCGGCGCTCTTCACAGAAACTACATTACCAGACGATTGACATCTGACATATTTATTGAAGTTCAATGTCTTTATTGCCACTAATACATATTATATTATATCCAAATAAATATTAACCTTAACTAAAATAAAGCAAGTTATGGAATACTAAAAATATAAAATAATATCAAACTGATTTAAAAAATAAAACGCAAATAAAACCTATATTATATCCTCTATTAAAATGCGGTCGGGGATTAAAACAAGGTTTGCAGAAAATTCAATTTATATAAGTATTTTGCCTGTAAATTTATTCATAATACTATTTTATCAAATTACATAATTTTATATAATTTGAAATTCAGACGTCGGCTCAATGATAAGAATCTACTTATGTAACGGTTATTTGATCACTGAAGTTTGTTAAATTATTAAAGTAAACTTCATTGTAGACGTAAAATAATAGTACATTATAAAATATTATATTCTTAGTGTGATAAAGTCTATTTATAAAATTTATTTTTGATATATAAACGACGAATCACGAAGAGGACAATACTAATGCAATCGAGTGACGCACGGAAGGTCTAATTAGTTCTCGGAGAGTAAATAAGGATTTTACTCACAAAATCTTTATATATAATACACATTATTTTTATCGATACATGGTCACGATATTTTAATGGTATAAATTTTAGAGTAAGATCTGGTAAAATAATATCAGTTGTGAATAGATATTGAATAAAAACAAATTGGAAACCCTTTGAGTTTTAACCGTTATTTACCTAAAAAAATATTCCCGGTAATACTGAATAGATTATTGGATAATATGGATTAAGGTAAATAAAGAAGATACATAGTTGAGGATACAATAAGATATGTGTCAATAGCAGTGGCACCGATTAGAACGGCCTTGTCTTTAATGAAAACATGTAAAAATCTTACATACACACTATAATATGATGTAATTTGCTCTATTTTCGTAATTTTTTATCAATATGTACGTCTTAAATTTTCATTATAAATTATGCGCCGAAAACCCAACTTTTTACAAAGCGCCCTTATACTTAGTTATTTGTTTTTTTTTATTGAAGGATTAGTCAAATAACTTTATTACTTGATGAACAAACTTTTTAAGGTCTTTTAAAAGAGTTTCTTAATCCATCTTTGATGTGATAATTAAGTTTATTTTCCCCCCACATTCCCTAAATGTTTACACATGTGACATTTTAATCAAATATTTAAGCCTTACCATAGCAACGATAGCGATAAAATACAATGTACATAGATTAGCGTTAGCTTATATAAACAATTTGTAAGCAAGGTCACTCAGACCATTAATAACTAATTCATACCTCAAAGGAGTTTGGTTCGTCGGTTTCACCGATTGATGTGAAAAGATGGTTGAGGGCTCGTGACATGAGGCCAGTCATGGTGTGCGTTTTACCAGCCCCAGTGGCGCCGTAAGCAAATATAGCACCAGCTATCCCTTTCAAGGTGTCACCAACAAGCGGCGCGCATACTGCCTCGTACACTTCTTCCTAATGATGGAATTATTTTAATTATGATGCACAATGTTTATGAATGGATTCAAAGTCTTGTTTAAGTCTTTACATATAAAACAATATACGGGAAACATTAATGAAAAAATGATTTCTTAAATTCAACCTTAATTGATAACTATAGCAACAAAACGCTTACTACATTAATAGATAATATTTTTAGGCATTCTGTTTTGCTTTATGTTTCTGTTTTTACAAATACATACTTACCTTTTAAACATCCTTTCCCGTAAGGTAATAACTTTTTTGGGATTATTAACAAAGTTATAATTTCGAAATATTTGAATAGTTTCCTAAATTATGAGACCATTTCAAATTGAAGAAACATTTCAAATGTTCTTATGGCTTTTGCATTCATGTCGTTGGAACTTGCGATAAAAAAGGATCGTTTGCGGACAAAGGTGAGCTACTAAAGCTACATTTCTTACTAAGTCAGGCGATCACAGACATGTGCAAGGAGCGTAAACGAGGACGGTGGAGGAAACGCTCAAGATTTATGAGTGCGATTTGTTTGAGTGAAGTGTAATGTTACTTTACGCTAGAATTCCTTCATATCAATATTTTTAAGGGTAACTCATATTCCAATAGATATTTTGCATTAAAAAATTTAAAGGATTTATTTGTGAATAACATTATTTTGAAATATGTATATTTCGTCTTGTATTAGGAGTATTTATAGGTATGAGCTTCTGGATTTGGATAGATTTCAAAAACCTTTTATTTGGCATAAAAATTAAAGTGTGATTAATTATATATCGAAATATATTTAGTCCTGTAAGGAGTATAAATTATATGTGTCTCTTAACTCTTGGATAGATTTCAAAAATCTAGACTGGTAGATAGAGAGTACGACGTTAGTAAGGTATGTAAGGTCAGTTTTAGACTTTTTAAGTTAGGTATACCAACAGAAATCCAACGGTTACTCAGTTACTTTTTAAGTTAGGTATACCAACAGAAATCCCACGGTTACTTTTTAAGTTAGGTATACGAACAGAAATCCAACGGTTAAACAAGCTTATAAACACTAAAGTAATTTTTTATATTTCAAAGCATTTTTTTATATTAGTGGATATTCTTTTAAATACGTATATTAATTTCAATAATTATTATCTATCTCCTAAAATTGTATAATATTAATTAGATAGATGATTCTCAAAACCAATATTAGGTAAGTGTTTGACTTGAATTTTCCTGGCAAATATTCATCAATAAAATAATGTACAGAATTATTGCCATAAAGTTGAAACATATAAATAATTACTTAACACACGCAAACCGATTTACACGGCAGGATTCGTTTTAATATTGTTTTCTATATCTCGTTTCAATACATTTTTAATCGTTTTTAATAGGTATATGACGTTTGCTTCCCATTTCTATAAATATTTATTTCTTAGTAAACGTGTCTTGCGAAAACAGAAGATTAGACAATACAATCTATTGTGAAAAATTATTTTAAAATCTTAAATAATCCCAAAATGTAAAATATATGTCACAAAGATTTTAATCTTTTGATACTCGTTACGTTATGGAAAAAAATATTATAATAAAATTAAAAATACTCCACTGTTTTTTGTATTATTTTAAAATCAATAAAAATAAATGTTCATAATATTATATTCACACAACGACTTATAAGTACATAAAATACTTAGATTATGAAGGATAATTATATTAGAATGTAATTTTAAATTATTCAACGATCAGGTATCATCAATTTAAATAGGTTATTAACCTACGAACTTATAGATACATAGTTAATGAGATAGTAATTCAAACTCAGATCAAATTAGACTCACATTTCTAAAGCCAACAAAATATTATAATAAATAATATTCTTTTATGAAAAATCTAAGTTTTATTCATTCACAAAATGTTAAGTGAAATGTATTAAAAATCGCTGACGAAATACATGCTCTACTACTATAAATTTTAATTAAATAATATAGTAATTTGATAAATTATTTATATATTAATATATGCTTTTATATTCAATATATACAGTTGTTCATACTTGAGTGCTTTCCTCAGCGAAAACACGGTCGTATACGTAATGTTTGTCATTGACACGTCGCTGGCGAAGAACGTCTTTACGCATGTCAGCTTCCTCTTCCAGGACCAACATCTGCCATATAATAAATACAAATATAAATAAGGAAAAGTAATTATTGTTTAGAAAGAAATAATGCATCGAATCATACAGATAATAATAAAATATTTTTAACATAATCTATAAACCATAATAATGACAGATAGATTTTTTTTAAGTTAATTGTTACTACAGTTAGGGTCTTCATTCATTATCAGTTTTCTTCGGTATTTCCGTTTGATTAAAACTTTATTTTAATTTTTAAAAATATATGTATAAAATACATCAGTTTTTGCTTGATAGAGCGTTACAGTAGTTTAAACAACTTAATTGTCCTCCATTATACATGACACTGGCAGAAAAAACTATGCACATCGTTGCAGCGATGAAGACGATACTTAAAACAAACAACCAAAAGGGATTAAATTCCTATTATGTTTGGGTTATAAATGAATGTCTCGATTTTTGATCTTATCATTGCAATATGATATATAAAAAAATATATTAACATATTTTTTTGTGGACTTTTTTGTAAATTAAGTAGTCTTAGTTGCTAAATCAAAAACTCGAGAAGTTTAATCCATAAAAGCGTGAAATAAGATATAAAATGTTTATATAATTGGCAAGATCTGTTAATGCCGCTAACAGAAAAATACGCTTTAGAATACCTAATATTTCTCTTTGATTACTTTATTGCGGCATTTTTCCGAATAAACAATATTCATTTAGGTATCTATAAACATAGACTACAATGTTGTTCTGAATATTGATTCACAAGCTAATACTGTAGTTCTGTCTAAACATTTTGCGGTAAACATACACACAAGTGTCCATTAACACTCGCATACTTCGCACTTAGAGTATAAGTAGAATAGATAAAAGCGGTCACCTTATCGCTGACCACGTGGACAATCCGGGGACCTTCATCAGCACGAAGGGGCCGCACACGCACAGCCACCTGATACCCACATATATAGCTGCATTATTTTATAAACATAATTACATCTCATATAGATGTCAGCTAATTAATGCCAACTTAATAGAATACCGTTTTATCGGTTAAAGAAGGTCAAGATCAACAGCATTTATCGCTGTATCTAATCTAAGGCTAGTAAGATTTATCTTTTGCATTCGCCATTTTAGTCTTGAAATTATTTTCAAACTGTTATTTTGTGCCTGAATTTGTTGGTACCTTCTTGTAGCTATATTTATTAAAACAAAAAATCTCTTTTCAGTATTTTGATATAACAAACATGAAAATCAAGGACACTCATAAACAAATTTTCACGTTACACATATTGGTAATGGGAGTAGCAAAATTTTAATATGCTTTTATTAAACTTAAACTGTAAGAATTTTTAATAAATAGTATGTACCTTATACTTTATCGTATGGATTTTATCAAAAAGGCTTTTATATATTATACACGGCGATACTTATAGTAAACAATATAACTATAAATATACATATTAGTGATCATGTAAGGTGAAAATCTATAAAGTAGATATTTTTTTAGTTACAAGTACATACCTACCTACTTCTTAATAAATTAAAACATTTCAATTATTTTAAATAATGTAAGTTACCCGTACGTAAAAATTTTCGACCCACTAGCTAATACAATTAGAAATAATTTGAAATTTCCGGACGTTCAGTCGTTTAGCTGTAAATTAACAAAACAAAAAAATACTGACCATTAACTTTTCCTCACTAACAGAGCGACCGCTGCCGTGGAACTTGTCTGAACCGGAGTTACTCTGCGTCATCCTTTTTTAAATTAACAAACACTTAACAATATCTCAAAAAGTAAATATATATTCTTAGTAAAATCCTATTGAAACCGAAATTTTAATTAAAATTATTTTTTACTGTACAAAAACAATAATAGCTAAAGTAATCATTTGTCATAAGTTTGTTTAACACGTGCGTCCTTCGCACTCCGCTCCACATGGACTAAAAGCTGGTCAAAATACAGCCTTCAGTGTGAGTGGTCGCTGGGGCAACAGCTAATCACCACAAATAAAACTTTCATACTCCATCACCCCACGTTTATTTAAATGTATGATCCGATGCATATGTAAATTCGTCAAATATGAATAAATGAACACAAAAAATGTCACAAGACCATTTACCACTTTATTTCATTCATAAGTGTCATGAACTGTTTCAAAGGCAATTTAAAAAAGAATTTTGAAGTTTATTGCTCAAAATTGAATTAGGTATAATTGCACAACATAATAATAATTATTATAATCTGTAATGGACACAAGCTAGTATTGTTTCAATGAAATTTCTATAAACAAATATATTTAAATGAGATTTCTTAGTATATAGGTATTATTACTTTTTTATTATTTAAGTTTTTAAACTATTTATTGTATTATTTTTAGGATATGAGGAAAAATAATAATCAGTTTTTATTATATAAATTTATTGTATTACACAAAACAAACAAATTCATTATCAAACTGTTCCTGGTGCTAGCAGCTTAACCCCTCGGTCAAATAATTTAAAAAGATACTGTGATGATTTCTGATCAAAAATATGTAAATTGACACTCTGAAACTTTCTATAAAGGTACCTTATAGTTAAACGGCCCGAGACATCAGAGCTCATACCTGATGGCAAACTCTCTACTTCAACTAATATATGTGATTTATGTGAAAGCAAGTTGGCTAGCACATTGGTAACATTGTCACAATGTGAAACATTACAATGGAATATTAAAAATGAATTGTTATAACTATGAAGTAACTCTATAATATCTTTGCATAAACTATTTATTTCTTTCAAACTGAACTCTAAATCAAATAGATGAGAAACACCATCAAATATAACATTTACTGTACCATTTTTATCAAACATAGCCTTAATTTGTTCCTTAATTTTGGATATAAATTCCAAACTAGAATGGTTATCCTCAAACATATTAGATACCAGTTCATTTCCTAAATCATAAAAATGAATTATTTTAGAGTCTATTGACTTTTGTAAATTATAATTCATTTTTAAACCAACATTATGATAGTGCAACAGGGAGTTGTGTGTTGATATGAGAAGAGTAGCATTTTTATTTCTTATACAGTGTCCTAAAACGCAACTTGTTATAAAAGAACTATCGCCGCCATTTATTTCTTTTATTACTAAAACTTTATTCGACTTTAACTCTTTATCTAATTCAAGGCTGGTAAGGATGTCGGCAGTCATCTGAAATAGAAAATTGACGTATCATTTTAATTAAAAAAGATGATTTTTCAAAATATTGTGATAAAGTCTTGTAATCTCAAAGGTTATTTTGTCATTAACAGAAGACACGATAAGCGGTGAGCTTTAGGTAATGCGGAACAGTGAAACAGTGAAGTAGTGAGAGTAATTTTCAGAGCAGGAGCCCCGAATTAGTTTACGTCAAACTCTACCAATACTACGGTAGATAACAAGTCATTTAAGCATTTGTTTTTTTTAATGATTAGTGAATTAGTTATCAAAAACATTCCCCAATAGAAACTCTCAAAAAATAACAGGTAAGTACCTTTTTTACAAATAACAATGATTATTCAATTCAAAAACTTCAATTATGAATAACACTAAACCGCAGACACTAGACAGCAACACGATTATAACCTCATATCAAACACTTGTTTGTTTGACGTCCACTAGATAATGTACAAAGACAGCATATATAAAAAAGGGAATTCTTAATTTTACTTAAAATTATCAGTACATCACAATGTACTAAGGAAGAAAACAAACTTGTTCTGACAAAAACACTCAGCTGGATTAAAAATTCCGGATAGAAGAGTCCTTGTTATAAAAATTCATTAACTTTTTAAATGTCAATGTCAACCAAACTAACATTGGTGCCAAATGAGATTGAAAGAGACTGTTCTGAGGGACAAATGAATAATGATGCAGAAAAATATGTATTACTGCTCATAACGATGTGTTAATGAATAGAGTAATGCTTTAGTTATAATTATACATTAGTAGAATAGTTACATAACGCCCAAGTTCAAATATTCACTCAGTCGGAGTCTGACCCTCCATTATGATAGATTGTGCAGGAAGTTTTAATAAAACATAACTAAAAGAAAGACACTTTTAGAATGGCTGACGGAAAACCAGTTAGAGTTTCACAATGGTACTTCGGTGGGTTAGCATCAGCGGGGGCTGCTTGTATCACTCATCCCTTGGACCTACTCAAAGTCCAAATGCAAACACAAAAAGGAAAAAACATATCTATGTTCCAGCTTACGCAAATAGTTCTAAAAAACCAAGGTAATAAATAATAGTACTTTCTTTAATTGGATGATAAATGTTTTGAGTCAGAAATTAGTCTGTGTTTACTTTTAATCTAAATTTCAAATATAAACTTGTCTGTGTAGGTATAATGGGACTTTATAATGGAATATCAGCCTCACTCCTCCGACAATTGACTTATTCAACAGCAAGATTTGGTATTTATGAGGTGTCCAAGCAACAACTGGCACCAAAAGATGTAAGTATTATGGTTAATTTGATACTTATCATATTTTCTACATTAATAATTTTTTTCTAATAATGTTTTTACATTTTAAGGGCTCTGCAATACCTTTCTATATGTCTGCCTTCTTGGCTGGGTTGGGAGGTTTTGCTGGGGGCTTTGTTGGCAATCCAGCTGATTTGGTTAATGTGAGAATGCAAAATGATGTCAAGCTACCACCCGAGCAAAGAAGAAAGTAAGTTTTAATGATATAATATAAGAAAATAGTTCAGTAATTTATTATAAATTTATTAAATTTTAAAGTTATCTTTTTTGATTATGCTAAAAATATATGATTAATTATTGCATACATTACATGTATATGGATATTATGAATCTTAAAATTTTTTTGTTACAGCTATAAAAATGCAATCCATGGATTGTATCGTGTAGCAGCACAGGAAGGTATATTACGACTGTGGGCCGGAGCATCTATGACATGTAGCAGAGCTGCCCTTATGACGATTGGACAGCTTTCATTCTACGATCAAATCAAGTCCATATTACTGGCTTCCCCTTATTTCGGTGATAATGTTATCACTCATGTTACTTCGAGTTTATCAGCAGTAAGTGACATTACTTTAAAGTTTTATTTTTTTTCATATATGTTATGGTTAAAATATATATTTTTTTTAATTTAAGGGTGCAATAGCAACAACATTAACACAACCAGTAGATGTGTTGAAGACAAGAGCGATGAATGCAAAACCAGGTGAGGTTACGAGTATATTAAAACTTATTCAGAATACTGGAAAGGAGGGACCATTGGCATTTTTCAAGGGTTACATTCCAGCATTTGTGAGACTCGCTCCGCATACTATATTGACATTTGTATTTCTTGAACAACTAAGGATGAACTTTGGTGTTATAAAACTTAATGTAAACAATTAATATGATATATAAAGGTTGATGTGTTCAATATATTTTAGAGTAATAGTTATAAATTATATACATATAGACGATTGAACTAATATAATAGTATTGATGTGACTGTAAGCAAGTTAGACAGTGTTTTATTAGAATGCTTTCAAATTGGATTTTTAGATTGTTTGATGTTGATGTTTAACATTGCATTTAGATTTTCATTATATGTTTATATTTATTGTTGTGATAAATTATTTGGGTACACTATATAGTGCTTCATATTATTAAGGAAGGATATTTTTTAATGTTTTATGTTACCAATGTGACTCCATATAATGGAATGGATATGTTACCTCTGTACAAGAAAAGTTTACTTTTTGAAATCTTCTATTTTACTTTATCATACAGTGTGTTACTTGAAAAATATTTAATATTTTATTACTCATGTGATGTTATTACAATGTGTAATAGCAAGAACTATATTTTTTTTGTCTTTATTTCTTAACGTGTGTTTGGTTTATCGTGTAGACGAAATAATGTTGGCACAATTTTATTTTTCGTAATGCTTCTTTTAAGTCGATATTTTAAATATTGATTTGCATTACATATTATTTTTAACAGTTTTATGATAATTTGAAGAAAATGTTAAACATTTTAATTTCACGTGTGCCAAACAATGTGTGCAAAGTAACTAGCATGGTTTTAATTTTAAGGTATTGAAATTGTAGGCCAGGTCCACACTATAATTGCAGACACAGTTTATTTTCGCCCCCGGCGATAGATTAGATAAGATTTCAAGTGAATTAATCTTTAGAGTGAACGAAATATCAATATCACGGCCATTACAGTAATAAATATTTATTTTCGTCGATCGTATATTTAACTGTAACTGTCTTTATAGTGTGGGCGGTTGGTTTTAAAATTAACTGTCATTTAGCCAAGTTATATTTTTCGAGATAGGTTTTTTAGAATGAAACATTCAATTGACATTCCTCCATCTTATACACGTACTTCGGTACACTTGCCAAAAAAAAAGTACAATTTTTATTATAACAAAATGTATTTTCTACGACTCAAATGTCAGATGACACTTGTCCTATTTAGATTAGTATTTTGCTACACTATAACTTTTATAGCAATAGTGAAATGTAAGGCTACGAAATCTTTTACTAAATGAATATAATGTTTAAAGAAAAACTTTTTTTTATAATTATGAATGAAACTGAAACTTCCAAATTTATATGTTATATTGTATATTGAAATAAACGAAATGAAATCTGTAAAAATAATAGATTATGCTATCAGCGGAGTATTAAACTAATATTATTAGGTTTTGACTTCAACAAATAAATACTCCATTGATAGTTTTAAATTTTACGACTAGTTTTACTAGTCAGTGTTCCTTGGAATATTGTTATTTTAATGTCTCAAAGACATTTTATTTAATGTTTTTTGTAGCTGTTGTAATAAAGGGTTAAAAACATTTTTTTTTGTTTTTAATAACGTTCTTTATAAAATATTTTGAGGTGTGCATGTCTAAAAGGCAATTCAGGAAAATTACCATTCAATATGCCCTATTTTAATTAACATTGGGAAGTCAGTTTAAATGAAATACAAGTGATATTTGTATAATTTTAATATATCTTATCACTTCATTATAACAATAAGAAATAAACTTTGGACAATCACATCAATTTTACACTTTATTTACCTAAAATAGGAAAAAAAATATCTTACATTGAATAACAACACCAATAAAATTTAACTCTACAAAACAAATACACAATGATAAAACTAGTTAAGTTATCAAGACCTTGGCTGATAGAGATTTTTATTAGAAGTATCTTAAATATCACAATTATTATAGGAAATTTGTTAAATATTAATTAATTGGAATCTTCAGCTTTAAATTTTTATGTATCTTGATGTATGTGGATACTAACTCTATATATATAGATTAAGGAAAATATCATATATAAAATTAAATTTAATAGATAAAACAGATTCTGTAACTTCATTCAATATATTTTGTTTATATGATTTATATTACAGAAACTTCCATAATATACATAAAAACATATAAAAGTGTTATGTAATACAATTAATACAATATATTCAACATAGTGTAAAGACTAAGTCATTGATAATGAGAAGAGTATCTTATCAATTAAACAATCTGTTATTTTAATTACAAATGTTAATAATGGAAATGGAATATTAAATGCTTGAATAAAGATTATTCAGTATATTTGAAGCTGATTCTTATTATGCAGTCTATAAAGCACATATTTTAATTATGAATCTATATTATATTCATATTTTGAACAATATGAATAGTTATGGTATCTGTAGTTATCAGATATACTTAAGTTAAAATGCTGCATCTTTAGTAAGAAATGTTTTAAAAGACTACTTTTATGATAACCAAGATATATTGAATAACATAATATATTTAATACTATGTAGTTATGTATTAAATGCAGTTAAATTCTATTTACATTCTAAATGACATTGGCATCGAAAGCGTTTATTTTTATGTATACTTATTTCTGTTTTACAAAAATGTATGTTAATGTGTTAGATTTTTTATTAACCCTAAGTAAAATGGATTTTCTTGAGATTTATTTCTAGCCTCCGTCTATTTTTACTACATATCGATACAGAATAAGTTGTCTAAACGTTGTTACGTAACATTCGGGATTGGCCGGCTGGCTCGAGGCGGATCGTTGCGGGGCCCTGCATCCACGGCTCCCCGTCCACTTGCATAGCCACACACCCCTCCAGACTCATCTACCAATAGAAATTTTGTATATAATATTGATTCATAGTAAATTAAAAGAAAAATCCTTTATAATAAACTAGCTATCCGCCCGCAGCTTCGCCCGCGTGCAGTTCGGTTATATCGCGTTTCCAAGAGAACCTTTCAAAAGTCTGGGTTAAAAACTATCCTTTGTTCTTTCTCAAGGTCAACTCTATATCTGTACCAAATTTCATTGAAATCAGTTCAGTGGTTAAGGCGTGAAAGCGTAACAGACAGACAGAGTTACTTTCGCATTTATAATATTAGTAGGCATTAAATTCTAACAGTACGTTTGGGTAAACAAAACTATATTATAGTACAGCGACCTTGAGTTTTCATAGTCAAACTATATTTAGTATTCAGTTTTTGATTATAAATAGCCGCATAAGTGGTAAGTTATAGGTTTGAAAAGTCTTAAATTACGATAGCTTTGACGAGCCCTATTGTGGTAAAAAGTTCTCATATACATAAGCAAAATTTTCAATATTTATCTCAAAATCATTAATAAAACATATTGTTAAAAGAAAGCATTAGCAGAAATATGAAAAATTTAAAGGCAAACTTGCGGCTATGACAGCTGTTATAAGTTAAAAAAGATAACTAAACGCCTTGAAGGGGATTGTCACAATAATATAGTCTTTAATGCTGACCACAACACTTGTTCCAACAAGTTAGTAGAAGGAAATTAGGAACGCGATGTTTTGTATGAGTGATCACGTTCCTATAGTCAATCAACTATTTCAGAAATATTAGATTTATTGTGTTTTCGAAATTGATTTATGATTCAGACCTTGTAAAAAAAAGTGATTTTCAGTTCATGATAATCAACTAACATTTAACAAAACTCAAAGAAAATAAAATAAAGATATAAGTTTGTAACAGATCTTAATAATAAGGGTACACTTCATCTGAATTTTAAACGATGTTACAAGTTGTTCTCTTTTGTTCATTTTATTTTAAAACTAAAAGCCAAATTGCTTGTATCTTATATGGAAAAAGTTAATAAAAGTTTCAGTGTTTTTCTACTACTCAACACGAATTTATCGTAAAATGATCTATTGAAATCAAGCTTTGGGAATTTCTTTATGTTGTGATATAACCCCAGTAGATTAAATACAAATGCGCTAGAAAACCTTGCTAACAAATGTTTAAGTTTGTATATAATAAATGGATAATGTTAACAATCTTCACTTTGACTTATAAGAGAAGCGGTCGAGAATACAGATATACTATTGTTCTACACGAATTTAAATGTATTGATTCAGAATAATTGTTGAACATTCACGTCAATTCTTACACACGATTTTTATGTCCCATTTCGTAGTACTAATTATAACAGGAGCTCTCTATTAAAATCTTGTAGTTTTTATATATGTTAATAAAGACATAATTTAGAAACCTCACTTTTTAAAATTCAAAATATAGCTATGTTCTGTTATACTTTTCGAATTTTTCCTTCAATATGAACGAAGAGAGCGGAACTCTATACTGGCGACTGTTATGATTCATCCACGAAGATGATCTCGGCAAGCGAATATCCAATGGACTAGAAGTTTTTTGATCAATAGCATGGTTATTTGGTATGGTTTTTATAAAACAAAATTTAGATAGGACCACAAATTTCAATTTCAGGGCCGGAAAACGTTATCCACGTTTAAAAAAGCGATACGATACGGAAATGCTAAGAGCACTTTAGCCAAACCGTAGAAAGCTTTTTTTTGAGAGAATCGAGAAAAAATAGCGAAGGTACATCTCCTAGTTTTAAACCTTTTGTTATTTTAATATTTATCAAGTAACCAGAAAAGTTCGTGCGGTTTTCATTCATTGTTTACTTATACGGACGGTATATCGCAAGTAAGATAAATTTGTGTGTAAATTATTATACATTTGAAAGGTTATATTAAGAAGTATAATATATTGTGTTAGATAAGTTTTTTCACTTTAAAAAAACAGAAAAAATATTGGTAAAGCAAGGCTGTGTCAAATGCAATAATTCGTGCCTGTTTACTTTACGAATTCAAACTTGGCAGTAAAGTCGCAGAATCTTGTCATAAGATATGCACTGCTTTTGGGGAAGGTACTGCAGCTGAACGAACGAACCAGACGTGGTTTAAAAACTTGATTCTGGAAATGAGAGCCTGGAAGATGAAATCGCTTTCACTGAAGCTACGAAACTATTCGCATGCATTTGCACCAGCTTGGGAAACGATGCAAGCTAAGCAAATGGCTATAGTCTTTGCATTTGTGTGAGTGAAAGTAAAAGTAGAGTTAGACAAAGAACTTTTAGAATTCAATTTTATTATATTTTAAATAGATACATAACATAAGCAAAACTTATAAAAAGCCAGATGGAAATATTAAGAATATTATGGGGAAAAATATTGATTAGTAAAAATTTTGAAAAAACTACAAATTCTTCGTCACTTGACATTGCGTTTTCAATATTTGATTTTGCTATCAGTACAAAAGGTGAAGTAAGGAAGGTGCGGGGCGGAGTATAAGCAGAATAAACCGGTTAAAAACTAGAGAAGAACGTGGTATTTAAAAATTTGACATCACCCCTACACTATCTGTGTACACTCACACAAATGCAAAGCTCAGCTTAAATCAAATGCACTATACCACATGAATTGAATGAAACAAACAAGTTACAGCGATTGACAATCTGCACAACGCAAGACCACACACCAAGAGTCATGCAGGAAATATTGACACGAATAGAATTGGAAGTCCTGTCTCATCCGCCGTACTCACCAGACCTAACCCCAAGTGACCACCAACTGTTTTTAGCATTGGACAACCATATGCAGAATCGGGCATTTCAAAATAGAGGCTTTCCAAAATGACGTGGTACAGTTCTTTAATTCACAAAAACCAGATTTATACAAAAAAAGGTATTTATGATCACGTGTTTAGTAGGAAAAGGTTAACTTATTTTTGTATTAATTTCCTTTAACACTCAAATCCGCACGAACATTTTTGGTTGCCTAATATATCTTTAAATAAGATATTTAAAAGTTTAGTTATACAAATATAGACAATATATTTTAAAATGAGCTTTATGTTACCCATCAATTATGAAATAAAATAAACCTATTGTTATAAAATCGGAGAAAATAAAGTTTAAAAAAAAAATTAAGACAGAAAAGTTAAACATACGTATTAAAAACAATTACCTCTACATAGCTTGTCTGTGCAAAGCGGTAGGGCTCTGCTAAACCACACTGAAGCCTCGCGATGTGGAACGACGATGATATACCGACCACCTATGAATAATATTATGTACTTTTGACACAAAAACATATTTAAATCATTGTTAAACATGTATGTAATATTCGTGTTGGTAAAACTAAGAGATAGTAATATATATATATATATATATTACTATTTCAGTAGATTTTCTTCTTTAACTTCATTATACAAAAACTCTATATATATATATATGTTTTCATGAAAGAGTAATTTGATTGTAATGAACGCAATCGCATACGCATTAAAAAGCACAAATGTACAGATCACATACAGACTATATGAACTTGGGATAATAATAATTAATTATGTAATGTCATACTTTACTACGTAATACTTTACGAAAACTTCAAATTTATTTAACTACATAAAAGTAACGTTTCCCATATATTTCGTTGTTCGCAGCATATAAATTTATGTGTATAATAAATCTCGTACTCACTTCCAATTTCTTATCATTCATGAACTGTTCGCCGACGTCTTCCTCGCTTCCCATACCTGCGACAACATGATCACGTCACACGTCAACATATAACATACACTAAAATCTAAATATCACTGATAATATAAATCACACACTCCACAAATCCACGCCGGCGCCCCATGATGGTATATTTAGTAACACTAGCGCCTGTAATGGCGGCAAATCAAGCGTGTTTAAATTTCCATGACTTCGAGCCTCTTGACCCTCGCCGTGTTCACGAGCTATCCTCACACGTAACCGACGCTCCAGCCCTCCACAGCCACCATCGTCAAGAGCGCGACCAACTCCGAGAAGTGCGTAGGCTAACTGTGAAGTATAAATAAAGTTAATATCTAGAATCTTATAAAAAAAAACAGGAGTATTTTACTAGTCATGTAATTCTCAAAATATAATCTTCATACGAAAATCATGAAATCATGAAAAAAATATCATACAAAGACGTTATTTATTCTCTTGGCGGCATATCTTTGGTGGAATATACAATATACATTTCGTAATACATAAGTCTATGAATTTATTTGTTAAATTTAAGTGGACGCGTGTATTTTTGAATTTTATAAAATTTGAATTTCGAACTTAAATGAAAGAATACTTTCATACATAGTTTATGTATCTGCTTGCGCATCGTTTGAGTATGTGAGCGCGGGCACGATGGAAGTCCAGAGCGACCTGCGCGTCTACGCCCACGCTCACGTAGTTATGAGCGAACAACACACGACCACGTGACCGCAGCCCGCGGGACAACGGACCAATAGAAACTTTCCATCTGGAAATTACACCAATAGGATGACTGCATATTAAAAATGGATTCTTAATTTCGTTTTTTAAATTTGTTAATGTATTCACACATTAGCCAAATCCTCAGTTATACTATTTAATTTAATTGTTACTTGTAACAAGCTTAACAAAGCTTTTTACAGAATTATGGTAACTATCAGTTGGAATTAATAAAGACCGAATTAGCACGAGCATTTTATTAGACGAATGACCAAAGTACCAAACATATTTGAATACAAATTATTTGATATTCAAATCAGGAATTACCCAACTCACATTTTGTTTCAGTTGTAACTAGTAATTACCTTTCGACAACACAATGTATCATAAAATTGTATTAGCTAATATTTTATGCCTAAAGATATTTCGCATATTTAAATAAAACTAATATTTTTCAGATATACTACGCGACATTTTTTTGATAAAAACTACATACTCCCGACGTTTCGGCTACTTTTCATTAACTGTGATCACGGGCAGACGAAAAGTAGCCGAAACGTCGGGAGTATACAGTTTTTATCAAAAATAAAGTCGTATAGTATATCCCAAAAATATTAGTTTCATTTAAATGAATAAGACTCACGATAATCTTAGATCTCATTATATTTCGCATATTCTTTTAAACATCACTTACCTGTCAAGTATTTGTACTTCTGCTTGTTTCATAGATGTAATAATAGAGGATGCATCTAAGTCAGAACAGCCGCCGCCCCAGCCGAGGGCTCGAGACAGATCATTACCAGTGCCAGTAGGTAGAATACCAACTGACGCCTAGGATTCATTAAAATAATATTAATTAGTTATTAAAAATCTCTATATGTACATTTATAAATACAGGGCTGTTCAAACCATGGCCCGCGGCCCGCGTGCGGAAGTAATTTTATAAATATTTTGTTATTTTTATTGGCCCTAGGTCCCATCAAGTTTGGACACCCCTGATTTAATACATTGACCCACTCAAACACATATATTAAATAGCTAAGTAAATCAACAAAGACATACATATACATTTGAATAACAAATTTAGAATCATTATGCCAACATTGTCTTAAATGCATATTTGTTTACTATTAAATTTATGACATACTTTTTTCTTTTTTATATGGTAAAGTTAAGTTACTGATGTATTTAATTAGTTAAATTAAATCTATAACTATAGAAATGTCTGAGAAATACTATTTATATTTTATACTAGCTTTCCGCCCGCATCTTCGCCCGCGCGGAGTTCGGTTAAATCGCGTTTCCAAGAGAACCTTTCAAAAATCTGGGATAAAAACTATCCTATGTTCTTTCTCAAGGTTAACTCTATCTTTACCAAATTTCATTAAAATCAATTCAGTGGTTTAGGCGTAAAAGCGTAACAGACAGACAGATAGACAGACAGAGTTACTTTCTCATTTATAATATTAGTAGGGATATGAACATACTTTAATATGTGGTACTGTGTGTAATGTATTTAACACCCACGCCACTGTGCCATCACCTCCAGCAACGATTATACGACATCTCTCTGGAAGCCACTTCACTGCTTTCTCAGGTGGCATTGAACCAATATCTATAATCTACAAAATTTTCATATATTAATTGGCTTATGAAGTTATGTATAAAATAATTATAAGGAATGCTGAATTAATACCTGCAGTGGATTCAATAGACCTCTAAAGAGTGACAAAACCTCATCACTTCTATTACTTCCTGATTTCCTATTGGCTGAAATGAAACTTATTCATTTATCAAGTATAAAGATTAATTATGCTCTTATATTATTAGACTATATACATATATATTGTTTGAGAAAGTATACACACCAAAAATGATGAACGGTTCCCAATCATCGTCAGGTACGGGTTCTATTTTAATAATTTTTCCTCTATCCATATTTACATTCATCGGTGGAATAATGATATCTTTATATTTCTGGAAGTCACATCTCTATAAGAAAGAACATAGTATTACAAATGTATCACAAGTAGAGAAATAACATTACAAGTTATTATTCAAATGTATACCTCGGTATTCGATAATTCATTTTCCTGACTGAGTCTCACTCTTTGGCACCAAGAACAGAAGAATTTTTTCAAATTATCTCCCTCTTCTATGTGATCGGGATTTTCTCTAGTAACAGAACCAACTACAAAACGTTAAAATTTAATTATACTGTGTTAAAAATCAGATAAAAAATATTGAATGTATACCATTAACCCAAAGATGATAGAATGGTTTCTCTGCCGGCCACGATATCTGTTTACATCTTTGCTTTTTATCAATTATACGATGACATTTTTTACATGCACTAATACCACAGCATTCACAGAAAAGGCCTACTAGGGACAACATTAGTTTCCCGCATACTGTACACTGAAATTTTTTTAAATACACTAATATATATAGTCATTACGTAAATATGTTGATTATAAATGTTAAGAATCTATACTTTATACGAAAATTAATAAAATATAGTATATATGTATTTTACAAACTTACATAGATATTATAGGGTATTGATTTATTACAATCGATACTTCTCCATGTGTGTCCTCGTAACTTATATTTTATTTGTATGAAATTATTATCCCCCAAAAAGGAATTAAACATGCGATAAACAAGGTAACTAATAAAAAATCCACCAATAACAAAATAATAATTAAAATTCAAGTGGTTTATTATAGCCATTGTTTCCATTATTTCAATTTTAGTCAATAATATTAACATTGTGACGTAAATTCTTTAATCAATTTACACTTTCTTGTTGTTCAATAATAGTGTTTTAATAAACCATCTAGTAGGATGAATGAAAGTTATAATTATCAATCCATAATTGGGTGGTAAAAATTTAAATTATTTACACATTACAAATAAACAATTCAATTTTGAATTTGATTGATTTTCCTCAAATGGTTTTTGGGTGTTACCATATGACATATATACAATAATTTTCATTGTATTATAGTTCAGAAATTAGAAACATTTAAGACGTTTAACAAAAAATTTAATTAATTTCAAATATGATGTAACGTTAAGTGGAAATAATCTGATTATCATAGATCCTATATGTTCCTCGTAATTGACCTGAATTACAGATTTCTTAAGAGGGGAAAAGGTTGTAAACCTAGAAAACTTTGTACCTGATGTGCATTTCACTTCTATCTTACATTTTAGATAAACTTAAATTTTTATCAGGCATGGAAGGAGTTTCTTAACTTTCAAAGGGTAGGAATCTCGTCTCGAAAAAAATGTGGTGTTTGTAAATTTTTTGTACTGATTGATTGTTCTGTTAAATAAAACAGACAACTTTGGTTTAAGATGTTATTCTTCATTATTATAAGAATGAAAACTGATAAGCTGAAAGTAAAATATCTAGGTCATGTATTTCATGATACCTAAAACTTTATAAAGCATTTAAAAGCTCGCTTACAAGTTTGTGCTGTTCTATTAAGAAAAAAGATATTATATAAAGATAAACAAAAGGATTTTAATTTGTATGGCTAGTAGCTTCTAGCAACTCACACATAACACTGCTTAGGCTATAGGAATATATTGTCTACGAGTTTTACTATGGGATACAAAATATTGCTGGCATACATTTAAATTTTATGTTTTTGTTAAAGCAATGTGTTACAAAAAAATAAATATAATAGATTCATAGTATACCAATCATGAGTTTTTCTGTTTTTATGAAAGGAAAAATTTTTTCAATACTTACTAAAGCCACAAATCCTCATGCAAATATAGTTTTTAATTCATTATATACTAAATAACATCAGATATTCATTAATACAATACACTTTTTAATACAAGTTGAGTTATAATTTTTTTTAAAAGAAAACCTATATTTCAAATCTGCTTTTCTTTGGAATAATCAAAATGAATAAAAAACATTCCTCATAGTAAAAGATTTATTATTGATGTTCATGAGCTCAAGTTAATTAGTAATTGCCTTAATTTATTAGAACAGAGATCCAACGGTGTTTTCTTTTCCTTGTTCTGTATTTCAAGACTGGCACCAGCCTTTACCAATAAACAAGCCACTGCCTCTCTATCCTCCTCACAGGATAAATGTCTACAACAAAATAATTGACTATTATTACCTTAAACAGATCTTTCTATATAATTAAAGATATTTTTATTTATTTTGTTAGCATCAATATTCAATCATTCATTCAATAACACACATTAATTAGATATTATGTATAATATTCTGTTAAGTAATAAATTAATTGCTTTTTTTCTTATGCTGGCATTAAAAAAAAAATATTCCTTGTTATTGTTGTACAACTAAGTAATATTAAAATTACTATATATCTTATTAATATTATATAACTATATAGTTTTATTTAAATGATTCTAAATATAAACTGCTTTCCCTTTACTAACAATGCAGTACTTCCAGTTGAATCACACACATCAACTTTGAAATGTGAACATTTTGTTAGCATTTCAACTATCTCCATTCTTCCTTGGGCGGCCGCTCTGTGAAGAGGTGTAGCACCTAATACATCTGCCTCTGACACAATGGCATCTGCTTCTATTAATAATTTCACTACCTAGAAATTATTGTCAAATAAAAATAATTTCCAATTAAAATGCTATGTATGGACTTATATTTGATTTTTTTGGTGTTTCTCACCTCTCTATGTCCTTTTGAACAAGCATAATGCAAGGAGGTTTGACCACGGCTTGTTTTGTGATTGACATTTGCACCTTTGCCTATTAAAAGTCTTACCACCTCCACCCTGCCTGCTGATGCAGCTAATATTAATGGAGTACTGTTTGTATCATCAATAGCATCAACCACACTTCCCAAATCAATCAAATAGTCTACTAGGTTCTCATTACCACCAAGAGCTGCCCAGTGTATAAGAAGACGTTTATTCTACAACAATAACATTCATTGTATTTATTACGGAACAAGAATTAAGTTTTATAGATATTTAAATACTAACTTCATCTGGTGTCGATATTAAAGACGAGTCAGCATCGATTTTGACCTTTACTTGATTAAAATCGCCTCTGTATGCTGTTTCATACACACTTCCAATAGACATTCTTGGTTTTTGTGATGAATAGACCTAAATAAAAACATACAAAGTTGTGGTCTACTTATAACATTACACAGAACCGGTAACTATTCAAGACTTTTTTAAGTGTAAAGAAAAAAGAATTATAAAAATACGGTAATTACCAATAATCAGTAAATAAATAGATACAGATGATAGAATAATTGAGTACGGGCAAGTTATAATATTATTGTTAATGCAATAACTTTGAAAAATTTAAATTCAACAAGTCACTGCAATATTTGAACAGTTTACTTTTTAAGTGTCAACTGTCAAGTGTCAACAAAATATATAGATATATTATCTACTAGTTTCAATTAATAAAATTACTAAGTAACTAAAATAATATATTTAAATCTGAATAATTTTTAAAACGCTACTTAAGATGATAATGTAGGTTGTGTAAGCAAACTTCCCGATACATATTTATTTAGCGTTCAATTTCATAAAACTCCATTCAATCTAAAACATGAAAAATATAAAATGTAACAAAAAACAACGAAATTGTTGACGTCACAAAATTTTGACATGTGTGCTTCATGACACTTGACAGTTGAATGCTAAACCACTCGACATTTTTACATTTAATGTTGTGTATTTTGTATTTGTGTAGATAGTTTGACTATGTTCACAGAGTACATTGCTATGATTGTAAATTGAGATCGGCTGTTATTGTGTATTGTGTTCAATTGACGAAGTTGTTAATAAATGAAGCATTGCTAATATTATTCAATTCTGATACGAACACGTACTGTTTGTCGAAAAATTCGTTTTATTATTCGTTCCATTTAGGTTTTGATCTAAAATAAAAAACCAATTTTGGTAATAGTTTTAAAAAAATCTTATGAAAAACTTTTATATAATAAATATACTCCGTTATTTATATTAATGTTATATTTCAAGTTTTAAATAAACAAAAATAATGTCTGCAGAATACTACGATTATTATGACGGTAGTAAATTATTTTTGTTTTTATCAAACCGACTCGGGCTACCCATCGACTTGGTAAGACTTTTCAATTGTTTAAATAAATTTTGCTTTAACTCTAACAATTTAGATAGTTCTGGCAACTTGCATAAATCTTTCAATAACAAATAGCTAACACATTTTTATAATTACACCAACTGCTATCAACTTAATTATTAGTCATAGTTTATATATCTTCCATAGCCGTTATCAACAACAGTCGTTGTTTTAAAATATCATCTTGATATTATCCTTGACTTGATAATACTATGTAGCTGATAAGTTATTGAAAAGTCATTGCTTAGAGATTAATTTGATAGATTTTAGTATATCTTTCGCATTAGTTTCCATTATATATAACTCCAATAAGAAATATATGGAGAGTATTCTATGCAATATTATGTTACTCATATATAATCACATATATAATTTTATTATTTCTTCACAATAGCAAGAATTTAGTTACAAAGTGTGTTAAGCTTATAATTTGCTTATAAAATCTTCATTTCTTTTGGCATGATACTTGTTATACTTTGTTCCGAATGTATTTAATGGAATGGTAAACAAAAAAAAATAATTACCATACAATCACTATATAGAACACAAATAAAGTGGTCACAACAATGTTAAATATAATAATTATACATATAAACTCTTTTGTATATTTTCATTTGTTTTTTAAATTAAATTAAAAAATAATAATTATAACCGAACTTGAGCTGACCTTGATTTTTAATAAAGTTATTTATGATTTGTTAATTTAATTGGTTTTTGTTTTAGAAATGACTCAGCCATTACCTCATTTACCGTTTCATGATGTATACAGAATAATAGAATTAGTATGTTCAATATACCTAGCCAATACAAAAATAATTTTAAATTGGTACTTTAAATCACTAACAAATATTTAATTGTGAGATTGTTATGACAATTAAGGCAGTTTTTATTGATTAATATAACATATTTATGCATAAATACCTATTTTCATTAAATTTACCATTTTATTAAATTTTGGAACAAAGTATATCTGAAACACATAAGCTTGGTTATATATCAAAAGCACAATTTCACCTTTATTTTTCTCATTAGGTTAATTTTTTGATCGCACAATTTGCTGCATTATGCGTGGCCAGACTTTTTCGGAAACCATTAAAACTAGCTTCGCCAGAATTTCGACATTCATTATGCCTAGTTATAGGGTTGCTAATGGGATATTTCTGCTTTGGAAAGTAAGTTTTCTATGAAAATACATATATTAAACAATATTGTTTGTAATGCTAGGTACATTATAGTGTGGTATATCCAATAAAATAAATTATTTAATATGAATTACCTTGTCATGCTGTAGTTATGCTGAAGCATAAAAAATTATTTGTTCAATAAGTATTTATATATAAATTTATATTGTAATATTAAAATCAAATTAGTAATAAGATAAGCGTCATAAAAATTTATTGGAATAACAATTATTGTATATTTTTAATAACAATTATAATGTAATTTCAGACAAGCAGTACATTTATCGGTGCTACCTATGATAGGATATATTCTACTGAGGACTTTATCACCTAATTTAATGGGAAAGTGAGTTTATAAGGCGATCTATGTGATATCTTAAATTGTTTACAAGAAATTAAAATTTTTTGATTCTTTTCAGTGTTATTCTGGCCGCTTCTATGATATATTTGTCTTGTATACATTTGCATCGACAGATTTATCACACGGCTGACTATTCATTAGATATAACGGGTTTGTAAATTAATCTATATATAAAAACTATATTCCTAAATGTAAATCATTAGCAGTTGAATGTATCTATTATATATTTGGTTTAATTATAGGTCCTCTGATGGTTATAACTCAGAGGGTTACATCTTTAGCATATTCGTTGCAAGATAAATTAACTACGAAGGAAATAAACGCTAACTCTACAAGCAATTCATGGAGTAAGGACTTCAAAACGGATAAAATGCCATCACCACTCGAATATTTCGCGTACACATTGGCCTTCCAGACTTTGATGTGCGGGCCGGTCGTGTTTTATTCAGATTACATAAGTTTCATTGAAGGCGATCATGTTAATGGAGTTAGTATAAATGTTTTTATGTTATTAAATATTTTGTTTGAAATTACGAAAATTATTGAAATTTTTGACGTTTTCATTTTAGGAGGGAAAAAGTCATATGACAGAAAGAGAACCCTCTCCTAGATTGGCAGTTCTTTATAAAGTAGCAGGCTCTGTGGCAGCGGCTGTTCTATATTTGTCTCTGGCTAAGAAGTATCCTCTAACAGTGCTTGAAGGTAAATTATAATTTGACGATTTATTTGACAGTTCTAATTAGATCTAACTCCGGTATGACTCAATAGTAGTGCACTGTGACATCATAATTGGCTAAATAAGTAGGTACTAGAATATTAAGTGTTATTAAATTACGTTTACTACCGATCGCACTTTCAAGATTTTTTTATACTTAGTTTTAAATATCTGTTCAATAGAGCGATTCAAACAGTCGTTCTTTTGTAATTGTTTATAAATTAGTTCATACATTGACCACAAATTCTGCATCGTTATTTGTTGCAATACGATCGTAGAAGTTCCAGATACATAAGCCTACAATGTGAAGATTTATGAATGAAAAATTATTGTATGCCTAAAATTATTAAGCGAATGGACGTTCTATATGTACAGTATATATGAAAGTGTTTACTAATGAACTGGTTATTTTTATTCCTTTGACTATTGGATAGGATTTTGTAAATCGGTAATATAAAAATTTAATTTAGCTAGAAATGAATACCATTAAGGTATGCGATAAAAAATAACTATTCAAAAAATTTCACACTACTTATTATTTATAAATTGTTATAAGTGAAGCAGGTATCGAATATTTAGGTTTTGTTTTACAATTGTAATTATGATTAAATACCTATATATTATCTGTAATTGCATTTTAAGTTTCAATTTTTAAGACGTCCTTATTTTTTATAATAATGAGAATGTATGAAATTTAATCGTTAATATTTAATTAGGCGATTTAAAAGTCCTACGTCATCAGACGCCGGGCGTTGGCACTTAGTTCAAAATGACTGGCATAAAATAAAAACAATGGCATTTGTCAATTGATATCAAAGAAAATATTAAAAGTACTAAGATAATAAGTAAAGTTTTCGCAATATTTTAATATAAAAGTTAAGATAAATTTTATCAGCACTCTCCTATAGAAGTTTGTCTTGTGAAACTTAATACATGTATAATTTCTATTCCTTTATTCATATCTCACATAGTAACACGTAGATGAATTGAAAACCGTAGTAAGGGTCATGTGACTTCATTCTGTAATACGTAATCTTTATTAAGGATTCTGTAATTATATTATCACAAACACTAACTCAGTGTTCTAGAAAGATATAAATTAACGATATAGGTATTATATGCAAATAAGAGACATCTCTTTATGGTAAACTAATAGTCTGAAAAAAAAGACGCATTGGTCATGTATATAATATACATACATATACAGGGTGACTGGTGAATTACTATCGATACTTGAGGACGTGATATTTGACGATCATATATGACAAAATAAAAATTAATATAACATAAATATTAATAAACTTCTAAGTAAAGTTAACCAAAAGTTATGTAATTAATTACGCATCGTGTGAAAACCCTACAGATTAGGTATACACACACACTCACACATACAATACGATACAACACCACGCCGCCGCACGCGTCCACACTTGGAACACTTGGAACGTGTCAACACTTTATTTATTTATACGGAAATTTTGTCCAAAATTAAGTGCCTATTTTTTTTACATAATTCGAATGAGAATCATGTACCGAGTATTCTCCTTAAATATTGATAGTAATTCACCAGTCACCCTGTATATAGGTAACAGTGTATTTTTCCACTTAGGCTTGAATATACACATACATATAGTATGTATGTGTATATTCAAGCCTAAGTGGAAAAAATTATTATGTAGTATGTATGTTGGTTATTAAATAATGTTAGGGATTCAAATGCATGCTTTTTGACGTGATAACGTCTTTAAAATCGTTTTAGTCGGGTGACATGTTCAGAAACTTGTGTCACACCAAAACCTCACGAGCGCGATCGCAGGTATAACGAGAGAGAGACGGACCGATCTCCCGTCTCATCTCGAGCGCTGCCAGTCATTCCGTGAAACTTGTCACGCAGAATCCTCACGAGCGGAGGCATGCATAGCGTTCGAGTGAGTGGACCGATCTTCCGTGTCTCTCACTCTAGCGGCATACAAACGAATTGAGATTTTCTCGTGCGGTTAAGTTTTCGTTGAAAACGATAGATGTAATTTAAAGTTTGAAAAAATTGTTATCTTCATTAATTCCTTACTTCCCAAAAACTTATATCACCAATAAGACGTTATCACGTAAACATCTCGATCGTAAACCTACTTTACAAACAACCAATATTTTTTTTAAACAATATTCTTCCTTAGATTAATCTAAAGTTTTCAAGTACTCTCCAAAGAGCTATGATCGTTAACAATTGATCCTATACAATGAATCCGCTTGGAGCTACAATGACAGAATGGAAGATTTGAAAACTATATACCTATAACAATGAAATTAATAGTAGTATTATTGATATTACAGAAACGAGAAAATATGTAAAAACTTTTGTAAAAAAATTTGGTTTGTATTCTTATATATATCTATATACCTCTTTTTTTTCTTTTTTCCTTCTCTCATTTTATTGTACCTATGCCACATTTCTATTCTCATTTCCTCTATCTAAAGGGTTTCTGGTAGAGATCTCTTTTAAGAGATAAGTTATCCTTTGTACATGACATTTCTTTTATAGTACTCTAATTATAACAATTTTTTATGTTTGGTACATTAATAAATAAATAAATAAATAAATAAAAACTAAAAAGTATCGTATTCCCATACAAAAACGAGAATATATGTAAAGCTTCCCTTTGTTATCTTAACTAATATAACAGACACTTTTAAAACTATGGAATCAAATAATTGAGCAAAGGTCACAACACTTAAAGCCAAAGACATCCCTCGCCATATTAAATGTTAATTATTTGATCGTTGTCATGCGTTTTAATGTTTTATTATAATTAAATTAAATACTGTTGTTATAGCGACTGACCTTATTTAAATATTAAATAGTGAAGTCATTGATATAAAATATTAAAAGTTTAATTCTCATTCATCATCATTCATTCCGGAGATGAAAAGTGTATATTTACATATACCAGTATATCAAGATAAACTTTATACTATTAAGAAAATACTTTAATTAATTTATAATAATTAATGTATCTTTCATATCAAAGTAACTTAGCTTTCATGTTTTATAAGTGGATCAGCTTGTAAACGTACCAAAATTAGTATATAAAAGTTAATATTTGTGTATATTTCCATACAGAATTAACCAATCCACATTCAGAAGTATCAAGGTCTTGGTCTGCTTTATATTTGCTCTGGTACGCGTATCTATCTACGCTGGTCGTCCGTTGTAAGTATTATCACGCGTGGCTGCTGTCTGAAGCAATATGTAACAACTCAGGAATGGGTTTCAATGGATATGACACGAATGGAAGCCCGAAATGGGATAAGATGTCCAATATTGATGTACTGGGATTTGAGGTAAGGGTTTTGTTTTGTTTTTATTAGATTTAGTATTGAAATATTTCCTTTTTTATTGAAATTATCAATTCAAAATCTTGTGGAGGTGGTTTAACGACATAAATTGACCTTAATGTTTGAAAAAATATTACCCGTAAGAGCATCTATGATAATTGATATTCGAAATAATTATAAAAAATAAATAGGCGGTAACATAAATTTTTTTATTAACTTCAAAACATTTAAAGTATTCAGCGTATGCCACTCCCAGTAAAAATTATTACTTCCTTAAGTACTATTTAAAATTCTTAATAATCTGTTGACCCTGACGAACACGTGGTTAACGGCTTGTGATATGACATATAAATATGCGTTTTCCTTTTTTTTCCTCAATCCGTCCTTTTGGACAGGCAAAGATCTCAGACCATACTGCCAATTTATTACTATACAATCTCCTTTTGGTATATTAATGTGTTCTATTTTCAAAATGTAATACAGCTGGCTCAGAACTTCCGCGCGGCTGTATCAAGTTGGAACAAGAATACAAATGCTTGGCTGCGGTTGGTCGCATACAGCCGAGGTGGCTGGCGGACGACGCGTGTGTACGCCTTATCAGCGATATGGCACGGCTTTCATCCCGGTTATTACTTCACATTCTTCGCGGGAGGAATATTTACAGTCGCTGCTAAGAAGGTTAGTTTGTTCTAATTTTCATCACATCCGGCAATATTTGTAAGAAGTGCTATGTTTTGCATTATAAAACTGTCCAGTTAGCAATGAAATAACTATTAGAAAAAATACATTAATTTAATTATAAACCAACTAGCTTTCCGCCCGCAGAGTTCGGTTATATCGCGTTTCCAAGAGAACCTTTCAAATGTCTGGGATAAAAACTATCCTATGTTCTTTCTCAAGGTCAACTCTATCTGTACCAAATTTCATTAAAATCAGTTCAGTCGTTTAAGCGTGAAAGCGTAACAGACAGACAGAGTTACTTTCGCTTTTATAATATTAGTACGGAATTAATTACCGTACAGAACTTATTATTCTTCTATCGATCCAGTAAAAATATGATTGACGATTTTTTTCTATGATGGTTTTTATTTTTTAGGTGCGATCTTTTGCACGTCCGATGTTTGTGGACAGTAAACCTAAGAAGATGTTGTATGATGCCTTAACCTTCATAACGACTCGCGTCGCTATGACGTATGCTACAGTACCGTTTATTCTGCTGAATCTATCACCGACACTTGCATTTTATGGGTAAGATGTAATCCTTATTATCTTATAAGAAAACTATGAATTCACTATGTCCAAATATCTGTATGAAATATTCAATGGACACAAGATATAGTTTTCCCATATAAATAATAATATTTTGCAAGAATTTCATATACATATATAACTACTTACAATTTCGAGGCTACGAATGTTTTTAGGAAATATTTAGTAATATTATCATTAGAATAAGATCTGTGTAAATTTATTTATCTTATTTCAGAAAATTCTACTATTCATTGCATTTTATTGCTCTGGGTGCGCTGTTTTTGCCAAACAACAATAAATACCACACAACTCAAAACTCCAATTGTTCTAATACGTCTTCAAAATTAAAAGAAAATTCAATTCAGGAAAACATAGTGGAGGCAAACGGTAAGATGAAGGTACACTAATATAAAAAATAATGTTTGAAAAATGATAAAAATTAAAAAGATATATTTACATTTAAAAATACATGATGCAATAGTTATCAATTTTTTTAGGATAAATAAATATTAATATGCATTTATATACCAACATACGCCATATACAAGTATTATGTAGAGCATCTATTTTTGCATAACTTTTATCGAGTTGATTTTTAGTATGTTATGTGAGTTTCTCATAATGTTACATGTTGTTGAATATTTTTTTTTATTAATATACTTTTTATTGATAAACACATAAGTAGCTTATTCTGATTTTACACAATATTTTTCTAAATTTTAGTCTCGATAATAACATCACAAAGTATTTATTTTAAAAAGTTTTAGTACAGTTATATTAATTCGCTAAATTTAATTAGTGAAATGCCAGTTTATTTATAGTGGTACACAAGATGCCTTATTAAAGGCAAATGAACATTGACTATTCCAACATTGGGTGTATAATCTATTTAATAACATTTGCACTTTATTATAAATAATTTGAAGATAGTTTATATTTAAATTGCATAAGTATTTTAATTTTAATGATTTCGCGTTTTTCGATTGTTAACATTTAGTTTAAAACAAAATTATTTTATAGAAATAAGAAGATTACTGACTCAAGATAGTATAAAAAAAATATTATTACCATATTATAAAAAATTTACGAACTTATTTTTATAAGTGAAACCCCCTCTCATACAGTATATTTTATTTTATTGCATAATGTGTTATGCTATTAGTTAATACATTATCATCTGTCTTCTATCATATATTTAAGCCAGAAATCTGATATAAAGCTTAAAAGAAATCTTAAGTTTTCCATTTATATTATGAATAAACATGAGAATAACATTCCACATGTACATTTATACTGGATACAAAATCATTATAGAATAATGAAGTTTATTTATTTATTCAATGAATAAATTTTTATTTATTACAAAATCTGTTCCACTAACATGATGCCAGATGAGGGCTATCAGGATTGAAAATTAATGGTTGTGTTAAGCTTGCAAACTTATGTACAAATAATATGTAACTTTATAGTATTTTGTTGGTTTTTTAAATTATATAACATAGTTTTCTGCACAAAATACTAATTAGTTTTAACCTTATACATAGATATTGTTGTTAAACTTGTCTGTTATTTAAAGATTTATCATTGAGGATAGTGGAAATCCGTTAACTAGTTATGTATAATTCCGCGTATCTACATTGGAAGCAGATTATTAGAAGATTTAAGCTGAAATGTTGTCTAAATTAACCACTTTAATGTTTAATCCATTATTAATTGTGAAAAAATTACCCCAATAGTGGTTAATTTAGAAAATATTTCAGCTTAAATCTTCTTCTGATAATCTGCTTTCAATGTAGATATGTGGAATTATCCAATGCTAGTTACTCGGATTTGCACTATCCCTGACAATATGTAATGATCCTTCCATAGCTAAGTATATGCCATTCTAATAGTGTTTCAATAAGTTTATTTATGGAAGATAATGAATATATATTTTTGTTCATAAACAGAAGAATATATTTACAAACTCCAAACTATATGTTACAAATTTTACCTCAACAAATAGTATTTTATTGTATTATTTGCAACAATTGCTGTATTTTGTTCTTAATAAATGTTTATTTTAATTATTCCAGTTGTGTTTTAATTTTATTACTGCCTTTTTTATCCTTCAATGCAACGAAAGCTTGTCTTAAAGTGCACAATATACCAGGTACATTATTAGTATCATATAATTCTTTCTGTAGTTCCTTGAAACATTTCAATTTGGGATTCACACTTTGCACTGAAAAAAATAAATAAAGTAATTATTTTTTTATATCATTACTATTGATATTGCTAAAGTATTAGATACTTACATTCATATTTTCCGTTTTTAATATTTCTTATTAATCTAACTGAATAATTTTCACTATCCTTCTTAGATTCTGTGAAAAACTGTACAAAAATAACTTGATTGTCATTTTTACGACTTTCGATAGAAAAGTACATTTTCAAAATCTTCTTATAGCATTTTTTCGCCATTAAAAATGCCTCGTGAGTCTCTTTTATTTCCTGTGTCAGAAGCTTTTGATCTAAAAGATATAAAATGTTTTTTATTGGAATTATGGATATTAGGGAATGCTAAAACATGATTAAAGGAAAAATATGCGTACCTTTTTTGAATGTTTCATACTGCGTCTGTTGTTGTGTTAGAGTTTTGATCTTATTGTCAATTTTTTGCTTCAAAGATTTATTGCATTCAACAAGATTCTTCAATTCTTCGTCGTAGGTTTGAGCCAAATTTGCTTGGTAGTCAATAGGGTTACTAATAAAACCTTGTTCGAGAGCCAGAAGAACATCTTTACATAAGTTATTAATTTCCAATTCAAAATTACCAAACAAAGTTCCTTCAATTTCATTCAAATCAATTTTATAGTTCCAATTTTCTTCCATTATCGCCATTTTACATTACTGAGAATCCTAATTTTAAATTCTCAATGTTAGGTATTAATTCTAGTGTTTTCACAATAACAGCACCAAAGTTTGGTAGCTAATAACAACTTGTAACGCTTATTTTTAAATTTTGACATTAGCTAATCAAAAACAGTTTCGTTCTAATCAAATCCGTTGGAGCACTGAAATCCAAGTTGTTGTATCAGATATATGGGGTATTATTAATAAATAGAAATTATGTATTATTAAAGTATATCTAAAATTGATATTAATTTATTAATTTTACAAATTACTAAATTATAAAAATATACCTATATTTAATATTTAAAGAATGTTTCTTTAAATATTATTTAATCATTCTTGAAATGAAAAATAAAACATTTAAAAAAAATATTATGAATTGTATTAAAATTCAAAAATACGGATTTTTATTAACAATATCATAAGCTCCTTTAGTAATAACCTTGTTTATAAACGTATTTTTCAATCATATTGACAGTAACTCATTACTGAACTTGTGAACTGCATTATCTGTTTTGGTTTTTGATTCTATTCTTGTAATGTAAGTATTGGGAAAATAATACACATAGCACTTAAAATTAGAGGGTTCAAATTTTTTACAACTGAATGTTAGTTTACATATATATTCTTTTAATTGTCAGGTAAATTCGACTATGTTTAAAAAGGATTTTCCTCTTCTGTATTGTAAGATCTTTACCTGACCTCTGCTATCTGGAGTAAGAAGAGGATGGTGAGCAAATGTTTAGAACTAATAATTATTACTCGAGGAAAGTGATTAACGTTGTAATTAAATTGTTACTAATAATATTTTTTGTACTTTTTAGGTTTCCAAGAGAAAATTACAATTGCATAAGAAACCTATTTGTGATCATTATGTTGCATAGGACACCTCGTAAAATATTAAATAAGGTTGATAGTATATTGTACAAAAGTTTTATGTTTTGGAAGGTTCTCTATCATAATTTATCAAATGGGCCATTGTCTTAGCTGCTTAGGAAACCAATCTAATGCTGATGTGGTTACATCTACTCAAAGAAATAAAGATGGTGAGTAAATTTCGTATATTTATGTGCTTGTAAACTTTCTCTAATATTTATATTAATTTCGTTAATTGTTTTCTGCCAAAGTATTCTTGCTTTGTGTTGTATTGTATTATAATTTTGTTGTTTGTTTTCAGAGATGACAGAGATTGTTTCTTCTAATCAAGTTCCCACTGTCATGATATCAGATTATCCACAAGAAGAGCCGCTTTTGCATAACAATGAAATCAGTATTAACTGCTACACAAACAATTCTCACATATCCAATGCTAATGCACTGAATTCTATTAATGCACACTCATCGGGCGATGGGCTACCAGCACCTAAAGTACATGTTAATAATGAAAAGACACCTAAGCCTTTTTACCACAAATTGCCTTCAATTCCTCGTAGCATGTCATCATTGGGCTCGAGTGAGTCTCGTGTCTCAGAATCGAAAATCAATTATTTATTCGATCAATACAAAGACAGCCAAGAGGATACTATTTTTGCTGAAGGTATTGAGAATCTATGCATCGATCTGCAATTAAATCCAGACGACTTCAAAGTTTTGGTACTCGCATGGAAATTGAACGCTAGTCAAATGTGTAGATTTACTAAACAGGAATTTGTTCAGGGTTTGAAAAGCATGAAGACAGATTCCATTAAAGGAATACAGCAGAAACTTAATGACATTACAAGTGAACTGAGTACCGATTCTGAGCAATTTAAAGATTTATATAGATTCACTTTTAAATTTGGTTTAGATGTGAGTACAGGGCAAAGAATACTGCCTGCCGATATAGCTATATTGTTGTGGCGTCTAGTCTTCACTGGCAATGAACCTCCTATATTGGACAGATGGTTAAGTTACTTGGAAAAAAATCCTCACATTCGAGGAATACCCAAGGACACCTGGTACATGTTTCTTAATTTCTGTGAGTTTGTTGGTGACGATCTCAGCAGCTACGATGACACGGAAGCTTGGCCTAGCTTATTCGATGATTTTGTAGAATATGAAAATGATCAAATGAATCAAAATGTAACAAAAAACGACATGAAGATTCAGGATTGAATTTCTATTTGCCAAATTGTAGCTACTATAGGTACTTAAATAAATTGAGACTGATCTGATAACTGTTTAGTCATCTAATGTGGATAAGAAATTCATTGTTGAGTGTCGCTACAGAGGGAGTATCTACTATGGCTAATTTAAGAGGTTTGAGAGTAATGAACTGTAAATATTATTACATTTTATAATTGTATGAGTATTTGTGGAACTATATACCTATTTAAGCTTTAGTATAATTATTGACATTCCAGAAATGGAATTAGCCAAAATTTGTAAATAAATAGTTTTAACTCTAGACTTGATTATATTGTGTATAGCTAAATCATTGAAGCAACAAGTCCCGAAATTGTGATGTCTTAGTCTTCTTAAATAAACCAATTTAATTAATACTTACTTACCCATGCTTTATGCATAATAGAATTTATCAAATAAACTTATTTTTTACTAAAACTATCATTTGCATTGAACATTTTATAATATCACATATATTTTAATGAATGTGTTATATTTTTATAATTTTTAATGACAAGCGGAAATTAGATTACATGGACTTATGAAACAATCCAATTACAAGAAATATTAATGTCATTAATTTCAAATTAGAAGTGTATCATAATTTTCTTGCATATTTAATTTCGTATCATTAATAGTAAGAAATCAATTGGAAGTCTCGATTGATCGTAGTGAACCAACAAAATGTATTAAAAGAACAAAAAAATCCGCAGTTATAATAAAATTTTATTTTATTTTAAACAAAATATGTAATATAGTTGCAGTTGCAGACAGACTTACGCTGTCGTCCGAGGCGAGAGACGGACGGCGCCCCCTAGCGGATACGGAAAGAAACTCCTTCTTAAGACAATACCTTAGTATGAGTTTCGTGAACCCAAACACTGAATCAATTGTTTTATACTTTTTCGTCGAGTTACATACGAAAATTCTTGTATATTTTTAATTTAACGTGTTTAGATTGACGATACACTCGTTCTAAGACAGACCGTGCTAGGGGACAACGTGCTTCTCGCTCCATTCACGATATACACAAAATATTGTTAACATTATATATTTGCCTCGATCGTTATTATAATACATAAGCTTTTTTCACGCCCCGCCACAATACCGCACAATATATCGATGTCATTTTCGTATGATGAGAGTTATAATTCGTTTATGTAAGTACGTAGGATAATAAAAGAAATTAAAAATTTTAAATAAACAAAATGATCTTGCAATAGTGAAACCGAAATAAATACTAAATATGATTCGTATTAAATTTAAAACGGGTTGGAATCGTGAGACTTGTTACAACTTCGTCTCAATAATAAAAACTAGTTATGTAGTGTTGCCTGAGTATTGATCGTTATTCAGAACAATAATTTATTATCTATTATCATAATTAAATAAAAATATTGCAAGTAACATAACTAACAATAAAATCATACACATCTGTCGACTTTTGATCTACGCAAATAAGTTTCTGATTAGAAATGGCTGTAATAAACAATTATATCAATATTATAAGAATAGCAAATAATTATAATAAAAATAATCTTGCTTTAATATAGGGACCAGTATAATAATAATAATTTTTACTTAAAATTCATAATGAAAATATAAGAATTACTAGATTTATCAGGATGATCACGATTCCAACGGCTATTGGGCTCGGCTTTATATGTCTTCAGCCCAAAATATAAATACAAATGGTCGTTGGTATGGTGTTAGTGATCATTCTGATATTGACTACATGAGAGCTTCAAACCTTCATACATTCACACTCTTGTTTTTTGAATTATTTTTTTTTGCTCTTTGTTCCAAACATTGTCAACTTTTTACATTTATGTTGCTCGTGTTATCCAGATTTGAAAGAAACATCTTTAAATGCGTACAAATACTATATTTCCCATTTCACCTGATTCATGTTGTTGAAAATATACATTGGTCCAGAGCTAACTTTTAAAATCCATTTTTAAACCATGGCTCGGATCTCCTACCCAAAAACCATTTCATTTAACAATTCTTCAACATTTGCTTTATTGCTATATGATACTGTATAAAAATATCTTTAATATAAGTGATTTACTATCGTAAAGTATAGAACCAATTTGTAATAAAAGCACGAAGACCGGTGTAACTAGCTAGTGCCAGAACGTATCGTACAATATTAAAGTTCCTTGCCATCGACCTTATGAGCAGCAACGCTAATTTCTGTTTAGGGCCATCATTTAACTTAAAAATCAGTCCTTTAATAGTAAACATATAATTTATATAAAATTTATATTTTAAAATAAAATTAAATAAGTAATATTAAACAGCATGTCTCCGTTATTCAAAACATAACTATTTATTACAAAGATTACATATCAATTGCAACCGATAACAAAACCGTTCGTGGTGTTAGGTTTAAGCCGAATTTTACAATATAAAACACAATGTGAGCTCTATATATTAAAAATAACTTTAGGCACTACTCAGGATGCTGTAGGTTTTAAAATATCAAATAATATCTTTTTAAACAGTACTCAACGTTGCTAGCGACAAGTGGTGGTGTGAATATTTAAATAATATAGCAAAGAACATCGTCGTAGTTACCGCAGTTGTGGTGTACAAATGTTGTTTTGCTCAATGGCAGTGTCTTTAAAACAGTGTCTAATATCTGCAAGGACTAGCTTCTCTATAACTCGAAAAACACCAACAATGAAGCAATACATTCAACAGCTCTCACATAAATCCAAAATTAGTATTACATTTGACATGCATTCTCAAATGATGCAGGTTTTGGAAAGGCCTATCCTAACTAAAATACAAATCGTAGTGCCGAATTATTCAACCACTTTTAGGACTTTGCCGATTGCAATTGTTTTATCTGAAAACAAACAAAATCATAATTAGTCATATATCTTAAATATAAATCATTTCACAGAAACTATAAAAATTAAAATATATGTATAGTGAAAAATATATTTAAAAACAGTTTGTTATCCAAACAAGGTAGTATTAATATTAGACTTATAAATGGTTGTATACTGACTTTCATCTCTTAATGTGAACCTTCCCATCTGTGCAAACTTCTTAAACGGCTCTAGACATATGATCCCCGCACACTCTATCCTCATGATAGCCACTTGATCTTGTTTCACGAATCGCGGCCGCGTCTTTGACTTCTCACCAGTCTTCTTGTCAACTAAACAGATTAGAGCCTACCAAAAAAAAAACAAAAAAAAATTACTATCAACACACAAGAAAATCATACAAGTTAATTTTATTATTATAAGCATAAAATTCCATAATTTAAGTGATAGAATATGACTTGAAAGTGAGTTATGGTACCTTAACAGTAACTTCTTCAGCCGCACAATGTATGTGCATAACAGCGGAATATCCAGCGCAAATGATTGATTTATGTTCCAATATCACCACTTGAGCATCAAATACCTTTAAAAAATGGATACATTAAATTTGCACTATCACTACATAACTGTAAATTTTATTACATTTTAATAGCACCTATGCATTAATTTTATTTAATGATAATACTAGCACGAATAAGACATTTATGTCACTATTAAAAAAAAACTGCATTGAAAACGGTCGATCTATTTCAAAGCTACGATGCCACAGGCAGACATAAATGTCAAACTTATAAAGTTTCCTCTTTTAGCGTCGGTGATTAAAATTTAACCACACTTATTTATCCAAGAAATATTAATGACAGTTATTGTTTTAATTTATACTACAATCATCAGTTATATAAAAATTTTGCATTTTAAGTAATTAAAAACTTCTATAAATATGTTTAATACTAACTCTTCCAGTGGTAATCGGTTCTGCGGTATCACAAAGAACAAAACCGGGAGAGACATCTTCTTCTTCAATGCCTTTGAGCTTCACTTTCACATTTTCACCGGGACCAATAGAAGTCACTTCAATGTCATCAGACCATAACTGATCAACTGTTACTTGCGCCTATTGATTACAAAATAACTTTAGTAAGGAATAAGAAATATTATGATTACAAAATGACAAACAAAATTCCATTAATAAAGACTATTCTATAACTTGATTGATTAAAATAATCTTGATAAATAGATAATAATAGTTATGAATATAAAAAAATATCTTGTATTAATACTTCTGACTAATAAAGAAGTAATTTACCCTATTAGGCATAAGGAAAAGAGTGCTGCCCTTTCTTGTAGTTCCCGCTTCAACTTTACCCATGAGAACGGTTCCCATGTCCTTGTACTTGTCGACTACCGGCATTATGAAAGGACCATCCATCTTACGGTTCAGTGATGGCAACTCATCAATTAATTGTATAAAAGATGGACCGCGGTACCACGAACATATTTCTTCAGATACCTAAATAAAATTATATTAGTGAAAATCGTGTTATAAAATCAGCAATATATATATATTACAAGCTTTCCGCCCGCGTTTCCAAGAGAATCTTTCAAAAGTCTGTGATAAAAACTATCATATGTTCTTTCTCAAGGTCAACTCTAGCTCTGTATCAAATTTCATTAAAATCAGTTCAGTGGTTTAGTCGTGAAAGCGTAACAGACAGACAGAGTTACTTTCGCATTTATAATATTAGTAATTATATAATTAATGACTTGTACATACTCTCTCTAGTAAACCTTGACCAGTTTGTCCAGAAACTGGTAAGAAGGATAAGTCCTTGGCTGGATTGAATCCTAGTTTTTTTAGATAGGGAAGAATTTTATCTCTACATTCATTGTATCTGAAAAAAAAGAAAATATTGAACATTATACAATTGTAATTAATTCTACAGTATTCTTGACTAAATTCAAAGGGAAGAAATTTTTTATGAATAAATAATGTTTGTGATATACTTTTAACACACTAATAGTAATAAGATGAGGTTTATTTAAATGTTTACTTTTAATTCATTACAGTATAGAAGTAATATTTTGCATTTCTATTATTAAAATAACTTACCTTTTTTCATCCCAGTTCACAGTGGGATCATCCATTTTATTAACAAGTGCAACTAAATGCTTAACACCGGCAGTCTTTGCTAACATAGCATGTTCTCTCGTTTGTCCCCCTCTGTCAAATCCTGTTTCAAATTCACCTTTCCTAGCAGATATCACCTAGAATAAAAAAAAACATTGTCAATAGTTACTATTTTATATAATAAATAGTGAATGCCAATTTACTTAACAAAATATCTAGTATAAAGATTATTTCAATTTAGAAAGTTATTTATAGTATGATTTATAACTTCAAGGCCGTTCGTAAAAATATATAACGTTTTTACACTAAGATAACAGTGAACTTGGATCCAAACTAATTTTATCACAATGTTTTTTCTCAAACATAATTAACAAACATCGTTATGATAACTTACAAGTACGGCGAGGTCGGCCTGCGCGGCGCCCCCTATCATGTTTGGAACGAAACTCTTATGCCCGGGGGCGTCGAGAATTGTAAAATGCTTCTTTTCAGTCTCAAAGTATGCTCTGCCAACTTCCACAGTTTTACCTTTGTCACGTTCTGAAATAAAAAAAAAGAATTATATACCATAACAAAAAGTTATATGAGGTAAAAAGAGGATTTAACTTATCATACCTTCTTGGTTTGTATCTAGAGCCCAAGAGAGGTACCAGGATTCCCTGGACTTTTCCCTTGCTTCTCTTTCATATTTATCTAGTGTTCTTTTATCTACCATGCCAGTCAGGGACATTATTTGACCACCAATTGTAGATTTACCAGCATCTACAATGACAGAAAAAAATTATAATAATCAAATCTAATACATATAAAAATCATTTTTATGATTTAAATTCAGATACCCACCTACATGCCCTATGAAAACAACATTTACGTGTTCCTTTTTGCTGCGAGTGTCTTCGACCCTGACTGGTTTTTTCTTCGGAATTTTCTTTGAGATTTCACCATCTTCCTATAAAATTGACATAAAAATTTTCAAGTAGATTATTACTTAAAATGAACTACAGTTAGAAAAGATATATATTATTGCAAATTCAAAAATGAAATCATTTATAGCTTTACTTTCAATAAATGATTGCATAATATACTTAAATTTATATTAAATTAGTCACATTTTCTAAACAACCACTAAGTTTATAAGAACTACTAAGATAGAAGCAGTATTTATTAATCCTCTTTAATGTAGAAAAATCTCAAGATTGAAGGTAAAATATTTGTATTTCATCTGGTTAAGTCAATTAAGACTTAACCAAACCAAAGTTGATACTGGCAACTAATTGTCAAAATAAAATTTAAAAATATATATTATAAAAACAACAATTATTTTAGAAATTGCTTTTTTGTGCTACTTAACACCTACTGGCATGCTATTTTTTTTTACATACTTTTTAGGTATGGATAGTAATATTTATACTTTTGAATGTTTTAAACATGCTTAATGTATTTTTTTTTTATATAAAATTATCTCATGAATGAAGTCAAATTATATGTTAATTTGACATGCTTTGAATACAAAGGTACATGATTGTATTATTTTGAATATGGAAGACAATATTGAACAATTGTTTAAAACTAAAATAAATTTGGATAAAATTCTACATGAATTATTGTCCAAACTGTATATATGTACTTATCTGTTTGTGTACAACACTTTTTTAGTAAAACATGTTTTAAGTATGTATTAGTTAAGTTAAAGATTGTTACTTTGATAAAATTCACATGACTATGAACAATTAAAAAATAATGATTATTTAGTTTTACTTAAACATTATTTCATATTATTTTGAAATCCAAAAATAATTCAGAAAACCTGCATTCATCATGCATTACATTTTTTCATACAATATCTCGTCCAGATAATACAGAGATAAGTCAATATCTATCCACAGTATTAAGATACACGAAAATAGTTAAATGAACCAAGCTATTAATAAAAATAATATGTTCAATGAATGATTCCCGAGTAAATTAAAAACAGAAACATGCTAATTACAGTGGATGGCACCTGTTGCTCGAGTTCTTCCTCCTCGACTTCATTGCTGTCTTCGGGTGTGAGTAATGCATCGTCGGCTTCAGCCTCCCAGCTGTCGGCAGTGGGGGAGACGTCAGATGGAACGGGGACAGGTGTCTCGGCAGAGGCGGCCGGAGGGACAGGAGGGGGCTCCTCGACTCTCGGTGACGCAGACGCTGCTCTTCCATCACCACTCTCAACACCATCCCCACAACCTTGAATTAAAAGGAAGCAAATAAAAATCCTGTTAAATATAACAACATGTTAATTGTTATATCTAATAATACTTGGTAAATGTTTCCTTAACATCTAATTAACACTATTCTGAAAATTAATGGAAAATAGTGATTTCAGATATTTGGAGATATGGGATACAACACCAAGTTGTCAAAAGTCTGGTTATTATTTGGAACACAATGGAAGTTATGTATCAACTAACACAATATGTCTAAAACCATAAATCTGTTAACTCTTACTTGGGTGTCCCTCTGTCATGATAACAAAAGTTTACTTGATGTTTATCAAATGTGGATGGCTCCAAAATTGTTTTATTTTGGATGACTAAGATCCTACTTGAGTCACTTCAACCAAATGTATGTGCTTACAACATCTGTCGATATGCAAGTGACCTATCTAAAAATATGTTTCCCGATGTATACGTTATAATTATTGTTAAAACACGAAAGAATACACTATAAACCACTTTTAAACTTCCACAAAGGAACAGAACGTCGTTTTAGAGTGAATATTCCACAGAGAGAAAGTTATTTCTGTTTAAGTATGGAATCACGCCGCGTGTCTTGACATAACCCGTTAGAACTGGATTTACAAAAAAAAGTTATATCAACGTGCGAACTATAATTTAAAATAAATATATTTTTTAACTTTAGCGGATTTAATGAACTGTTAATGTTCAGAAATTTTGAATTGTTGCTGTAATAAATTTTAATACAGCTTTGAAAATTGGTAATGACAGGATACTGACTTACCGTTCAAGACAGGACTCTCAGCGGAATTAGTGGATTCACTCTCAGATTTTTGTGGTGAAGTCGGTGAATCAGTACTGTCGTTACCTTGAGAAGGTACACAGAAAGAAGGCACGAATTCCACGGCATTAACATTCAACGTGGAAAATTTTGTAGACACATCATTAGAATCTTTTGCACCTTGTTCACCTATAACATCGGCTTGAGCTTCCCAAGAGTCCGGAGCACCGTTATTGGACATTTTAAAAAACGAGGCAATGTAAAATTAATAAATAAGTCTTCTTATTCCAGGTATTTTATAATTATTCGCGTTCTTTTCTCGATAGATCCGCGTGTGTCTTTATCTTACACCGGAAGTTCATGGCAATTTGCCAAATATGTAATAAAATACAATTTTAAGTTTATGACTTTCAATTCAATTTTTTTAGACAAAAGTATGTTTGCATTAATAATATAAATATTTTTATAAGAATTTTTGAACACAAAAAATATTTTTTTGAAAGGATTTACAGACTTCTTTATAAAATAGAAATAATTTTGATTAATCACTTCCTAGTGTGAAATTGCCACCATAAAAAAATCGATAAGAACTATTTTTATTAAAAAAAAGAACTAAATACACATTATAATTAATCACACAAAAAGGAAAATAACAAGAATATTTTAATCAGTTATGTAGACCTAAAATCATTAACTTTACTAAATTTATCATGCTTACCTTGTACATTTTTGTATATGAACATAAGCTACTTATTACTTTACAATATTCTGTGCTTTAATACAAATTAAGGTATTGTTTTCGATATTTGACTTGTTTTTCAGGTATATTAGTTTAAAATGGAACAAGTTCAAAATAAATTTTGAGTCTTTGAAAAAAATTTATTAATGTTTTTTGCTAATCACAAAAATAAAAGTGAGGAATAAGTAATTAATAAAGATATTACATTTTAAAATATAACTTGCAATTATTAGTAAACCATTTAATTTCCTTCATTAACATTTGGATTTATAGGAAATTGAAATTGGTATTGAATTTAAAAAAAAATATAAATGATTTTCAATAAATGAAAAAAATTGCAACCGGTTATTCCGATAAAAACAGTGAAAAATAAAAATATATTGAATAAACAATACTTGCTTCATGATACTTGTGGCAACATTTTGTTTAAAGCTATATATTCTGCTCTTAATTTAATTTTATGTTTACTGTTTAGTCTGTGACTATGAAAAGTTGTAAATGGCCGTGTGAGCATCTTTTAGAATAAGTAAATTATTGATTATATGTGAGATCTAGTAAATAAATACTGTGTATTATTTGCTAGTAATTAAATAAAACAATTTGTATTCAAGTGGAGTATACTCTAGTAACCCGTAATTGTACTTTAATTTCTCGACCTATATTAGTAGATATATCATTACAACTCATAATTTAATGGCAATAAAAGTTTGAACACATTCGTACAATTTATGGACATGTTACATAAAGTAATATTAAACGGTTCTTTACGGAAATGTCTGTGCACTACAAATTCAAAAGCGCACTGGATTATGACACCGTTACTTTTGATGGCTTACATATATCTGTAGGCGATTTGAAAGCGGCTATTTCGCAGCAGAAGAGAATAGGAAAAACTTCGGATTTTGATCTTCAAATTACTAACGCTCAGACAAAAGAAGGTTAGTACACATTTGTTTACTCTTTTATGCTTAGTTACCATTAAATATTTAATTAATTAAATTTTTCGAAAAATTCTTCTCCTCAGTGTATGTGGATGACAACACATTAATTCCAAAGAATACTTCATTGCTTGTGGCCCGAGTACCGCTTGCTCAGCAGCCAAAAAAGCAGTGGGAAGGTGCTAGCAGTAGTCAATCAAATCCTCTTAAAGATGTTACTCTCAATAAGGGTTTGGCGGACCTGTCTCGCATGGAAGGTAGTGAACAGGATAAGATTAATGCTATGATATCACAGTCCACATTTGATTATGATCCAAGCAAGTAAGTTACTTAAAATATTCTTTTTTGGTTGTATTTAGACCATACTTGTTATGGATAATTTTTTGTAATGTTGCTAATGAATTGCCAATTATTATTTTCAGTTATCAAAAAATCCGAGGTCAGAATCAACGAGGAGCCGTACCATCTAATTATATTTGTTACAAGTGCCAGAAACGTGGTCATTGGATCAAAGACTGCCCAGCAGCTCTTTCTGTTAGTTGAACCATACATTGTTTAAAGATATTTGATTTTTTAATCTATGTAATGATATTATTGTTTTTCTAAATCTATGTGATGATTTGTTTTTTTTTATGAATCTAATACTTTTGGATTACCTGACATATTGGCTAATTTGCAGCCACCGTTGGGAGTATGCAGTTTTAAAAATATACTGTAGTAATCTGAAAATATTCATTTCATTTAAAAGAATACTCATAAAAGCTTTAAATTTTGTGTTCTTTGTTGTGAACTGTGTATCACTTTATTATAAAATAGCTGCGCCCCGCGGTGTTAACCGCAGATTATCAGGTCGAACATTTTCTGGGATGTAAAGTAGCCTATGTGTTATTCCTGGACATCAGCTTCCTTTATACAACATTTTATCAAAATCGGTTCAGCCGTTTGAGTGTGAAGAAGTAACAAACATACACACACTCACAAACTTTCGCAATTATAATATTAGTAGGATTAAATAGTTCTGTTCTGTTTGTAGGGTGACCCAGTAGAGATAAGAAGAAGTACAGGTATTCCCCGTAGTTTTATGGTGCCAGTTGATGGGCCTAAGGCACCAGGAGCCATGATGACCCCAAGTGGAACTTTTGCTGTACCAGCAGTAGATCAGTTAGTATACAATCGGCTGGTCATATGAAACCTTTAATATTAAATGTTTATTATACATAAGATAGCTTGCAACTATCTACAAGTGTGTATAGAGTATGAACAAATTTTCTTGTTTATCTATTTTGGGTAGTATTAAAAAAAATGTAAAGTCAAATCATGTGCATTAAAATTTTGTTTTTGTTCTGTATTTTATACCTTTTAAATGTGTAAGTGAAGTATGTGTTAGTATTTTGACAAAGCATTGTTTTTTCTAGTGAGGCATATTTAGCATCAGAGAGTGCCGGGGGGGCTGATACACCTACAAATGCTCCCGTGGCTCCGGAACCAACAATTCCTGATGAATTAATTTGCAGTCTCTGTAGAGATCTGCTTACCGATGCTGTCATGATACCATGCTGTGGAAATTCTTTTTGTGATGAATGTTAGTATCATTGACAATTCACATTATACTTATTTCTTTACTTGTAATTTTAAATTGAAGTAATAATGATGACACATATATCAAATATTCTTTGAATTTCTTAGAGCTCAACTTATGTTGATTTAAGTTTCTACCTATGTTATTAATTATATTTTGTTAGGTTTTAATAATACATTGTGTTTTAGGCATTAGAGGAGCATTGTTGGAATCCGAAGACCATGAATGTCCAGATTGTCGCGAGAAAGAAATCGCACCTACTACATTGATTCCTAATAGGTATGGAGATATTAGGAAATCTATTACTGACAATTTGCCTTAAAATTTGATTTGATTTAGTGTTATTTAGTGAAGAAAAAAGAATAATGTAATAATAATATATAAAGTCGCAAATATAGTATTTTTATATTATGTTATAAATTCTAAAAATAAGTTTGGCCTTCAACACTAATCATTTTAGATTGAAGGCTTTAATGGTAAATGTTATTTCGTATACAGATTTTTAAGAAATTCAGTATCGTCATTTCGCAATCAAACCGGCTACAGCCGACGAGCGCCGCACAGACCCTCGGCTGCCCCGCCAGTTATTGGTGATTATATAATAATGTTACTTCTAATATAATATATTATTAATTTATACCTATATGTAATTATATATAAAACTTTTCATTAATTTCACAGAACCACCTCCAGTCGCACCGGTCCAACCTATAAATATAAACGGCCCACCACAACCAGCGCCCGTCAATAACGGTAATTAACAAACAATACATAGCCTCTATACTTTTCTATACATAGGAATGGTTTTCTAACAAAACATACACTAATGATTATTAACAATGTAATGTGAAAGTGAATTGCCTACAGTTAGTAAGTTAGTATAGCGTGTTGTGGTCGATGGTCGGTAGATTCGCGCGTGTCCGGGTGTTGCGGCGATAAAGACGCGAAGGGAAGCAAGGCCGAGGAGTCTGACGGATCAGCAGATGATAATATCACCGTGACCGTGCCACCCGCACACGCGCATCACTCCACGAACGAACCGCGCGGGCCTGCCGGGCCTCAGACATCTCACGGGCCCCACGGGTCCCGAGGTTCTCACGGGTCCAGCGGGCCCCACGGGTCCCGAGGGCCCCACGGCTCTAAAAGGCCCCGCGGTCCCCAAGGGCCTTACGGTTCTCACTCGTCCCGCCCATCTCACTCGAACCATCGATCTCGCTACGGTACTGCGACCGTTGCACAGCTTTGCATGCACAAAAAGACGTTTACAAACAGCTTGTCTAGTAGAACAGTCGTAGAACATTGTTATTGCTACATAACATTAACACACCTCGTGAAACATGTATGCACAGTTTTTCATTTTTTTTTATATATAAGTTATTATTTTGCTGTTCATTTTATATTTTGACTTTCTAACTGTAGGTAGTTTTATTTTTTTGTTAATAAGAAGAAATATATTAACTTCAATTGTTAAGAGAGCTAGGTGGTGGGCTACTTTGACACTAGCATGCAGTGTGTTATATGATATTATATTTGTAATAGTAGGAATTTATTATTCTATTGTTCCAGGTCCTCCTGTTAAACCACCCGAGATTGACACGCCGCCGTTACATGTATGTTACTATTTATACACCCTTATTGTATATAACAATGTAAATAGCATATACAATGTTCCTTACATCTTTACGGATATTGTCTAATTTATTTTGTCAATATAAGAAACCTCTGTGACGATTTATATTTATATAAATTGCACGTTTAAGTTTGTTTAATTATGACTGTTCAAAGCATATATGTATATTTAATGCCATAACATAAGCCAGACATTCTATGATTTGATAAATAAATAGATTCGATTAAAAAAACAGCTGATTAATTAATATATAGATTAATGCATTATATTTATTTACACTTCAGATGCCTCGAATCGATGAACAGCGAGCGAGCACTCCTACTATAGACGAACGCAGGGATGTTATTTCTTCTCAGGTAAGTTTAAATTTTAGCCGTATGTCAAAAATAATTAATATTACAACTATTTCTTGTAAAGTTTTGTACAAGTGCCGTATTAAAAAATTCAACCATTTCAATAAAAAACCCGCAAGAAACAAATAGGCATGTATTTAATACCATAAGCGGCTCTTTTGATTTTCATATTTAATAGAGTTAAAACAACCATGACATATAAAAGTAAAAATTTTATTAAAATTATTAAAAAGATCTTTATATTACAACATCCATCGAAATTATAGAGAATACATAAAATAGAAGCAAAATCAAAGACCCTGCTATTTTGGTATATGGTTTTAAACATTAAAATCTCATTGTGTAAGGCCTTCCTTAGTTGATTATAATGTTTTTTTATTTTCCAGGTGATTTATAATCGCGGTCCACCACCGTACTTGCCCGCCGTGCCGCCGCCGTCCCAGCATTACCCTAAGTAAGTTTATCTATTTATATTAACCACTAAAAAGTTATTAAAAATATACACGTCACAAGCGTCATGTGGTTATTATATAAAATTTCCTCTTGTATGAACAGACGACGGTATATTATTATCTTATATAGAATCAACTGAAAACATCGAATTCATTATTTATAATGTCATATATTTTCCGGTTAATATTTTAATCCTATTCAAACAGGTGCAGCTGTTAATATATTTCTTGCAAAAATAGATGAACAGTCAATAAAAAATGTGTATTTCTTCAACTTAAATTGTTTTTTTTTTTTAATATAGAAGTATTCTATTAATTGAATATTATTATTATATTGGCTTAATTTAATGAATATTAATATAAAAATATTTCCAGTCCTGCTTTCGGTCGTCGTTACCCTCAAGACGCGTACCAGCCACCACCACCAGGCATCAAGGACTCACCTAACGGGTAAATAACTTTACTATAGATATTACACTAATAATGTTATTAATCAGAATTAGCTTTTTACATGTATGTATTTGTATAGCTCTGTAACCAAAAAATGCTTTACTGATTTTTATAACTTCATAGCAATGTGGACTAGACATCGTAATAGGACATAGACTACAATTGATGTGAAAAATTCGTCTACTTAACGAGATAATAAATTATTTTGTATGAATTGACGTGGCACAAACTATAGATGTCGCTCTCGGTGGTTAAATGAGTATTGTTTTTAGGCACTATACAGTTTTCTCTGATATATATATAAAACGATAATAAACGAAAGTGAATTGAATTAATAAAGGGTGCATTTTTTTTACGTTCACACCAAATATTAAAAAAAAATTGGTAGTTATTCAACTATCAAATATATATGGTATATATCAAATGGTTCATGTTTACTGTACTCTAATGTATATGTCTAAGTAGAGATTTTTCAAATTTCAAGTTCAATATTAGTATTATTAAATATTGAAAGACGTTGGATATTAATGTTTTTTAATACCGGATCTTGTCTCCTTAATTCTACACGACACACACAACGGACAACATTTTAAATTAAAATATTGCCATTTATCATCGTCGTCGTCATTAGCCTATCAGCGCCCACTGCTGAGCAAAGGCCTCTTTCTCACATGGAGAAGGTTTGAGCATTAATCACCACGCTTGCTCAAGACGAGTTGCCATTTATCATATAGATATTAAAATATACTGTGTTCCACAGGCAAGAGGATCCTCTGGAGGCCTTCAACCGTATGATCCGTGAGAAGGAGATGCGTGCTAAGCGTCGCGAGGAGGAACGTCGCCGGGCTCACTCGGGGTCAAGGACGCCGTCCCGCTCCCCGCGCTCCCCCCGCTCGCCTCGCTCTCCCCGCCCACCGCGCTCGCCGCGCCCACGACCGCGCAGTCGAGCTACCAGCAGAATAAGATACTCTAGGTTAGTAAACGTTATTTGATATTTTGTTATGAGTTCTCTGCTTTCTAGATCAATTAATAGGTGGTAAAGCCTAGCTGTGGTAAGTTACTAAAGCTCGAGCTTTAGTAGCCCATGTTCGAACATGGGCTGGCTCGACCGGGGAACCACACTCTTACAGAAGATCGGCGGCGGCTTTAATGGCTGCGTTTCGTCCGATGAGTGAGAGAGCCGGTTGACCTTTCCCTATTCCCACCCTTTCCTACCATTTCCATATTCTCAACCCTTCCCTATCTCTAAAAAAACAAGGTTAACAACGCATCGGTAACAAAGATGTTGCGGATGTCCATGCACGACGGTAACTACCTACCATCAAGTAGGCCGTTTGCTCGTTTGCTACCTTTGACATAAAAAAACAGTCAGAGTTCATTAAGTTTTTGTCGATATTATTTTGTGTATTTTTCTATTATATTCCATTATTCAGTCAGTTTGTAATTTATGTCGTTTTGTATTTATTCTTACATACATACATAACTTCATTGTTCTACATACACATTTTAAATCAAATACTAATCTTAAAATTGTGTTTTATATCTTTTAAAATAAATTTTAACGATGTCATTGTGTTGATTCCAGATCGAGGTCTATATCCCGTGGTCATGTACGGCGTTCACCCTGGTCTCCGAGGAGACGCCGCACTCGAGAACGGACGCTATCACTGACACGGTAATAATCATATGAACTATAAAACTAACACTAGCACAGTATCATTAATACTAATGTAAAATTTATTAAAAAAATATAAATAGGCTGTTAATATAATAGAAATAACACCTCATTGCTTGTTTTTGTGATTCCTTCGAATTATGATTTTAAATGTCCTAAAGACTATAGGGAATAGACAGTGTTACTGTGATAGAATGCTTACCATCTAAACTTTATATGCATCTACCATCTGTCAAGCTCTAGCGAGTCGAAATTATTACTCATATGACGTCATAACTGTATATATATTATGTACTCACTGTCCCCAGGTCTCCGTCCCCCCGTCGCCGTCACCGCTCCCCCCTCCGTTACCGCAGCCCGCTCCGCTCCCCCCCGCGCTCCCCGGCCCGCTCGCCCCGCACGCCGCTCCGCTCCCCGCACCGCTCGATGCCCCCTCACTCGCCGGTGAGGACGCCGCGACGGTCCGCTGCAAGGTCTCCGCCGAGGACTCACTCGCCTCACAGGTACATATACACATACTAGAAGACCCGGCGAACTTCGTATCGCCCTATAATCAAGTTAGTTGTCAAATCTAATGTCAAAAAAAACGTTTGTATCAACAACTACTGATAAATTAAAAATCATTTAAAAAATATTGTCCAGCGGATAAAATTGTGAATCTAAACCATTCCTAGATCCCCTTGAACACACACAAAAAAAATCATCAAAATCGGTCCAGTCGTTTGAGAGAAGTTCAGTGACATACACACTCACAGAAGAATTATATATATATATAAAGATATGCAAACACATAGATACATATGTTCATACCACATACAGACATACTTAAGAACTTTATTATATCCATCGAGTTATACACAATTTCTTGTAATTATAATAAAATTGTTGAACAGATAATGGTTATATTATATGCTTCTGAATACACCAATGAGATGGTAATTAGTCCATTCGAAATAGACTAAATTATGATTCCAGTTTCAGTTAATTCCCAACAAGCTGGGCTTTTGTGCATGCCTTGAATATGTCTTTATAAATGATATGTCAAAAGTCCCCATCGAAACTTGTTGCGTTTATAGAATGCCAATATCTGTATATCTGTTTTCTTGTATGTTTTGGCGTCTCTGGTGCCGTTTAGTTTTCCTCGTATCTGCATGTTGCAGTGAAAAGCCTATTAGAGTAGCGTGATCATTACCTCTTATAAGTTAAAGGATAGACTTCTGATTGAGATTAAATATTCACAAAGATTGTGTTGAACGACTGCTGAGAATGAGACCATTATCTAATAATGCTACTTGAGTGTTGATAGCCCCAAATAGCACATACATACCCAACGCTAAAGAATGCCAAGCGGTTTTATTTTGTACCCATTACCCTAGATGGTAGAAAATGTTTAGCTTCGCTTCTCATTGCTTGTTTACTTGTATCTGTTAGTTTTTTTTGCGTAGTGCAGTTGCCCTGTTTATTGCATCAATCCATCTCAAGATCCTCTCGTATTTTTAAAGAAAACAGAATACTGAAACCCGCCCTTATGAACTGTGTTATCAATAAAATAATAATCACACATACGCATACACTCTAAAGCTTTGTCAATACATGTTCATAAGAAATGTTTCTAAATGTAAATTTTTTGGCATCTATTAAAACTATATTTTAAGAATAACAAAGAAATAAAAGAATTAAAAGTATAGTTTCCGAAGCATACAATATACACATAATTATGAATTTAATATAATTGTATATGTTTATATATTTTATGGTATTTAAATCAGTAATATTTTTGAACAGATTTGCCGGTGTTTACGATGAACTGTTGTCGCCACCACGTCGTAGTGTAGAGCCGCCATTCGGAGCCAGGTACGATTGTAAACGTTTAAATAGTCGGCTCGCGTGGCCTAACGTCTATGAGAATATGGTTGTAAGTTACGAGTTTGCCGATCGGATCGAACCGCCAGCGATGTGTTTATGACATATTATAAGGACATGTCCATAGCTTTATTAAAACCATTTTGACATGATACGAAAATCTTAGATGTTCCTATATTATACCAGGTCGAAGTAAATTGACGGTGATCGTCATTTGTTTTTTCTGTTATGTATATTGGTGAGTATAAAGCAGCGTTACGGTTTTGTAGCCGATTTTATACAACGTTCAACGTATAATACTTCGTGTCAACGATTCCGTTTATACTACGTGTCAACTAGAGGCGTCCGGAAATAAAACTTACTGTGATATATTTAAGACTGATATTGTATTTATATTTACATAACTAATGTATTTATTTTGTGATTACGCCGCCAATTAAAATTGTACAAAATTTTTTACTTTGTATAATTTTATTCTATGAAAATGTTAAATGTACATTTAATCTGTGATATTATGTTTTATACATATTATTGTAATCTGTATGATTTACCATTAATCCTGATACATTATGTGTATGTAATAAATGTCTCTAAGAATTTTAATACAAAAAATTGTTTAATACAATATAATTTCATATATAACAAATGTATATAAAATATGTAGATTTTTTTTATTGTCAGAATAGAGCATCGACTTATGTATTTGTATTTGATATATATGTATAATAGGTGTTCCCCTGATTTCATTGTATATCATTCATAAATGCACTCCTCATCTGAATAATTGTGTTAAGAATACATTTTTATATATATTCACATAATCCATACATAGAAACATTGCAGGTATTATAAAGAATCTTAGAAGCTTGTATGTAAAATTGATAAATTGTCATCTTATATCTAGCGGATATTAAAATATATGGATATATGCTTTATTAATACCATTGTTGATCAACTATCATCAAGATTTGAGTTAAATAAGTAGCCGGAGAACATATTCTATTGTATAAAGTATTTTCTACCATAAACATAATATATAATCTACTCATTAGTGTGAATGTAGTCATGATGGTTGTCTCTCCTGTGATATGTGAGCGCTAGGAAGAAGGGGAATAATATTATTTTTAACTATAACTAAAGTAGAATTTTTTTTTACATAAAAATTTTGGTTAGTCCACAAAATTACTAAATATAACTAAATGTAACTAAGATTTTCCGATACTACGCGTTTTTTATTATTTTGTATAAGTGCTATAATTTCATCTCGACTGCTCGTGATGACGATTGCTGTAAAGAAAACATCGGGGTCATGTACTTATATAATAACAAAAAACGTGTAGTATCCGAAAACCTTACTTAAATTTAGATTATTACACCTAAAAATCTTAAATGATATGGTAAAATCTGACTACTAAGGATTACTATTATTTAACACAGAAATGGATAGATCCATTAATTTGTTTATTCGGAAAAGATATTGGTCTCAACTTTCTCTTGCCCGTCTCACTGCTCACATTCAGAAAAAGTCGACTTGCATTAGCTCTAGTACCTTAATCTGTAATATTACTCACGATTTTTATATAAATTAACATTAAAACGACACTAAATGAAAATGGTATGTAAAACTTAAATGTTAAACATAAGATAGATTACAATAAATGAAAACTGCATTGAACGTTTCTCTGAAATCAAAAATCCGTAACTCTTCATAAAGACTTCTCATGTCTTATCTTCCAATTTTTATGTCCTTTTATAAATATCTATGCATATAAATTGAGAATTAAATGGAAATCTTAAATTGATAATTGCGCTGTTTCGGTGACGAAGAGGGGCAAAATTATGACTAGATATCTTTAAAATTGCCTAATTAATCTATTAGTAGTTAAAAATAACTAACGAAAGCACTGGAGACATTTTAATTTGAACAGTTATCACTGTACCACTACTAAAATTACACGCGGTCTAGTCTCCTCTGTTACTTCCTTATACAGTTCGGTGCATCCTCCATAGCTCTCAATCAATTCTTTTTGTTATGTCATTGGTTTCATATGGTAACTTTTCGTCTTTTTTGGGCTTGGTTCACATTTCGATTTAATGAATGTTTCTGTTCATTTTCTTTCTCTACGTGACTTGTATAAAGTTACCTGCGTATTGCTTAATTTTTGTGTAGATTTTGGAAATAGTGTAATGTCTGGTAACATTATTGAACTTATCTTTGAAGATAACAGTTTGTTTCTTGAATATGTTATGGTTTCTTGGTTATAGGACGCAAAAAGTCTGGTTCATATTTAGAATACCTGAACTGTGGTAAATACCTGTGGTAGTCTCATTACATACGTTGTCTACTATCTGAGCTTATGTTGGTGAAACAGTCGATTTTCTCACATAACCCAATCGCTGAAGAAACTGATGACCCCTAATAAAACGACTGGAGAGTTTTATAATCTTCTGAGTCTTTCCATTCAGTAACTTCACTTACCAAATGTCAGCGTCTGCAAAAATCTTAGCCTTCCACGAGATAAAACCAGCATACTTCAAGAGTTCAACTTCACGCTAACGGTTACAGCCTTTTGAATTGCAGACATCTCATGGACGGTTATAATTATCCTCGGGTAATTACAGAGCCATTTTTTGCTTTCGCTAGATTTAGACTTCTTCAGAACTTTAAGGAAACCTCTGTTACTCATACTTAAATTTTTGTTACTTCTGCGGGGACTTAACGTCTATGTAATTGTGCAATGTAGACCAAATTTCACAGCTATTTGATATAAAATTTATGACACAGTCCGGTCTTCAGTTGGTTTTGCATGAACTCTAAAATAAGTGATTTCCTAAAGTCTAAGAGTTTTTGTTTAATTCTCTTTACAACAATATATAAACACAATCGGGATAGAATGGCTAGTTGCAGACACAGCATTGGTGGTCGAAGGGTCAGAAAGGTAACAGTGACTCACTTTTTTTCCAAAGCTTAAAAAAAATAGATATCACTTTAATATTGGCCTAAAATCTGCTCGCATTTTAGATACACTATTGAACTGTGACTGAGCACTCATAATTCTCCATTATTTATAACTTATGTCAAATTAGGAACATAAAACAAAAAAAAAAAAAAATGAGCCACTGTGGACAACTAGGTGTACACACTGACTCACTGTTGTGGTACACAGTGGCTCTAGTGGTACACGGTGTCTCGGCGGTATTTATAAGAAAAGATAATGCCCATTCCACGTAGTCTTTTTATTAGAAATAATAACAAAACTGTTACAAGCTATTTTTATTATAATCAACACGACTCTTAGGACTTTTATTGCTAAATAATAAGATCTTAAGTAATTTCAGTCTCTTCGTTAACAATTTTAGTCTTTTTATCAATTAACAACCTATGTAACTAACATATTAATATCAAAATTACTCAAAATAATATCATATACAATGATATATTAACATCTGTTACACTTAGTAAATGCTATGTTTTAAGCAATCAACAATAACAATGACCATTAGGCTAACATTATGGTTTATGAAAAACAACATAACATTATTAAAACAACAATCATTTGTACTATCGTTAGAACAATAATAAGGTAGCAACTAATTTCTAATAAATGATAAGACGAGTAAAATCAATCGAGAAATTGTAGAATGGTCTAGAAGACGTACCAACTAATGTAGGCTTTGGAAGAATATATTTTAAATCATTCTCCTTCACAAGGGAAAGATCAGGTTTAGCAGGCATATGGAACTTATAAGTACCAGGCTTGCGTTTCAAAAATGATGCGTAGTATTCAAGCTCATTGTTTCTTTCTTTTATTACGTTCCCAATATATAATGACCTTTGCTTTTTAGTTGTCAATTCAATTATAACATATTCTCCTTCCTTGGGTGGATGAGGTAATGGATTCTTTAGGTCTTTTTCTGTTAGAATATTCACATTATCATCTTGATCCTCTTCTGGTGATTCAAGCCATCCATCGTCATCATCGGATTCTGCAAATTGAACTTTATCAAGGCTTTCTTTTTCGTCGTCGCTATCTAATATCGTGCGTATAATTTTACTTTTCTTTGCCTCGGTCTTTCTTTTAACCGCATTTTTTTCTTGCTCTATCAAAGTTTTCTCTGGCGTGTCGGTAAGTATTAGACTACGTCCAGGCTTCCTTCGTTTCCTGTTAGTTTTTCTTGGACCAGCTTTTATAGGATTTCGAAAATCAAAAGGCGATTTGAAAGACGGTTCTTTGGCTGACTTTGGTGGTGTGTTTCTATTAAAAGAATCTGGAGAATTGACCGATTTATTCTGAGATGTGCATTGTCCAGAAAAGTGAGCAGACTGATCAAAAATTGGTTCAGATATTTCTTTTGCATCATCAGCCATGTTTAAAGCGACTTTTTCAGGACTTTTAATGGGAGGTGACATATTTAAATCAGGTTGCGTAATAACATTTGATTCAGGTGCTTCTACAATAGCTTCGAGACCACACTCTTCGAGAATACTTATAGAGTCTGGTGTTGAATTACCTTTACCCTGTAGATCTTCTGGACAAGGACGATCAGTTACCGAACTAGGAAGAAAGTCTTCTTCTGTGAAAATGTGTCGGTCGAATGGATAAATACCACACTTTGCAAAGGCGTTTGTTATATTTCTTGGCGTCATTGCCTTTTGAAAGGAAGATCCGATTATTTCGCCTAAATCATAAATTGTAACGGGTTTACCCGGATTTCGCAACAGCCAGGAGTCAATGGCAGCGTTGTAATATGTTTTGAATGGACCATAGATACTAACGTCTAGGGGCTGCAACTTTGCAGGTGTGTGAGGATGAAGAGTCAAAATATGCACTCCCGCATTTTTGGCGCAATCGAGAGCTTCTAGACTTAAATATGATTCATGGTTATCCATGATTAAAATGTATGGATTTTCTTTCGAAGCATTTGTATGTTTAACGAAATGTTTCATAACCTCTGGAAATATCGACGAATTCATCCATCCGGTAGGTGTCAGTCAATCAGAGAGTTCCCGGTGGTGTATTTTTAATCATGTGATCTTTAAAATTCTTTCTAGGAAAGACTATGACCGGTGACAAGAAATTTCCACTGGCACTCACGATACAGCAAGTCGTAACTAATGTCCCTCTTTCTCAGCTAGTCACCTTACCAATGACTTTTCGACCTATTGGGGCTAGCACTTTTTGTGGTTTTTGTATCGTCGTCGTAGATGTTTCGTCCAGATTAAATATTCTGGTTCCATCAGAGAAAGCACTGTTTCGTGAAATAAGATCTTCTAAATTGTCGTAAAATTTCCCGACATTGCTTTGATTGAAAGCTGTTGCCCTACTGAGGCTGCATGGTTCAGGCTTTTTTAATGTGCGATTATGTCTGCGTCTTAATGAAATTAACCAATCCTTGCCAGCCATTTGCTTCGTCTCCCAAGAGGCAGGCATTTTTAAATTATTAATTTTAGCACACTGATATGCTACTTTTCGACTTTCTTTGGGGGTCAATCCATAAAACAAAAGAGCACAATGCGAGTAATAGTTTTTAAGTGCAATCTCTTGGCTATCGGTGAATATTTTATTGACCGGATAGTTAGGTTCTAACTCCGAGGGTAACAATTCATCAAGTAACTCACAGTTGTTAGCCTTCCAATAATACCTTTTAAGTGTAGCAAACGGTACATTAACTCTTGTTGATGCTTTTCTTATAGATTCTCCCGTCCTTATAAACTGCAAGCCTTCTTTAATTTTTTTCATGCGAAGTGTTCCCTATTTTTCTGGCGGTCTTTTTCCGTGGCATTCTATAAATAAAATAACAAAATTTGATTTAAAAGTGACAAAAATATTGAATTTGTATAAGCTACAAAAGTATTGAAATTGAGAAATAAAATAATATATTATTGTATTATTGTAAAAATTAAGTCACTGTTTACTTTTACGCCATTTTGAAAAAATTTTATCACAACAACCGAGATTTAAAACAAATAAGTCAAAATACGGGTTAAAGACAATTGATACAAGACCTACTATACGATAAATATAATGGCTATTACCTATAGCAACAAACAAAGATATGAAATAATCGAAACTCACATTAGAAAGTAATTTAGTGGGCGCGAAAACAAAAAACACTCCCCCCACACTTCCGCGCGGCGCTCGAACGGCGCGCAAACTGGTTTAAACGTGCACGAGTACTATCCCTTCAGGTCGAAACATGACTGAGCCACTGTAGCCGACCGAGTCACTGTTGCCTCCATGACCCTACATATTTTGTGCTTTACTGGGTAGGGTGGACCGAAGTGTAATTGTATTGTAACTTAGTAGTTTTAGACTGTGAGTGTGGCTGTGTGTGTGTGAAGTCAGTGGTGGCCTAGTGGTTAAAAGGCCCGCCTCTCTTTCACGAGGGCGCGTGTTCGATCCTGGCCCGGGCAAGTACCAATGTGATTTTTCCGAATCATATGTACTTTCTAAAAAGTATTTAGACATCACTGATTAATGTTGATTCCCAAAAGAGGGTTGATGTCAGGCAGGCGGCCGGTCGTAAAAACAAATAGCTAAAACTATTCACAACATGTAAGGCAGACCCTGGCTATAGCTGGGAAATTGCCAGGTAGAAGAAGTTAGTAGTTTTAGACTGTAAGTAAGATTTTTTTCCGTCGATATTTAAAGTGTCTGGCAAAAAATTCTGCCACCAGAAGTATGTGACAGTATTCATTTGAAATTATGTACAATATTTCCTACAACATATTTTTACTTACCTTTATCTGAGAATTGTCGTTTGGTATAAGCTAGCAGATATGTTTAGTAAAATAATGTAACAACAAGATTCGTATATAAATTACCTTTAATAGATAAATATTGAGAAAACGCTGTGTAGTTATAACATTTAATGTTTTTGTATAATAAACTACATAAAACGAGCTCCGGCTAAAAAAAGCAGCTAACATAATATTAGTAGTATTTAAATTGTTAGTTACATGTTAAAGTGTCGCTAGGTACATGTGCGCATTCTTTTTTCCTAGTGAAGATTTCATTTTCAATAATATTTTCATGTTTTATAAACTTAAAAGAAGTAAATGATAGTTTTGATATCATTTTTATTAAATGTTTGTCAAATAATGGGTAACATGGATGCTTATCGACAACTATTATTTGATTACATACAAGTGTCTCATTTTTTAAGTGAAATCTTCACTAGGCTCCTTTTTAAAGTTTTAGCAGCAGTAAGTAAGTAAGTAGCAATAAGTTATATGATCTAGAACATTTTTTTTCTTAATGTTATGTGGTCTTAATGTTTACAATTTTTAGATGTGATGAAATAAGCTGTAATTTGTGATAAGTATTATGAATTTTTTTTCATAAGAATAGATATTTTATGTTAACATTTAGCTAATGTATACCATGTATTTAAAATGAGTAATTACTCTGCTGAAAATAAGTTTTAATAGTGTCATACATGTAATTTTTTAATCAGAAGTATAATTTTAAACATAAGTTTGTTTCTCTCAATATTACTTTGCGATTTTCTCGAAACTGAGTTCAATAAATAAAAGACTACGTGTTTATTGAAGTATAGATATCGGTTTTAAGCTTTACATCTCTGCCGACTATAATATTTTTTATCAATAACACATGTTTACCACATAAATAACATTAAGCACTTGAGATGACTTAGTTATCTTGATCAATGATTCATCATCTATTAAATACCGATGTTAAATTGACGACAATATTTATTCTTTCAAATTGTAAAAGCGATTAACTAAATCAAATTAATCATCATCTGTGTCACACTTCATTATGAAATCTAATCCAAAAGTAATAATAATAAGAGAAGTAAACATAAGAGCCGCATCTTTGCGAGGCAAAAAAGTTGAAGGTATAACCTGAGGTTGTTGGTGAAACCTGTTGTTTTTGACATAGCAATTCACGTGTGATTTTCAATTGTCTTTCCTCTTTTTCCGCTTCAAATTTGGTTAGGTAGAGAGCGTAGCCTGGGCGATGGAGGTGAGCTTTTAGTGCGATTTAGATAGGGGTCTATACAAACCTACACCTGGGTTGAAATTCCCAGGCACCTTTCCATGCAATGCAATTTACTTGGCCCCCGCACGATGAATCCATGGAACACTGAGTGATTTCGTTTCTGTAAACGAAGTATTTGGTAGCAATTTCTTAAAGTAGTATTATTTTATACTAATAAAATTAGTAATATAATTTGAGTATTTAAATCAGCAGATCTTCAGAAAGTGATCCTATTAATCATATTTTATTTATGTTGTCTTCCGAGTAGTATGTCTATAACCAATGATTTTTCTTAAAATATAATTACTTTTGGATCCTCCTACATATATTATTAAATCATGATAGAATAAGTTGTCCAATTTTTCTCTTTGTTGATACGGGCTCTTAGTCCAAGAGCTTACGTTACTTATTTTCTGAGTAACGAAAAGTATCGTACAGAGTAGTGTTAGGGTATACGTTGAAGGTATGCATACCTGCTAACTTGGGCCGACGGCCAATTCACAGTTACCAGGTGCTAGAGGTACATAAAAATATTGGTCACTTTTCTTAAATTCTGAGAGCTGATTATTATATATATATTTTAAAAAATTGAATTAAAAATTTAAAATTAATAGAGCCAGAACGTTTTCGTCGGCGGTAATTTACGCCAGACGCTTTAAAGTTTGGAAAAAAATAACGTAAATTTACTCTAAGTCTGAGTCTTGATTTTTATATATGATAAGTTCGAAACTATTTTAACACTATTTCTATGCAGTCAGAAAAATTCTAGGGGCCAAATATCTCCCAGACATATTTAAAACTCGCCATGATTATTAACGCGCACATAATGTTTTCGCGGTTTTATATCACAGGCCTGTTGAATTTATGTTTTAGTTCAGTCTTGTAATTTTTTAAATAATAATTAAACCATATTTTAGTGTCCAATTACAAATTATAAATTTCAGTATGATAAAAATTATTAAGTTATGAGTGGGAAGGTTCTTACGAAAAGTAACAAAAAAAAAATAATTTTGTTACTAGCATTTCATCCTGTAAAAATATTTGTATTTTTCTACAAAACATAGAGAAATATGTAGAGCAAATATTATAAAAAAATATTTAAGATGAATTACTTTCTTTATTAATAATTAAATTTTAGTTTTTAATATTCGTCATCGTCATCATTGGTATTTGAGAACTTGTCATCCAGCAAATTATTGTATTGAGTCTCTAAGTCATCATCATCATCATCATTAATATCAGTATTACTTGTTTCTGTCTCTGTAAAATCAAATAAAATATCATAATTGTGAGTAAAATAGCTACACATTTATAAAAGAAACTAAAAAAAAATCTAAGTTTTTAATACTTTTCCGGATAAACTCTTCATTTACATCAGAAGCAGTATAGATGATGATAAGCTATTAAAGTCTTGCAGCATCTACATCAATGACTCCGGCCACGTTATAAACATTGCAAATAAAGTTTTGGATGGTATTGAAGGTTTCTTCCTCAAGTTCACTATTACTACTGAATAACTCCAGTTCGCTAAATCTGTAAATTGCTTTTTGGTACTCTTCGTTTTTTCTAAGAATACTGAATGGCCTTTATTTTCCTTTCTTACAAAAAGCAGGATTGTAATCATAGCCAGTGATCGCATGAAAGCCTGGTAAACTTTGAGATAAAGACGGTTCTTATTCCTCGTAAATAATGATCTTATGCATACTCATGGCGAGTTTTAAATATATCTGGGAGATATTTGGCCCCTAGATTTTTTCTGGCTGCATAGAAATAGTGTTAAAATAGTTTCGAACTTATCATATATAAAAATCAAGACTCAGAGTAAATTTACGTTATTTTTTTCCAAACTTTAAAGCGTCTGGCGTAAATTACCGCCGACGAAAACGTTCTGGCTCTATTAATTTTAAATTTTTAATTCAATTTTTTAAAATACATATATATAAAAATCAGCTCTCAGAATTTAAGAAAAGTGACCAATATTTTTATGTACCTCTGGCACCTGGTACCTGTGAATTGGCCGTTGGCCCAAGTTAGCAGGTATGCATACCTTCAACGTATACCCTAACACTACTCTGTACGATACTTTTCGTTACTCAGAAAATAAGTAACGTCTGGGGGCCCCGGGCTCTTACTCAATCTGGTTTATTCTTTCATGCATAAGTTAACGGTAAGTGGAAGATACTTATTATATGTAAATTTTATAAATATTCCAATTATAATATGTTTACATTTTGATTTCAATGATTTTTTGAAGAGTGGTTGTAAATACCGTGAAATAATGAATAATATGAATCAAACTGTAGAACAGGGGCAGCATTCTCCAAATTTTCAATTTGACTGTATTCAATCGTTTCCTTTTATAGGCGATTGTTATATCTTTATGTTTATTTAATGATGATCTAAAGACTTTAAAAACGATTTTCAATATAACAACATTTGATGGCTTTCTTGCAAATGTCTTGAAATATATTTTTTACACATATTATACTGGTGCCTTTTTTGTGTAATGTGTGTATAAATAAAATCAAATTTATTTTGTATTTGTGTTAATTTGATGTAATCGATGAGATGTGTAAATGTATATTATAATAATAGTATAAAGGCATTGAACGATATATTTATAAAAGTACATTTTGATGGTCTTAGTAACAATTGTACTTTGTGATTTTGTTAAAAACAATAAAGTTTTATTATAGTGTCTCTTGTTTTTTATTTTTCTTAATAAGTGTATTATAATAAATGTTTTTGTTATTGTTTTGTAAAAGCTAAATAATATATGTGTGTTTTAACTTTTCATGAGTTACCAGAAAATCAAGATTTGGTTAAGAACCAGTTTGTAGGTATGAATGAATTCTTCTTTTCAGCTTTATGATCCTGTAGTTTAAGATGCCACCGATGTCCAGTTATAGCGAAAGTTTTATTTTTAAATTTATTGACTTGATATGGGAGAATTATAATAATTTGAGTCAAAATTACATTATAATAAAAAATTTCTGCTCATCATACCAGCCAAATCGCTGTTAGGTTTCTTCCGTGAGGCAATACTCTTTTAATGATGGGCATATTCTCAAATTTATGATATATATGTTATATAAACCAATAGTGGACATGGCATTTTAAGAGGGCGCAGATCACAAATAATTTTGCCTTACACAAAATTCAAAAATCGATGGATTTTGTACTTTTTTAAAATTTATGATGAGATCTGAAATGTATATTTCAGCACCTCAGTATTAAATAGGCAGTTTTTTATTAAAAAATAGAATTATTTAGCAATATTATTTGCACAAATGTTTTTTAAGTTTTAGAGTAATAATCCACTTAAGAATTTATTTAAAACTGGTTTATTTAAACTAATGAAATAAGTTTAATTTTAAAAATAAATAAGTTATCTCTGTTATGTTACAGGTACGCCTCTCGAAACAATATTCCGCCGCCTGGATATCCTCCTATCACTAGTAAACCAATGCCTTTAATGGCTAATTTAATCTTACCAAACGAGCCTCCTCCGGGTTATCGCAGTCGTTACGATGCTCCACCATTTGAAGATATTCCACCTGGAGTTGAACCCACTGTTCCAGGATTTGAGCCATCTCCATTTGAGAAACCCATTTTTGGACCATCAGGTACCATGGAAAGAGATAGATTACCACCATCTAATTATAGAGATCCCTATAGAGCACCGTACGTCGAGGGTCCGGCTGGATATAGGGACAACCAAATGCCTCCCCTTCAGAGTGATATACCAGGTCCAATAGCGGAGCATTCCCAGCGTTATAGAGATAACTTTAGAGCTACAACACACCCATATCGTGATCAAGGTCCAGTTTCTTATAGAGATGGGCAACCATATAGAGAAACTGGATCTCAAGCTCCATTTCGCGATAACAACTTTAGAAATGGGCCGCCCTCTCTTTTTAGAGACAACAATTTTAGAAATAATCCATATAGGGATCCGAATTTCCGTGAAAATGTACCACATAATTTCCGTGATGGATCTGTACCATTTAGACCGCCTAGCGTGGATCCCCGAGAGCCAAATCCTGTGGTATATCCTGATCCTAATTACAGAGAGGGTTTTCGTGATGAAAATAACCCGAATAGGGATGTGCGACCTGGGTATCGTGGTAGTGTCCGCAACAGAGGTGGTTCTAGGCGTAATCCAAATGATCATGAAAGACATCGAGAGAGAGACGGACGAGAAAGAGATCGATTTAATGAAAATCGTGAAGCTCCCGACCGTACAGAGAGACCACGTGATGTTGACAAGAGATCTGGTAATCGAGAAAACCGTGAAGAACGCCCTAGGGAGTATGACAGAAACCGAGATTATGAAAAAGAAAGAGATCGTGGTCATGAGAAACAATCTCCAGATAGAAAACAACGCGTTTCACCCAAACGTAGTCGAGATACCCGTGAAAGAAAACAAAGTGAAACGAGGGCCCGTTCTCGTGATCGGGAAAGTAGAAAAGAGAAGAAAGATGAACGTACACGTGATAAGTCATCCGCGGAAAGAAGTAAAGACCATAAAGAAAAGGATAAAAAGGTTAAAGATAGGAAAAAGAAAAAGAGAGAAAAAGAAAAAGAAGTTGAGAAGAAAAAAAAGCGCGATAAAAAGGACAAAAAAGATAAAGATGGATCAAAGAAGGAAGAAGATGAACAGGAAATATCGGATTCTAAACAAGATGCTCATGCAGAGCCTAAAGAAAAAACTGATCAGATTGTTGAGCCCAAAGCAGAAAATCCTGAATTATTAACAAAAACAATTGAGAATGATAATCTTGAAAAGTCTGATACTCAGGAAAAACCTAATAATGATCTGTACGGTGACGAAGGTGCTGAACTACTGGGGAAAGAAGTACAAAACTATAATAGAATCGAAGAAAAGGAGGAGGTCAATGAAAACAAAATTGTTGAGACATTAAGCAAAGATGAGCCGTTTGACGGCATTGAACTTCAGGTGCCAGCTGATGAATTGGAAGTTGATATCGAAGCAACACCGAATAATAATAATAAAGAAATGTTAGCGCCACTACCGGCTTTATCAAAATGGGAAGTTGAAGATGATAACGTTGAAAAGTCTAAAGAACCAGGCGAAATAACATCACCAGAAGAAGAAGAAGATGGAGGTAAAGTAACATCTGAGGTTATTAAACGGGCTGAAAACGCTATATTTTCCAAAGCCATTAGTACTCTGCGACCTATAGAAATTAAGAAGATTAGTAGCGATCGATTGAAATTGTATAGCGATGAGACTCAAATAAAGGGGTCTTTAGATAACATACAAATTACAGTTCCTGTATTGAACGAGGATCAGCAGTTGGCAGATCCCAACAGAAAGAAAAGGTATTCTAAAACACCTCCTCCTAGACTGTCAGTCAAAGAAAGACTTGGCGGCAAAGTTGAAGAGGTTCGTAAAGTAAGAGAATCTCGAATCGTCCAAAGTACAGTGGAAAGAGTGAAGTCCAGGTCGAAAACACCAAAACATGAGCAGATACCTTACCGTCGAGTAACTGTTGAAAGAGATCGAAATCGAAAGCCTGAAATAGTGGCCAGGTTAGAAGGATTAAAGGGTGAAAGAAAAATTAGTTCTGATGTACAAAAACCTGAGGAAAGTTATCGTTTTAACAATGACAATGATTATAAGAAGAGGCATTACGGAAAAGCAAAAGATGAAATGAAGTCTATAAATGATAGACTTGATACAAACTCACAAAATCTACAAAAGGACATAACTCAAGAAGTTAAAACTTTAAATGAAAGAGAACGTAAAAAATCTGTCCTAGACGAAGCTCACTTCGAACCTGATTATGATGAAAATGTTGAATCTGATAATGAAGCAAAAGTTGAGGCTGGGAAGAAACGTGAGCATTCTCGAGATCCATTAATGACTGGGGCTAATGAGCCAAAAAAGGCAAAATTCGACACGGAAACAATTAAACTAGATCTGACGAACGTCAAAAAGAAACCAGATTCTGACAGCGAATCATCGAGCGATTCTGAATATTCTTATTCCTCATCGTCATCTGACGCTCGCAAGCGTAAGAAGAAAAAGAAGAAAAATAAAAAGAAAAAGAAACGCGCTGCCAGCGACAGCGACAGCGAGTCGGACTCCAGCTCCGACGACCATAAGAAAAAGAAGAAGAAACGTAAACATAAGAAGAAATCGAGTAAGAAGAAAAAGAAGTCTAAACATAAGTAGTTTATCTGTTTGTAAACTTAACAAAAAAAAAGTTCTTAGTGTTTCCATGGTTTGCGTTACTCTTACATTAATGTTGTAATGTATTATTACCACGATACATAAGTAAGGGGAGTTTTATTGTTCTATATTAATGCGTATTCTAGGAAGTATTTACCTAATAAAATACATGGATAAAATATATAGTTTTATTTATACCTTAATACACATATAATGTTGCTAATTGTTTGGTTTGTTTAGAAAACACATGCGTAAAAAACCTCAATTAATATATATTAATCAATATGCATTGTTATCTATCTATTACAAGTTTGTTAAGATTTATACAGTTCCAGATACATGTAGTATAAATTTTTAATCAAGACGTAATTTTCTGTTATCTTGATAATAACCCAAATCTACGTACAAACAAATATTCACAAAGATTAAAGTAATTTAAAAGTTGTTATTGATGCCGTTTTGTACCAATTTGATTACTTGAGAATAATTGTATCGATGTCGAGTGTCGACCAACTAGGTTTTAATTTGCTTGAAAATAAAGACTGCGGATGGAATTGAAACACAAATAATTTTTTTTGAAGGAATAAAAACTATAGAGAATTTTAATAAATGGTAAAATTGCGATGAATAATATTCGTTTGTGAATTGTGCTAAATTACTATTCTATATTTTACTGCTATGACTAGAAGCTTATCAATACAATTACGTAACTTTTGTGGATCTACTATTTAATATATGAAGAGTACTTTATATACCTAAATATATGACAATTGGCCTAGGGTAATCTATCATATTTTTTATATATTTTCTATACATAAACCATTATCTTGAATTAAACATTGTTTGTAATGAGTTGATATTATTTTATACAGGACATATAATGTTTATTATAATATATATTTTGTAGTTTTCGTTGAAGCTTTAGATAGCCGTGAACCCAACTTTGTCAAGTTCCATGTCAACATATTATAATTTTGTCATGTTATTATGTGCCTTTCTATAGATTAGGGATTAGGTGGTATATGCAAAAAAAAAAATAAAAAAATGAGACGAAACCTCTCAGCATTCAATGGATTCACCGTGCGGGTGCCGGGTCCATCGCGTTGCAGGGAGAGGAGCTTGAACAGTGCCTGGGACTTGCGACCCAGGTGTAGTTTTAATATTCCTTTGTTATTTACGTATTTTAGATATAAAAGTGAAAATACATTATATTCTTATACTAAAAAAATCTTAATTGAAAATCCAATATATTTATATACATTTTTATTGTTCATAAGACTAAAGTACATAACAAAGTTCTTAGTTCTGATGCTCTCTTACCTGTAACCCTTAAAAAGTATAACAAAAAAGTGATGTAACCAATTCTTGCGCTTAATTTTTCTTTGCGTTTTTGCTTCTTGTCTGAATTTCACCCAACCCTCCTTTAATTCATCGGGTTGAGGGCCATATGTGGCCTTTGGACGGAAAGCATTTTTGATTGTCTGAAAAAAAAAACAATAAGGTTTAAGTATTGACCTTGAAAATTTATTTCGTCAGACGAGTCATAAAAGTTATAATAATTATTTCTATGAACAACATACCCCAACAACAGTATTTGTTCTGTATTTTTTTAGAGCGATTATTATGAATAAGGGCACCATAGCCATGCCGATGTACTGTAGTAAATCACCAGCAACTGAAAATAGTTTATATTAAATATGAACAGTTCTTTATAGTTATATTAGCCAAACTCATCGCCCACTACTGGTTATAAGCCTGCAATCTGCAATGCCATAATATCATTCTGGACCCAATGAGATCCTGGCGTATTGATCAAGTTATACATTAAGTGAGTATTCACTATTCAACCTACGATGCTCTCAGTACGTGGTTTCCATTCGATGACCTCATAGACAAACTAACCAGTTCACAGTAACATTTGACGGTTAATGTTTTCTGGTACTTACGATAAGCTGAAGAGGGATACTCGTAAACATCACCGAAGACCAATTTGTCAGTAGTGATTATGGCGTAGAAGAATACAAATATCATGAGCAACGGTGTCACAACCATCCAACAAATCCGCCAAAAGAACGAGGTTTTCACGCCGAGCATGTATTCGATGTCCAAACATATATTTTCCAAACCTGTTGCATAATGAGGTCTGTTATTATTTTTATTAATATAACTTAAAATATTCCGCGTTATTTTTGACTCAAAAGCAACTAGATCTTGTTGTGAAAAAATAAACGATAGATTGCGTTAATCTAATTGATTACTCATTAGATCGTTGCAAATTTGGATACGCATGTTAATAATTGTTTATGCTATGTTCATCACGATAAAACTTGGGTAATATTGCAAAAATGATTGTTTTAAATAACAAACAAAATCCTTTTAAAAATGCTTTGACGTGAACGGATTGATTCATTATATTTAATTTATTATACCTACTCTAGTGAGAGCAGGTGCTCATTACTTATAATCGACTTTACCATATATCCAAAAGACCCCTATGGTTTCAACTATAGCTGTGAAGAGCCTCATGAAAGTACCGCCATAATGGTCGACAAGTTCTAACACATATTGGCCACCCTGAAATGATGTCAAAATAATGAAACAATAATCAGATATCAAATTATCCTATGAAACTCGGTTAATAAAAACATTACTAAGTCCAAAAATATCAATAACTATTTATTTCAATTATGAAAAAATATTGCTTTCATTTAGGTTATGGGATGGCAGATTTCAAAGGAATGCCAACAGTTATATGTTTAAAGAATTGAATGCGAGGTAGAATTATTGTTTTGTTTATTATTAAAGAAAAAAAAAATTTAAGTTGGCGTTGCAATAATTTTTTTGTAAATTTGTTCTAATTCATAAATAAAAATATTTTTATCTTTCTGTCTAGTAAAACACTTAATTTACACTTTCTTTAGAGTAAAAAACTTAAATAGAGTGTTTTAGCATTACTTGAATTAAAATAGTAGAAGCAGTTTTTATTTATGGTTGGTAGAAATTAATTTAAATACTGGCAAATAAAGTAAAATAATATAATATTTCTTGTGAAGACAGCATTTTTGTATGCAATCTTTCATTTTTAAGAACTGTTTTAAAAGTATCATATAAGAGACACGGTTTAATAATTTATGGTGGCTGATGTTTTATTCTATTCAAGTGCCTATCATTTGTAAGTTAATAATAATTCGCGATCACAATAATTAGATACACGATGCTAAGAAAATACGTCGTATAAACAGTTTAAAATTTTGGGTTGCTCATTATTTTAAAATCGATACGATTTATCCAATCATAAAAGATTAAGAATTAAATAAATTACTACCAGATATAAAAAGTTACGAAATCTTAAATATTCGTTCGATGTTCGTTACGAACTATAATTTAAGAAAAGTAAAATTAGTTTATGTAATGTTAAAAGAATTGACAATATAAGAATTTACATCTTAAGGAATTAATTATGCGCGGGGTTAAATATAAAACTTAAACATAGCAAACGTTGGTTTTTAGTTTGAAAAGGTGAAATTTTATAAGGCGGTTAAATTGACTTCAACAGAACAGTATTTTAAAGTGAATGACAATATTCATATTTAATTTCACTCACCGGTGTTACGTATATAAGTCCGATGAGGAAGAGTGCGGAACAAACTCCTGCTGACATGAAATGAGTTGGCACGCGAGGGAAGGAGTCCAACAACACAGTGTTGATGGTGGACAATAAGGCCACGCCTGACCCTACACCAAGAGTGGCCATCATCAGAAAGAATAGTACCGCAAACAACTGTTTCAATAGAGAAAATTGAACATTAATTTTGCTGTAATATACTATGTAACATACTAGAAAAATATTAATATTATTAACCTGAGGTAGAAATGGGGTTTTTGCAATGGCATCTGGATATGACACAAAAGCTAAACTGGTGCCTCCCGATCCAAGTACTTTGCTGATGTCATCGTAATTCAACTCATAAGCTAAGTTACCGAGGACACCAAAAATTGTAATGCCGGAGATCAAACTTGTAAATGTATCCAAAGTTGTGACGATCATTGAATCTCTAAAAAGTCGTAAGAAATATTAATTATGAGGCTAGTGGACTCGACAGACTTCGTATGACAAAAGGATTTAGAATGTGGATTTTTTTGTTCCTACTTATTTTATATTCGGCGGAAAATATTTTCATGAACAGAACTTGGTGTGTGGGGTTTAGCTCGAGTGGCCAAAGTATCTTCGCTTCCACGAATTTTGGCTACTCACTGGCATCTAGGATTCACGAAATAAAACAACTGGGATGTTTTATTTTCATTCTAATGCTTTGTGATATACTATATTTTTTTGATCGATTATTAGGGGAGAGTTGGTTATATCGTACTAGCATTTAAATCGTACCACCTCTAAATTTCACATTTAATGAATATTTTTTTTTACATTCAGACAACGCCAAATCGTGGCCCTGTACCATCCCTCTTCACCCACTAGTTTAAATCGACGTGAGTTAACAACCGTGCACGTAATAAAAAAAAACATTTTTTGTAGGAATTAATATAAATATTGTCGTACATTCGTAAGAGGATAACTCGTAATCAAGGTAAGCTATAGTTATTCAGTTTTTTTTTATTATTCCACAATTCTATACTAGATTATTATGGGTTTTTGTTGCGTGTCTAAGTTTTGAGTTTATACCGGATATTTGCTTTTGTTTTAGAAATGCCTTAGTTGGTTTAATCGTACCACTTGCAGTTGGTTAAGTTGTACTGGTACGATTTACTCGACTACCCACCGCAAGTACCTATAGTACTACCGCAAGCACGTACGTACGTACTACCCAAGGCCAAGAACAAAAGTTATAAGAGGAAACGATCTCATTCCATCACCAGTAGCGATGATTCAGGAGAGACACTTGTTGTAGAACTAGATAATGATGATGACAGCGATGATTATCTTGAAAATATATGTCGAAAGTGCAATTGTTCTTACTACGATAAGAAGGGTCCAAAAGTTGATTGGATTCAATGCGTTCGCTGTAAACGGTGGCTACATGAGACGTGTACTTCGAATTTTTGAAAACATTTGTCATGATTGTTTCCATTAAGAAATATGCACAATAATTATATTACAAATAACATTCTTGTTAACTGTTACTTTATTATTATAGTTTACTGTTTTTTTGTTTGTCTCATTTTTATTAGTTATGTTGATTGACCTCATTATCATAGTATAATCATGTTATTTTACTGAGAAAGCTTATAGTTCCTTTATATAACCTAAGAGTTAAAAATATAAGTATGTATTTAAATAATTTTGCACAGATAGGGTTATTAAATTAATAACTAAAAATAACAAGACGCTTTTATAATGGTAATGCGGTTTGTGTTTGACAGATGTAATGTGAAAAGTGATGCATTATACATATGTCGCGTGCCAAGACTAAAACAAAGCTTTAGTGTTTTCCCAGCAATTATCCGAATATATCTCGGCGTAAAAACCATTATTTTATCTTAAAGATGACATCATTATATTATAAAATTTAATGATCTTTATCTCTTACCGCACCAAGTGTTCAATTAATAAAATATGGTAAGGATACTTCAAAATCATATTACCTGTATACATTCTGTCTAAATCCGTTGTATGATGAAAACATAATAAGTGTACCCGAACATACTGATAGAGAGAAGAATACTTGAGTAACAGCTGCGTACCACACCTAGAATAAAAAATTAACATGATATTTTACATATCTGAAAATATTATTTGTAAAATTGAAAGTTACTTTTCGTTTGTTTCACTTACACGAAAGATGACTGCATGAATATTAGCCACTCATTGCAATTATTAAAATCATTGACCAAATAATAATTTAACACTATTTATAAAATGTACTAAATTTCTAAAAAATATAAGCTAATTGTCGTATTTACAGACATCTAGGAGGTTGGATCAATGTTCAATATTATATTATTCCTATTAAAATTCAAAAAGGTTTTTTTTTTGACAAATAGTATATTAACAAACTTACACGAATTTCAAGAATTCTAGACCATACTGGAGTAACAAAAAACAATATTCCATTTACAGCACCTGGCAGGGTCACAGCCCTGAAAATTATTATCAAGAAATAATAACAAGATATTTCTTTTATATTTCAATACTACAATACTTTTATTTTCATACCTAATGAGAAGAATTAACATGACAACGTAAGGGAAGAGTGCCAAAAAGTAAGCAGCTTTTCCTGAACTCTTCACACTTCGAGCCACGATCAAGAAAATAATGACCCAAGATATGAACAGACATAGCGTGAGATCCCACAGCGGAACGCCTGAGAAAAGGAAACATATTTTTTACTATGCTAATTAATACAAAACATGATTTATTGAAATTAGTTCTCTTTTTACCAATTCCGCTATGGATCCCATTAGACTGCCTTAAAACCGTGTGTCTGTAAGAAGAAGAATTAACTTTTTTAAATGTACCTCTATATTTTTTTTAAATTTCATACGTAATATTACTAATCTTTATTTGTATATTATCTAAAGTTATTGAACCTTAAATATGTGTATATAAATAAAGATAAAACAATAATAAATATACATTTATGATTGGATTAACTTGTATATGATTGCTTAACGAACAAAAAGGGCAACTGACGTGAAATAAAGCTCAGCGCTGCTTAACGGGTTGCCAGCTATTTCGCTTATATTTACGGATTCTCCTGATGGTACGCAGTTAGCCCACTCTGGAGCACAAACTGCCCATGGTAGGGGGGATTGGAAGCTCATAGCAAGATAATAGAAACATAGCGCTATAATGGATACGTAATATGATACCAAATACATAGCGCCTAACGTTTGAGCGTAGCCGGTACCTACAACATAAGAAAATATATATTAGGACATTGAAAGAAAGTTTATTGAAATCCAATGCAGGAAAAGCAAAGCTTAATAACAAGTAATTTTGTAGGAATAGTATTATTTAATAAATGAAATAGTAAACGGTCTATAGTAAATTAAAAATGTTCCACAATCTGTGTATGTTGGATGTAAAAAAATAATCTTATTGTCTTTTTTAATACGAGGAAGATAGTTATCAATTAGCAGAAATGTGAAATCCCTAAATAGGCAATAAATTACAAAAATTATGTAAATAAAAAATACCTATAAACATGATAAGGTTTTTATAGACAAATAAAATTTTATTACTTATATCTTTATTTATCATTGACCTTGTTTCAATACTTTGCAAATTGTTATTAATGTCAACAATTAAGGTACTAATAAATATTTGCACAGCAGAATAAAAAGATTTTTGGAATTCGGTTTTTACTCTTAATCTCAATAACTAGTACAATTAACTACGAGAGCGTTTTCGCGAAGCAATCTAGTGAATTTGAAGTACGACGTTTTAAGTTCTTTATTCACTCTGAGACTTTATTTAAACATATAAAACCTTTTATAAATATAGCAACATTATAAAGTCAATTGGGTGACGAATTTCTTTAACAATATATTTCTGATTGACAGTGAGTGGATAGTAAATTATTTAACTCATACCTTTCATGGCTGGTGACAGTGCCCACACTTTGACACAGTTACTGTTGCTAAACTGACCCAGCACTGTTTCTAGATAGTACATGGGTTTTCCAATTATGAATAGCACTATTAAATACGGGATCAGAAAAGCTCCTCCGCCGTTTTGATAAGCGACAAAAGGAAATCGCCAAACATTACCCAAACCAACAGAAGTTGCGATGCATGACATGAGAAATTCTAATTGATTGTCCCATTTTGGACGCTCCCTAATATTAGTTGGTTTCTGCAAAAGATCGATGTTATATTTAAAGACAATTTAGAAAATAAATACTATAATTGTATTGAAGAATATAACTGAAGCGAAATTTTATAAAGTTACTTTACGATATATTTTAATATGAAGTTAAATATAAGCAGAATTATACTTACCTTTTTATTTTCTTGAGGGTTTTGTTCTGGATTTGTGTTTAGTTTTTCCGGAGAAGGACTGAATGCTATATTAACCTGTCCGGATTTTTCGTCCATTTTTTATGTTATGATCAATAAAAAACGATTTAAAATAATAAAAATACTCAAATATTGTTTTTTTTTTTTTAAATACACATACTATAATGAACACACGTGCACGGCATGTACCTCAACGGATTTTGTGGGGGAAATTTAGATTTAAATTTTTTCAATAATAAATTTACAGATAACAAATAAGCACAGATAAAATGTTATTGGGTTATAATAAATTTATCTACAAATTTTATATTTTTACCTATTGTAAATATTACTTCTTCAAGGACGAATTTAGAACGCACATAATGCCTCAATAAACTTGAACATATTACACAAAACATGATTTTGTATATAGGGTGTTCTTTTTTGTCAGCCACAAGTCCCAGGAAAACTTGAAAACACTTAAACTTAACCATAGTGTGATCTAGTTCCATTTCAATTTAACCATTTGAACAAATACAAATATTGGAACACTTACTTGTAGACCAAGAAATAGAAATATACATTTTTAAAATATAACAAATACCCACTAATCATAACTTTAATTTCTTTTATGGACCGAAATTCTACATTTTCATTAACTTCGGTGTGTGTAATAAAATTAAATTACATGGACTAAACGAAAATTAGCAAAAATAAAATATGTATTAAAAGTGATATTCAATGAAGTTACACGAATTAAATTTACAAGAAGAAAATAAATAAATGGTATAATTAACAATTTTGGTTTGAATTTACAACAAAGACAAAAGAAATATAATCGTTTATAATTACAATTTTTAAATTTACAAATTGCATTTTTAAAATAGACATATTTAAGTAAACCTTACAGTCCAAGATACCAGGGCCGTTAGACCTTAATAATTTTCTGGTGAACTAAACATATACATATGATGGGTAAGTATTAGTATGCACAATAAACGTAAACATATCCTGCTTGTACCGACGCGACGGCCAAGTCTCAGCTACCGGTTGCTTCAGATAAGTAAAAATTGTATTCACTTTACTTATAGTACATGTAAAATAATTCATATATAATTTAATTACCTTATTTATGACTGAAATGAAGCTGTATAGTTTTAAACGTAATTAGTAATAGCAATATCAAACGTAACAGGATAAACAGATTCTATATTCAGGTATGTGTGAAGAACAGGGAAATTAAACACTTCTGTAAATCAACCTCTCAACAGAAAAATAGAGCAATGTAACATTAAACGACAAGCAATACAATTTCAATCTCCCTACTCAAACAAAAGTGAATTTTGTCCTTTTACACAGTTAATTCAAATTATCACAAAAAAAGGATATTTCATTATAGTATAAACATTTTCTATTTACAAAAACTAAACTGCTCTGTCAATTTTAGGATACAATTCCACTAAGCCCCAGGAACGCTTTCTATTAATTTAGGTTTGAATAAAAACAAATTTTAGATAGTAGCTTCATACTATTAAATGAAATAGCTCAGAAATAGCATACTTCGAATTATTTAATTACGGCTTTAATATTCTAGGAAGAAATGTTTTGAACCGGTTCAAAACACGATACAGTACTCTCATTTATAAGGTCTACCAAGTCAAGATTTCAGCTATAGATCTTCTTAACTATAGTAGCCGTGAATGGATCATGTTAAAATATTGTGTGATTGACCAACCACCTAAATTATTCGTTATAACTGTATTAATCCCGAGTATAATGACTTTAAATAACAATTGTATAATAATTACTCAAACCTATTCATGTATCAAATACATTAGATATTTAAGGTAGTGGAAATAATTTCAATATAATTTCCAATATTTTTTTTTATTTTATATTGCAGCTATCCGAAAACACACTACTTCTAACACATTTCATTTTCTATCTCAATGGTAGTCAGATATTTTTAGGAAGAACATTGATTAGGCGAAACAGGTAACATGAAAAATAAAATTCATTTATTAGTTTGTTTATTTATTTGTTTTACCTATTATTATACAAAACTTAGTACTCAACTTAAATAAATGTTAAATAATAATAAACCCTACAACAGAATAGTGCTGTCTGATGGAGTGAAACTTCGCGTTTCAGTCGACTACGCGAAGTCTAGTCACATACTTATATATTGTGGAGAGGTGTTCATATGCATTTTGCACTACTAATACGGTTTACGTTTACAATATTTACAAAAATATAAAAAAAGTATCGAAATTGCTTAGTGACATATTGAGTATCTATCCCTTGATACATTATATCCTAAACAATAGAGTGAAAAGAAATATAAGCTCTATTAAGTTTTCAGATTCATTTGGTTTTAGTATTTCTAATTAAATAATTTCAAAACAGTATAATCAAGGACGTTTGTATCCTCCTATCAGACTTAAACCGACGTGTTTCAGCCACGACCTCTGCACCAAACTTCTTTCCCTTTCAACTTCTTCTTTGAAAAGTTTCCATTCGCGTCTGGTACTTGCAGACCTGGGACCCCAAGATTCTTTGGGTGTGAAAGCCTTCTTCAGAGTCTGAAAACGTAAAATTTATATTAGAAATTATTAAACAAACTTGTTGTTGCCACAAAAACTTGCAAGTTCAGATTACAATGTTATTTTATTATGATTGCTATCGAATACCAGTTTTCCTGTTTCGCCTGCAAAACTTGATTGTGAATAATGAGTTACTAGAGCTATTTGTATTCTTATTATATACTTTTTAGTATAATCTAAGGTTAATGACTGAAAACTTTTAAATATACGTTTCTCCATTACGAGTTTAACGGTACCCAAAACGCAAATAATATTTATAAAATTTGGATGATTTTTTCAATACTTTTTTTGATTGAAAGAAGACTAAAACTCTTAGATTATATAGGTTTTACTTACATCATAAAATCTGCCGGTTCTGTATTTGAATAATGTCAGCAGAATAACTAGGGGAACAAAGAATACTCCAACGAACAGCATCATGTATCCAGAAACTGTAAAAAACATAAAGCAATGTGAGTATTAATTGATATGAATATACAATTTTTTAGTATTCAATTCTCTAAATCTAGGTGTAATTTATATAATGATAGAATACACACCATAACCGGCTAATGGGTAAGTATATCCGGCGAACTCTAAACTATCGAAGGACATGAGAGCGTAGACGAAGACGACAGCCATCATAGCTGGTGTAATGAAACCCCAACAGAAACGCCAGTATATAGACGTCTTTATATTCAACATGAATTCTATGTCCAAACATACGTTTTCCAGTCCTGGAATAAAATTAATAAACATTGTTAGGGGGTTAATTTTGAAACAAGTGTTACTGTAATAAAAAAACCTTTATATCTTATGATATGCTTACCATAAATCCAGAAGAAACCTATTACTTCAATGATACCACAGAAAAGTACAAGGAAAGTTCCACCATAATAGTCAACCAATTCCAAGACAAATTGTCCACCCTAAAAAATTATAAGACATTCTGTTTATCAACAAAGTACATATATCATATTTATTTTCTAAAATTATATTTAAAAGCGAAAACATGGTTTATTAAAAAACTATTAACATAAAAATCATAAGTAGTCATAGTATACATAGTATTTTATTTACTTACAGGCGTGACGTACACAAGACCACAAGCGAAGCCAACAGTGCATGAGAAGGCAGACATGAAGACAGTTCTGACGCGAGGGAATGCGTCCAATAGAAGTGTGTTAATAGATGACAAGAGGGCCACAGCTGATCCAATACCAAGTACAGCCATCATCAAGAAGAAGAGTACTGAGAATAACTGAAAATTTTAAGATAAGCGTTGTTCAAAAGTAATACATACAGTGTCTCGAAATAAAAATATTGGTCTAGGTTGTAGTTGTGGAAAGTCTTCAGTTAATATCATTTATAACAAGGTGAACTAAAAAAAATAATGTCACAAATAAATTAGGAATAAAACAGCTAAAATGAGTTCTTTATTTTTTGTTGACAATTCAAAGTTTTTGGGAGCCAAAAAAAGAAATGAAATATTTTTTTTATTATTAAGTTCATAATGTGAAGTGATGTTATTAACAGTTATGGATTTTGTTCTCACCTGAGGTTGGAAAGTCTTAGCAATGGCATCAGGGTAGGAAACGAAAGCAAGTCCGGTACCTCCAGAGCCGACAACTTCACGAACTTCTCTCTTTAATTCGTACGCCAAATTTCCAAGAATACCGAAAATTGTGACTCCAGATAACAAACTGGTGAAGGTATCTAAAGTGGTAACAATCATCGCGTCTCTGGAAAAGTTAATTACTCTTTTAATACATTTATTCCGTAACTATCTGTAAATAACTACGGCCTCTATTAATAAAGTGGCCAAAACCTAAAAATTATACTTATTTACCAATAATCATATAAAAGTTTTTTGTAAGATATATATTTGAAAAGATTCTATATTTAATACGGGGTTTCATACCTGTATACGTTTTGTCTGAAGGCATTATAAGAAGAGAACATAATAATGGGTCCATTGCAGACAGTCAAAGAGAAGAACACTTGTGTGACAGCAGCATACCACACCTGTAAATTTATAACCCAAATAAACATTAAATAATCATAAAAACACTTAAATTTCTAACAGTAGGTATATGAACAGATTCTAGTCTTCTTTGGTGATGGAGATGATTTTTTATTATTCATTATAAAAAATATTATAAAAAAATAATTTTATGTATATTCCCTTTAAAATACATTGTAAATGAAAATGTTTTCAGGTTACATAAAGAGAATAATTAAAACTTTACTTACATCCAGTTCCAACAATTTATTCCATTCTGGTGTGATGAAAAACAGAATACCGTCCCCAGCTCCGGGAAGAATTACAGTACTGAAGATATAAAACAATTTTATTATGAAGTTATTTTTATTATAACAAAACAATAAATTTGACAACAATTATCTTATATCATTCGTAATGTAAGTAATAGCGTCTTATCTCACCTGATAAGAAGAATAATCATCACCACGTAAGGGAAGAGTGCTAAGAAGTATGATGCTTTGCCTGAACTTTTAACACCTCTTGAAACGATCACAAAGATTATCAGCCAGGATGCTAACAGGCAAAGTACTAGGTACCAAACAGGAAGACCTGTAATTAAAAATATGATTTATTACGCATGAAAGTTTTAGTACAACTTTATGTGACAATTTTTTTTACATTAAACTAACTTACCAAGGCCCTCTTCGAGTCCATTGTTCCGCTGAAGAACGGTTTTTCTGAAAAAGGTTGTTGTTTTATAAATATAACAGAAAAAATATTTGTATAGATAGAACTCAGAAGAAAATAGGAACAAAAACAAAAGTTCTTACATGAAATATGATTCAGCACTGCTTGTTCCATTAACTATGTCTACACTCTCTCCTGTACTAGATGAAGGCACACAATTTTCCCAGGAAGGATCACATACTGCCCACGGCAAGGGCGCTTGGAAGCTCATGGCAAGATAGTAGATACATAAAGCGATGATTGATACGTAGTAGGAGAGAATATAACCACAGGCTAAAGCTTGTGCATATCCGAGACCTGAAAAATTACAAAATACACTATAACAATGCTAAAGTTTTCCTCTACTTGTTATAAGAAACACATATCTATAGCAAAAAAGTAGGAACCTCTCATAGCGGGCGCTATGGCCCATATCTTCAAGGAATTTCTCGAGCTGAACTGTCCCATGACTCCCTCAATATAATACATGGGTTTTCCGATAAGAATCAGTACTATAATATAGGGAATAAGGAAGGCGCCACCTCCATTCTGGTAAGCGACGAATGGAAATCGCCAAACGTTACCAAGACCGACTGATGTGGCAATACATGACATAAGAAATTCGAGTTGGTTTCCCCACATCGGCCGAGAATCTTCCTCTTCGACATCTTCACCCTGAAATAAACAAGAGTATTTATTATTAATTTTGTAAAGCTTAAATGTTTTATACGAGAAACTAATTCGATGTTACAACAGTTAAAAAATCTTAGCTTTATAGTGTACTATGTATGTTTATTTAAAACAATTTAATACACATGAACCATAATGTGAAATTCTATGCAATACCTTTTCGTTGATGATATCGTCAGGGAATTTAGCGTCTAGTGACTTCGGAGGTTCAGTTATCTCGAACCCAGGGTTGACATTGCCTCCTTTCTCTGAATTATTCTGAAAATAAAATATACGAGTTTTTACAATATGCCATACAATCTATATAAAAGTCAAATCGATTCAGATAGCGTATTTCGTTTTATTGGTCTTATTAGTGTTATTGGTAGTAAAACATTACAAATAAGGAATAAATTTATTAGCTGTAAAATTTAATTCTTGCATACTATTCTCGTTTTCGGTGATGTGATTTTCAGAATATAAATATTAATCAAAAGGTAATTTTATTGTGTTACGGAAGTTATATATGAATTGAAGATGTAATTATTCCAACAGGCAATGCATTTTTTTTTAAATACTTATTGTTATTTTGTTACAAAGAAGCTGTCAATACGGAATAAAAGCATACATTCAAGTCAGTCGGGTGACTCAAGCAATTTTACATACCCACTTCATAATATTTTAAGGGATTATGTCATATTATATTATCTGTTGATAATAAAATGCCTTATAATATTTCTATAACTGTATTATTCCTCAAATTTTCTTATGTTCTCATAATGTATTAAAAAGTTTAAAGTATCTTTTTGTAAACAAGGATAGAAATAGTTATATAAAAGTCAGATATAAAAAATGTTCAATGTTAATCATGATATTTATCGTTTAATGACAACATCACATATTCACATCGTAACGTAAATACACATGTTAAATGTTTAATCCAAAATTATTCCCTTAAAACTTCGATTTGAGATGTATTTTCATTTTGGGTACTTCAAACTTTAAAAAGTGTTTGCAATACATAAAATGAATCATCATTAAAATAGTATTTAAAATCTTAACACTAGGAATGTTTCTGAATTAAACAAATATATTTGGTAACAATATAGCACCTCACTTACCATATTGAATATATTTTAAAAGTCACTAACTATAATTAACTGACTAATTTAAAGCCATGAAGATATGGCGACGTTGTTACGATTAGTGAAAAAATCGTCGAAATTCATTGATTTATATAATCGCTATCGCATTGGGCTATACGTTTCCCTGTGTAATCTATTTCGGGCCTAACAGTTTCAGACAAGATATGAAGAAGGTACAGTCACAAAGAAAAATATAATGATTATAATATGTATTTACGAGTACAAAGAAATGCAACAGTACCTACCTACCGGTTTTTGAAAAGTTTTTGACCACTTGCAGAAATCTTCGTCGCCAGAAAAATATTTTTGAAGTAGTAGTATAAGGAAATAATTTGCACATACACGTGGTGCATTGTTGTTAAACTAGAAGTCATTCTTTTAATATATTTGTAGGAGGGCGTTATAAGAACAGGAGGGCCTTCATGGGAACTCATACTTTGAAAGGGATAAAGTACAGTCTATTCAATACGACACCAACTCAATCGAAACACTAGATATCACTATCACTTCGATACACAGCGATTCGTCACGAGCGCGGTGCGCGGGCGTCATCTCGCACGATACTCCATAATAAAGATGGCCGCCCTCGCTACCATCACAATGACGCTTCACTAGGCTAACCTCAGACAGCTAAAAGTCAACCTGACGTATGATTTTTGACGGATGCGCCGTCACGGCCGGACTGACATTCGACCGTCCTCGGGCGGTTCTCGGATCAATGAACTACAGTTGTGTCTATTCCGTTCGGCATCCTGACAAACGACTAGTTACAATCATCAAAATGTGCTATGGTACTTAAGACTTAAGGCGAGCATCTCGTAGCAATTAAGCCAGACGACAACATTCATCTCACCACAATGTTCAAAGCATCCAGAACAAGTCAACCAACTTAAAGGGCTCTGACCCGGACGACTACATTCGTCTTGCCACAATGTTCAAAGCATCCAGAACAAGTCAACCAACTTAAAGGGCTCTGACCCGGACGACTACATTCGTCTTGCCACAATGTTCAAAGCATCCAGAACAAGTCAGCCAACTTAAAGGGCTCTGACTCGGACGACTACGTTCGTCTTACCAGAACAAGTCAGCCAACTTAAATGGCTCTAACTCGGACGACTACATTCGTCTTACCAGAACAAGTCAGCCAACTTAAATGGCTCCTGACTCGGACGACTACGTTCGTCTTACCAGAACAAGTCAGCCAACTTAAATGGCTCCTGACTCGGACGACTACGTTCGTCTTACCAGAACAAGTCAGCCAACTTAAATGGCTCCTGACTCGGACGACTACGTTCGTCTTACCAGAACAAGTCAGCCAACTTAAATGGCTCCTGACTCGGACGACTACGTTCGTCTTACCAGAACAAGTCAGCCAACTTAAATGGCTCCTGACTCGGACGACTACATTCGTCTTACCAGAACAAGTCAGCCAACTTAAATGGCTCCTGACTCGGACGACTACGTTCGTCTTACCAGAACAAGTCAGCCAACTTAAATGGCTCTGACTCGGACGACTTCATTCGTCTTACCAGAACAAGTCAGCCAACTTAAATGACTCTGACTCGGACGACAATATTCGTCTTACCAGAACAAGTCAGCCAACTTAAATGGCTCTGACTCGGACGACAATATTCGTCTCACCAGAACAAGTCAGCCAACTTAAATGGCTCTGACCTGGACGACAATATTCGTCTGACCACAATCTGCAGAGCATCCAGAACAACTCAGCCAAACGAATGAACGATGATCGAGACTCCAATGAGCTACCCCATCATCTCCACTACTTATACTCATGTGAGTGAACGATGACCCGGACATAGACTCCACAGAGCTAGCCCGTCCATCTTCACAACCTGATCAAGCGTCGACCGGACGTGGACTCCATCGAGCCAGCCCCTGCACGCTTTGATCCATCACTACTAGAAACATCGGCCGCATCAGCCAGTTCCATCGCCACCTCAAACACACCAACTCAAACTTACACAACTCATTTATGGTTTATCAATGTTGGAGGCCATCAGAGCTACTCAGCTACTCACTTTCATCATCTGACATAGCTTCGTTTCCATTCTCTCCACTCCATGACCCGCCGTCTCGGCCTCCTCATTACTTAGTTCAGTGGATATGTCAACTAACCCTTCAAAGCCTCTGGGTACTGCGCCCAAGTTTTCATGAGAGTATTTTAAAGTGCAATTAGATTCATCGGTATGTTTCAGTTCGTACCTATCGTTGTCTAGAATTTTAGTTATGATAAAAGGTCCCCTAAACTTTCTTTGCAGTTTAGTTTGGTAACATTCGCTACACTTAACAAAAACGTAATCTCCCCGAGAAAAGAAAAAAAAAAAGGTTTTACTTGGGCTTTGCCTTTACTAAATTTAACTATTTCCTTTTGATCTGCGTTTTCAGTGTTGAGGGAAGTTTTATTCCGGATATTGTCTAAATCTAATCTCGGCTCGTTTGAATTTTGGGCTATTAATGATATCCCTAAAGATTGCGCGCGAATGCCAAACATTAGTTCTGTTGGAGTATATCCTGTAACACTACGGCTTGTGTTATTAAGTGCTAGATGACTCTCCCAGATCAGAGTAATTTAGTAAGATGGGGTAAAGGTACCGAAAACACTTGCTATATCTGCGGAAAGGCAGTTGGAACTGCTAAGCATTTGCTAGTGAGATGTAAGGTTCTCCTGGACAGCGGTCAATTCTCGCGTCGTCACTATAGGGTTTTAGAGATCATACTTGAAGCGGTTAGTCTTTCGGTAGCCAGAGCGCAAAGGGAAATAACCACAAACGAGCGATCAATAGGTTTTGTGAGAGAGAGCACCAGGGCTATAAAATCAAACGTCAAGCCTTACTCTATCCTTAAAGCGGCTTCGGATTGGACTATCATGATGGATACGTATGAGAAACAACACAAAATCCCCGAGGATATTTGTGCGTCAGCCTCCAGACCAGACACACCTCTATATTCGCGTATTTTAAAGCGCGTTGTGATGATAGAGCCTACGGTGCCTTGGGAAACCAACATCCCCAAAGACCATGCCATCAAGGTCATTAAGTATTACGAGCTCACTAACGAACTAACTCGAAATAGGTTCGTCCGCGGTAGAGGTGGGAGCGAGAGGCATAACAGCCAAATCTCTCTACAACCTACTAAAAGACTTGGGCCCGTCCAGAACCAACATTAATTCATTCTCGGAACGTACGTCGAAAGCAGCCCTAGCAGGTTCCTTCCAAATTTGGCCAGGTAGGGAGAGGAACTTGGACAGTGGAGGTGAGCGTACAACGCGCGTTAGTTAAGGGGCCCCTTAAACCCACACCTGGGTCGCAAGTCCCAGGCACTGCTGAAGCTCCCCTCCCTGCAACGCGATGGACCCGGCACCCGCACGGTGAATCCATTGAAAACTAAGCGGTTTCGTCCCTTGTACCTCAGGAAGTTTGTCACGCCACGTTTTATGGGTATCGTTTTCTATAATAGTTAGCAGACATTTTAAAATCTGCATGACCCTTTCTACTTGACCGTTGGCTTTATTTGCCCCTGTTGTTATAAAGTAAAGTTCTATACGAGGTGTTTTACTCAATTCTCTAAAGTCCGCGCTTACAAAGCCCCTTCCCCGATATAACAATTCGCTTGAGAACACCGAAAAGAGAAACAGCTTTTCTCAACGCTTTAATAGTACAACTGGCATCGAGGGATATAGTATGCTCTTAAAGGACATACTTGATAACATAATCAATCATTACTGACGCGTATTTCTTTTCTGTCTGTAGCTTTTGCCACTTAATGTCCCAGTCATATCTATGTGAATAGTATGCCAATAAAATGTATGCAAATCCGTAGGAGAATTTACATGGCCAAAATAGCAATAACCCCACTGAATAAAATTTGGAGAGATAGGAAAATTATTAATGGAACAAAAATGCATCTGATACGAACGCTTGCCTTCTCTATATTTCTATCTATCTAGCTATCCGATTCTGTATAGTGCAAAGACGTGGACTATGAAAGTCGTTGACAGGCAAAGAATTGATGCCTTAGGAATGTGGTGATGACGAAGTATGTTACGCATACCTCAAAATATGGTCAGCGCTTATCTAATATCTATTTGCAGCACATACTGGCGTTGATTGGTCA